TGTATTCATCATAGTACTGGAAGTCTTAGCCAGATCAATTAAACAGGAAAAAGAAAGAAAGGGCATCCAAATTGGAAAGGAAGAAGTCAAATTAGCCTTGTTCACAGAGGAAATGATCTTATACTTAGAAAACCTAAAGAGTCCTCCAAAAAAACTGTTAAAACTGATAAACAGATTTAGTAAAGTTCAGTAAAACAAAATCAGGAAATTTCCAATACAAAATCAACATGCAAAAATAAGTAGCATGTCTGTCCACCAACAGCAAACAACATGAAAAAGAAATCAAGAAAGGAATCCCATTTGCAATAGTTATAAGAAAAATAAATGCCTAGAAATAGATTTAACCAAATAAGTGAAAGATTTCTATCATGAAAATTATTAATACTGATGAGAGAAATTAAAGAAGACACAAAAATATGGAAAGATATCCAATGCTCATGAATTAGAAGGGTTAACATTGATAAACTGTCCCCACTACCTAACATGATCTATAGATTCAGTGCTATCCCTATCAATAAACAATGATGATTTTCACAGAAATAGAAAAAAAAAAAGGCCTAAAATTCACATGGAACCACAAATGACCCCAAATAGCCACAGTAATTCTGAGTAAAAAGAACAAAGCTGGAGATACCACACTACCAGACTTCAAAATATGCTACAAAACTATAGTAGTTAAAGCTATAGTAATTAAGCTATAGTAATTAAAACAGCATAGTACTTGCATAAGAATAGTCACAGAGACCAATGGAACAGCATGGAAGACCCAGAAATAAATCTATATGGTTATAGTTATCTCATTTTTTTTTTTTGAGTTGGAGTCTCACTCTGTTACCCATGCTGGAGTGCAGTGGCTCATGGCCACCCAGCATCGACCTGCTGGGCTCCAGCTATCCTTCCACCTTAGCCTTCAAAGTAGCCAGAACTATAGGCACCCGCTACCACACCCGGCTAATTTTTGACTTATTGTAGAGATGAGGTCTCGCCAAGTGGCCCGGGCTGTTCTTGAACCTGTGGGCTCAGGCAATCCACTCGCCTCGGCCTCCCAAAGTACTGGGATTACAAACTGAGCCACCAAGCCTGGCCTAGTTATCTCATTTATGATGAAGGCACTAGGAACATTAATTGGGGAAAGACAGCTTTTTAAATAAATGATGCTGGGAAAACTTTATACACTTTGTAAAGGTGCATATAGTCCCAGCTAATCAGGAGGTTGTGGGGTTAGGATCTCTTTAGTTCAGGAGTTTGAGATCAGCCTGAGCAACATAATGAGTTTTTGTATCAACAACAATAACAAACAAGCAAAAACCACAATAAATTAAAGACTTAAATGTAGAGACCTGAAATTATGAAACTACTAGAAGAAAACATCAGGAAAATGCTTTAGAATGGTGGTCTGGGCAAATATTTTTTGGATAATCCCTCAAAAGCACAGGCAACCAAAGCAAAAAAGGATAGATGGTATCACATCTAGCTAAAAAGCTGCTGCCAAGCAAGGCAACAATTAACAAAGTGCAGAGACAGCCCACAGAATGGAAGAAAATATTTGCAAGCTACCCATCTGATGAGGGATTTACAACGAGAGTATAAACGGATTTCAAACAACTCAGTAGGAAAATATCAAGTAGTCTGATTAAAAAATCTGCAAAAGATCTGAGTAGACATTTCTCAAAAGAAGACAGACACATGGCCAGCAGGCATATGCAAAACTGCTCAACTCCACTCATCCTCTGATAAATGAGAATCAAAACTACAATGAGATACTGTCTCATCCCAGTTAAAATGGCTTTTATCCAACAGTCAGGCCATAATGAATACTGGTGAGGATGTGGAGAAAGGAGAACCATCGTACACTGTTGGTGGGAATGTAGATTAGTATTGCCCCTATGTGTGGAGGTTTCTCAAAAAACTGAAAATAGAACTTTCATGTGTTCCAATAATCCCACTGCTGGTTTTAGATCCAGAAGAAAGGAAATCACTCTGTGTAGGAGATATCTGCACATCAGTGTTCACTGCAACCCTGGTCACAATAATTAAGGTATGGAAGCAGCCTAACTATCTAGGAACAGATGAAGAATGCATGGAGAAAATGTGGGATATATACCCCATGGAATATTATTGAGCCATGAAAAGAATGACTTTTGCTCTCATTTGCAGCTGCATGGATGGAATTGGAAGACACTGTGTTCAGCGAAACAAGCCAAGCATAGAAAGACAAATATCATGTATTCTCACTTACATGTGGGAGCTAAAAATGTCACTTTCTGGAGGTAGAGAATAGAATGATGGTTACCAGAGGCTTGGAAGCATCTGGGGGTGAAGGTGAGGGGATGAAGAGATGTTGATTAGCAGATACAAATATACAGTTGCATAGAAAGAATAACTTTTAGTGTCTAGTTGCACAGGAGGGATGGCAGTAGTTAACCATTTATTTTACATTTCAAAATAGCAACAAGACATTTGGATTGTTCCCAACACAAATAAATGAGACATGTTGGTAGTGACAGTTATCTTAATTACCCTGATTTGATCATTTTATATTATATACCTGTATCAAAATATCATATATGCCCCATAAATATGTATTATTGCTATGTATTAATTAAAAGTTTACAAAAGAAAATGTATAGTATCTTATTAATTATAGTCACTTGATGGTGCTCATGCCTGCAAGCCCAGCTACTATGGAGACAGGAGGATCCCTTGAGGCCAGGAGTTCAAGATCAGACTGGTGTTTAGGAATAAAAAAAAATTGAAATAGAAAACACTAGAATTTATTTCTCTTACCTAGCTGTACTTTTCTGTTAGCCTCTGGGCTGAATTTAATTTTGAAGGGATAACACTTTAGTCTTCAAATTAGACAAAAAATGATAAGTTTTTGCTTATAGTAACTTAAAGGAGAAAACAGAATAATTTTTTTTAACTGAAGGCATAATAAATATACAAAGTATGCCTGGAATGAAAGCTCCTGAATTCCCAAGAAAGAGGAAGCAGCTATTGTAAAATCTGAATGTTTCAAGTCTTTAAATTTAAAATGTGAATGCTAATACTACCTAATAGAGACTTTAAAAAGACAAGTCTTACAAGTAAGAACTGTGATGAATATAGAAATATTAGCCATATAGACTGTGTTGAAAATTGTCTGCTCTGATATGCGTACATGTTGTTTTGGTTACTATAACCTTGTACTATAATTTTTATGTGGATATGTGATGCCTCCAGCACTGTTCTTTCTGCTGAGTATTATTTTAGCTATTTGAGCTCTTCTTTGGTTCCATAAAAATTTGGGGATTGTTTTTTCTAATTCTGTGAAATATGACATTGGTAGTTTCATAGCGATTGCTTGAATCTGTTGATTACTTTAGGTAAATTTTTTTTTAACTACATTGATTCTTTCACTTCATAAAAATGGGAGGGTTTTTTAAAAATTTGTTTGTGTCCACTACAATTTCTTTAATCAGTGTTTTGTAGTTTTCTCGTAGAGATAATTCTCATTCTTGGTTAAATATTTTCCTACATATTTAAAAAAAATTTTGGCCACTATTGTAAATGGTGTAGAGTTTTTAATTTGATTCTCAGCTTGGTCTGTATTAGTGTAGAGCAGTGAGATTTGTGCATGTTGTTTTTGTAACCAGAGGCTTTACTGAATTCACTTCTCAAGTCTAGGACTCTTTTGAAATGATCTTTAGAGTTTCTGGGTATAAGGTTATATCATCAGCAAACAGATAGTTGGGTTTCTTGAGATAGTGATATTGGTGATCTTGACCCTGTGAAGGCCTAGGCTCATGTGTGTGTTTGTATCTTAATTTTAAGCAAAAAGTTTAAAAGGTTAAAAAAAAATAAAAATAGAGAAAAGCTTATAGAATAAGAATATAAGAAAATATAAGAATATAAGAAAATGCTTTTGTACAGCCGTACAATGTGTGTGTGGTTTAATCTAACTACTTTTATAAGAGTTAAAAAGTTAAAAATTACAGGTAAAACTTAACAGTAAACTAAGGTTTATTTATTATTTAAAAAGAGAAATGTTTGAATATTACTTTAAAATTCTTTTCAACCAATTTCTTGTTTTGGCTAAGTAGTTTAAATTCAGTATTGTTTGTATAATTTGTTTAGTGGTTTTCTTTCCTTTTTTAAATTTCTCCTTTTGCCAATTAGTAGAATTCCAATTATAGGTTTTTATTTTAATGTCCAGTCTCAGTGTTTTTATTCTTATTACTTATATTTTCTCACTGTATGTGGAGTTGTACATATTATTTGCTGATTTTTTTGGTTTGATTTTGCTAAATAATAGAGTCTTTTTTACCCTGAAGAACTAAATGTAAGTGAAAAAGATCAACTAACACAGAAGATGGCATGACTTTTTAGTAGAGTCACCAAAGGACTGCTAAGTGAATTCTGGAGGAATTCCGAATCCTCATTCCCATAAATAAAAGTTAGCTAATATGTAGATACTTTGGAAGTGTAGTTAGGTTTAAAAGACATCTGTTATACGAGAATAATGTTGAATATGTAAATAACAGGGTTCTAAATTAAATGATTAAAATAATTATAGAAATAAGAGTAGCTCTTGTGTTCAGTGAAGAGCCTGACTTGATACAGCAGACAGGTTCTGATCAGTGTCCCTGGTAGAAAATGTTAAGATATTGAAATTTTGTTGGGCATGGTGGCTCACTCCTGGTAATCCCAGCACTTTGGGAGGCAGAGGTGAGAGGATTGCCTGAGTCCAAGGGTTTGAGACCAGTCTGGGCAACTTGGCAAGACCTCGTCTCTACAATAATAATTTTAAAAAAAATTAGCTGGGTGTGTGCCTGTGGTTCCAGCTACTTGGAAGGCTGAGGCAAAAGGATCACCTGAGGCCAGTAGGTCAAGGCTGTGGTGACTGTGAGCATGCCACTGCACTCCAGCCTGGATGATGGAGTGAAACTCCTAATTAAAAAAAAAAAGGATATCGAGATTTTTGTAGTTTGTTACCAACTTAATAGCCTTGACTATTTCAGGGTATTCATTATTGTCTGCTGAGATAGAAGAAATGGAAGATGCACAACAGGAAGAAGCGACCTTGCTAACAAAGTGGCAAAGGATTATGGGAATTAACTATGAAATAGTGGTAAGTTAGCTGACCTTCTGTAATATCCTAACTTGTAACTGTATTTGAGCAGGAAGTTCATGACAGTAATAAGGTGACTATCAGAGTCCCAGAGAAGTATCAAACATCCAGGGCTTTTTTAGAAGACCTACATGTGGTAATGCAGGTATTAAAAAAATTCAGGTTGGAGAAAGTTGTATAGTAACCAAAGAACTGAAATAAATGGGATGTAAGTTTTAGAACTCATATTTCAGTAATATTTTAATATTTCTGGTGATAGTATGAATATTATAGACACAAGAAAGGATTCTTCTGATTCTTAAACCTGAGATTTATAGAAAGAATCACAGAGTTTACTTAAAAATAAAACGAACATTATTTTATGATCTATGAACAGAATTGTATAAGGACTCTCTCCCATTCCTTTTCTGTATTTACCTTCTTTAAGAAGTTGATTCATATCACTTATGATGTGATGAATGTTTTATGTTTATTAACAGTTTGTTTGCCTAGCATAGACATAGTAATCTGCTGCCCTAAAAAGAGATCTAACAAAATTGGCATAAATTATCAATCTTAAGATACACAACAGCAAATTTTAGGGATTTCAAAGAAAAGACCAAATGTTATGTTAGGTAGAATTTTTCTTATTGCTTATAATATGCATATACCTCTGAATTAGAAGAGAGAAAACACAACAGAGAATGACATATTATTTTAATAACTAGCACACACTGAACACTTTTTGCCAAGCAGTGTTCCTAGTGTTTCCTTTAATCCCCATGAACGTCACCTCTTATTTTTAACATTCAAGGTGATTACGTATCAAATATGAATTGAGTAATACAGCTATTATTAACTTTTTAAATTGAGTCAAGGAAAAATACAATCAGGTCCAGTTTAACAGTGGTTAATTTAACATGAAAATTCGAGAATTCCTTTTATTAGGGGCTAGGATTATTGTAGCTGCCGTTAGTAACTGAGACCATAGTTCTTCAGGTAATAACTGAATAAGAAGGAAGACTTTTTGATGAGCCATTGTGTCACAAATCAGGCTTGAGACGGAACTGTGAACTGCCCTTGCTGCACATGCTTTCTTGGTGGCATTCCCAGTAATCTGTCAAGGGCACAAGTGTGCGATGAGTGAGCAAGAACAAAGCTATTTATGGACCCAGGGCAGGCAGAGGTAAAGAAGATATAGATCGGACTGCAGTTGTTTACTGGGTAGTCATATAGCGTAAGTGAGAGCATAGAAGGAAGGAGTGGTGTAACAGACGGACAATTGATGGACATTTTCAGGTGGGACCTGGAGGGCTTCTCAGAGGAAATGATATGTAAATCAAGTTTTCAGGGGTGAGAAGAATTTCATCTAGTATTAGATTTCAAAGTCATGTGATGTCATTTCTGATACTGGCCTTCACATATTATTAAGATTTGAAAGAGCTCTTTTTTAATGAAACATTTTCAGTCCTTTTCTTGCTCAGTTTTCTTAACTAACTTGAAATAAAAAGATAAAGCAGATCATCTTTAGCATATCTTCTGATTTTAATATTACAATTATTGGGTTCTTTATGAAAATGGGTAATTATTTCCTAACATTCTGCGTTATTTAGTCTGTAGCATTAGGACGCTGGATGTTCATTCTCATGTTAAGCTTTGATTTATCATTTAAGTACCACTGTCCCTTGATATAGCTTAAGATCAGGAGTGTGGTTCTAGGTTCAGACTGCTTAGGTTCAAAGCCCTTTTCTGGCCGTGTAAATCTGGTAAAGGTAACCTCTCTGAAGCTCATTTTCCTAACTAGGAAACAAGGAGAAAAATTGTACTAAATTATGAGAAGCAAATTAGATCCACGTAATGGATGCTTCCTTTGGTGTGTGTTAGTTCATGAAGATGAAAGATACCAGTAGCTATTCAAAGACAAAGCTTTGCGGTTTTACAATATGGTTTTTTAAGCTTTGTGAGAAAATTGACCATTTCGGAATGAACAGAAAATGTGTGCATGAGTAGAAATTAAAGGAAAGAATTGTGATGATTTTTATCTTTTCAGGTAGCCCACGTGAGCAAGTTTAGTGAGAACAGTGGGCTTGGAATAAGTTTGGAAGCAACAGTGGGACATCATTTTATCCGATCTGTTCTACCAGAAGGTCCTGTTGGACACAGCGGGAAGCTTTTCAGTGGAGATGAGCTCTTGGAAGTAAGGAACTGTGTTGCTCTTTCTCCTCCTTAAATAAGACTCTGAAAGGCCTCAGGAGGCTTAATATGGTGATAAATAAGTTCTTGTTTTAAATTCCCCCTCCCAAGGGTACTTGAGAGAGATCAACAAATAAAAACCACCCATTGCAGAAATTCCACATCTGTATGTACATTGAGCTTCAGACCTAATTCCATGTAGATTTATTTTTAAGGTCCAGAGAACTATAAAAACATTCTTTGAAAATGTTTAAACATGTATTTAATTTTTAGAGTAGGTAATACATTCCCATGTTTCAAAATCCCAGAGAACATCAACAATGGAAAAAGTCTCCTTCTTGTCCCCATTCACCCAGTTCTCATCAACCTTCATGAGGTAACTACTGGTGTATTTGTTTCTGTGCAGGCTCCCAGTATTTTTAATGAATAAATACAAAATTTTGATTATTTTCTCCCACTTTTTAAAACATACTAACATATAATATGTGCCGTATTCATGTTTTAATGTAATAATTATATTAAAATGTCAATTTTAAAAATAGCTTTATCCTTTTCCCCTTCATCCTTTTGGAATATCTTCATTACCTCTCATTTTACAAACTTCTACACTGGCAGATCACACATGGATGGAAGCCAGTAGTTGTTCTGTCTGTGCTATAGAAGTTCCAGTTATAACAAAATTCTGCACTTGCACGTCAATAGTTTTGAATGGCATTGCCACAGATCTAACTATAGTTCTGAGTACAAGAAAACTTGGGTCATCACCAGAGTAAAATTAGATTTATTTAATGAAAAATTGTGCTAAAGGTTATTCATAGGATGAAACATTGTTTCTTGGACAATGTGTCTTTTTCTTTAGGTAAATGGTATCACTTTGCTTGGGGAAAATCACCAGGATGTGGTGACTATCTTAAAAGAACTGCCCATAGAAGTGACCATGGTGTGCTCTCGCCGAACTGTGCCACCCGCCACCCAGTCAGAATTGGATAGCCTGGACGTATGCGACATTGAACTCACAGAGAAGGTATCGGATTTGCAAACATGAGGCTAATCTGCATCTATAATGGAAAGGCTAAATGACTTTTAAAATTTGTGAAGCCTTTTTAAGAATTTGGTGTTGGAATTCCTTGCATAGCCCATGGCTTATTGGTTAGATCTTAAAGTTTGACCTAAGTTTGAATCAGACTTGACTTAGCTATGCAGAGCTGGGCAAATTCATTTTTCTAAGCCTGTTTTCTCCTCTGTGAAATGCTAGTCACGATGTCTGTCTCAGAAAGTTGCTCTGAAGGTTAAATAAGGTGATATTGTGCTGATATTATTGCATACTCTATACTTGTGTGATTGACTTGCAGTATTCCTATGAAATAGATGCTCCTGTTGTCTTTATTTGCTGAAGAAGTAACTGAATTATATAAATAGTGTGTGCATATGTGGTAAAAGATACTTTTTTTTTTTTTTTTTTGAGTTGGAGTCTCACTCTGTCGCCCAGACCGGAGTGCAGTGGCCACACCCGGCCACCGCTGCCTCGACCTGCTGGGCTCCGGCAATCCTTCTGCCTCCGCCTTCCGAGTAGCTGGAGTTACAGGCGCGCGCTACCACGCCCGGCTGATTTTTTAATTTATTGTAGAGATGAGGTCTCGCTGCCTAGGCGGGTCTCGAACCTGCTGGCTCAGGCAATCCATTCACCTCAGCCTCCCAAAGACACGGGATTACAGGCTGAGCCACCGAGCCGGGCTAAAAGATACTTTTTTATAGCCCACCCAGGTCTGTACCTGACACACAGTTACTGCTTACTGAGTGACTAAGATACAGATGGACACAGCATTTCTGTGTGTTTAGGTCTTACTTGTTTACACACTAGACTTTTAAAATATGAGAAATTTGAGCTCATAATACTACATGTCAGATGATTCTCTGTGACATCCATAAACTCCCATTTTCTTGCTTATTTATTATTTTCCATTCAGATAATAATGTCAAGAATTGGAGCTAATTGGCTTTTCTGAGGATACACAATAGATATCTAAAGTTAAGATTTACACTTTGCATAATTTGTAGCCTAGTCAAATTTAATTTAAGGTATATTGAGAAATAATGTTAGGCTCGATTTATATTACACTGAAGTAATCAGTACAATGAAATAATTTTGAGAACTTAGAAGAGTAAAGTGCATAGTTTAATATTCAGGTGGGTGATTGAAATAGGACAGAATAAGAAACTTAATTCCCAACTGTGTAGCATTCAGTAGCTAGCACCTTGTATATCCCTACATATTTTTATTTGATATAATGGGATTATTACAATACAGAGATGAATATACTTTGCATCCTTTGATTAAAAGCAATCAGTATGCAAACTAGGATTTCATCCTCACAAACGTATCTTTCTTTAAGTTGATATGTTGATACAGATGAACAAAGTTGAATTAATCTATAGTCACTTGATTTTTACTGAGCAGCTGGCATTTTGAATCCCTGTTTCTGTGTCAGATCCTTTATAAACGTTACCACATTTAATTTGCAAAAATTCTATGAGTTGGATAACTATGGAGCTCAGGTTAAGTATATTGTTCTGTGTAACTCACATTTGAAGTCACAGAAAGAAACTTCCAGCTAGGGCAAATCTGATTTCAAATCTTATATTTTGCCATTTATTATGTTAACTTATTAATGAAATAATCATACGCACAAGCCACACGTGGCATTTTAGAACCCTTATTTACATAGAGCACAGGACTTTTCTCCATATCCATTTTATCTTCTTATTTATCATGAGAATTCTTTTTTATTTAATATCAAAACAGCTTTACATTTTTTCCCTAATTATAGAGGTGATTCAGACACTGGTGAAATAAGTGACAATCACCCACAATCATGATGCTACAATGTAACCATTGTATATTTTATTTTTATTTTATTTTATTTTTGAGTCAGAGTTTCACTCTGTCACCCAGGCTGGAGTGCAGTGGCACCATCACAGCTCATCACAACCTTGACCTCCTGGGCTCAGGCTGTCCTTCTGCTTCAGCCTCCCAAGTAGCTGGAATTACAAGCGTGCATCACCATGTCCGGCTAATTTTTTTTTTTTTTTTTTTTTTAGAGACGAGGTGTCAGTATGTTGCCCAGGCTGGTGTTGAATTCCTAGGCTCAAGCAATCCTCCTACCTTGGCCTCCCAAAGTGCTGGAATTACAGTTGTAAGGCACTGGACCCAGTCTATTATATATTTTTAGAGTAGAGCTTTGAATCACATATTTTTAATGTTTGTTGCAAAAAGATATTTCTTCCTCTTTTTTTTTTTGTTTTGAGTCAGAGTCTCACTCTGTCGCCCAGACTGGAGTGCAGTGGCCGCTCCCGGCCACCGCAGCCTCGACCTGCTGGGCTCCGGCGATCCTTCCGCCTCAGCCTTCCGAGTAGCCGGAATTACAGGCATGCGCTACCACGCCCGGCTGATTTTTTGATTTATTGTAGAGATGAGGTCTCACCAAGTTGCCCAGACAGGTCTCGAACTTGTGGGCTCAGGCAGTCCACTCACCTCAGCCTCCCAAAGGCGCAGGATTACAGGCTGAGCCACTGAGCCCGGCTGATAGTTCTTCCTCTTTCACAACTTTTAATAATTATTACTTGAATTCCTAAAAGCTTCATGATAAACTGTTGCTGTTCTCATTTAAGAATGTTTTGGGCTGGGCGCAGTGGCTCAACGCTTATAATCCCTGTGCTTTGGGAGGCAGAGGTGAAAGGGATTGCCTGAGCCCACGAGTTCAAGACCAGCCTGGGCAACATGGTGAGACTTCATCTCTATAATAAATCAGTCAAAAAATGAGCTGGGCATGGTAGCACACACCTGTAGTTCCAGCTACTTGGAAGGCTGAGGTGGAAGTATTGCCTGAGCCCAGGAGGTCGAGGCTGCAGTGGCTGTGAGCATGCCACAGCCCTCCAGCCTGGGCAAGAGAGTGACACTCTGACTCCAAAAAAAAAAAAAAAAAGGAATGTTTTGTTCTGGACAGATGTTGGGAATCTCTCTTTTCCTTGTAGTGTTGATGTGTGTATGTGCTAATCTAATGCTTTTGAAACAAGAGCTGTCTTATCTGTTCTCCAGCCTCATGTAGATCTAGGTGAGTTCATCGGATCCTCAGAGACAGAAGATCCCGTGCTGGCAATGATGGATATGGGTCAGAACACGGATGAGGTTCAAGCGCCTTTGGCCATGTGGGAGGTTGGCATTCAGTCCATTGAGCTGGAGAAGGGAAGCAAAGGACTTGGTTTTAGCATTTTAGATTATCAGGTAAATATATCCCACTTTTTTTTTTTTTTTTTTAGTGAGAAAGCAGGATTTATTGAGAGGACAGAAAAACTCCCGCAGCAGGAGGGGACCCGGGGGGGGTTGCCTTGTATCCTACTTTCAACACATTTTCTTTTAAAAAAGGTAAAAGATGCCATATACTAAAGGTATATTGTTGATAGCAGAGAAAAAGCAAATGGTCGTGCAGTACAGTACAGTCATCAAAGATATTTTCTTTTTCCTAGTCAGTCTTTCAAAATAATTTATACGATTCATTCACTATCATAAGGTCTTGCTTAGCATTGACTTCACTGAGCTGTTTTATATTTCAGCTCTTGAGAATTTGAGGAACATGCAAAATACCTCTTAGAAATATCATAGAAATATAGTGCATTTTTGTTATTTGAGGAGTGTTTACATTATTTTTATTTCCAGGCTCTTATTTGTTGGCTTGTATTTTAATGGTAAGTCATAAAGAATTAGATATTTCTTTTGTCTTGTGTGAATTTATCATTGGGTATATTATCAATTCTGATATCCTAATTATTTGGCTGAATTTATGAGTATGCTTACACTGGTCAAGTGTGGCCTGTGTCCTCACTCCACTGTATTCCATTCTGAGTAAATGAGAACATGCTAACACCTGTCTAAAGAGCATTAACAATGGGCCAACACCCCCTTAGAGGGCTTCCAGACGTCAGTGTGTTCATAGGGCCTGATTCTAAAGGCTTGCCCTATATTAAAGTTGCTGTGTATCTGAAAACACGCTATCATCACAGACTGTATAGTGCACTCACATGCAGTGTCGAGTTGATGTTTCACACGGTGACATCCTATTTAACAGATGCTGTTGTTAATAATTAAGACACCTGACATCTGGCCTCGAATGACAGTTATAAAATTTGACAACCTGTCAAAAATTAAAAATATGATTTTAAAGTTATCCATACAATTAAAGAGGTTTACTCAGGAGCATGAGCAAGGGAATTGTTTTACAAACTCCTTTTAGTCTGTCTAAAAGGGAGACCAACTTTGCCTGGATAATCCAATAGAGATTTTGTATTTTTTTTTTTGCATTAGTTTTTAAGAAGCTTGAAACAATTACTCATCTCTTCTACTCCAGAGTGGACAACCTGTCAAAGAATTTTTTGTTGTAAAAAATGAGCTGACTTTATTGCTCGTTTCCCTTCTGTCAGGATCCAGTTGATCCAGCAAGCACGGTGATTGTCATTCGTTCCTTGGTGCCTGGTGGCATTGCTGAAAAGGATGGGCGGCTTCTTCCTGGAGATCGACTGGTGTTTGTCAACGACGTTAACTTGGAGAACAGCAGTCTTGAGGAAGCCGTGGAAGCACTGAAAGGAGCTCCCGCAGGCACCGTGAGAATAGGCGTCGCCAAGCCTTTGCCTGTAAGGACTGGGACCTGATTGCTTCTTTTTATGTGTATGAAGAAAATGGCTCATAGGCTAACTTTTAGCTTCAGATGTTCTCATGATTGAATTATGAACTTGGAAAGCCAAATTATGAATTGAATTATGAATTTGGAAAGCCAACACGATGATTGGCTTTATGTGTAGAAAGATTTACATTTGAGTAATGTTTTAAATGAATAAAGAGAAAAAAAACACCCAGGAAATTCAGAAGTAACTCACTGGGTGGCTCATTTTTGACCTTTTTTATTCAATAATAAGGTCATGATAATTTCAGCCTCGACCTGCTGGGCTCCGGCGATCCTTCTGCCTCAGCCTTCCAAGTAGCTGGAACTACAGGTGCATGCTACCACGCCCGGCTAATTTTTTGATTTATTGTAGAGATGAGGTCTCGCCAAGTTACCCAGGCGGATCCCGAGTGTGATATTTCTATTACCTAAAGTGAGGTTTAATAAATATTAAATTCATCTGTATGGGCAAATAAGAAAAACAGGTTTTTTTCCTATAATATTTATTCTGCATATACTACTGATACAGGGCAAGACCGTTATCTAAATTCTTCAGTCTGTTTTATCTGAGTGTAAAACCTAAACATGTTAGGTTTTCTGTTAGTGTGAGAAAGGTTAGAATATAATAGCTCAGGACTGCAATTTAAGCAGACTGTGTACAGGTGGAGGTTTTTTTGTTTTGTTTTGCTTTTCAAGCCATGCTAAATTAAGAGACTTCACCGTAGAGTTCGGTAACATTCCTTATCAAGGAAATTACATTCTTTAGAATAATATTCAGGCCAGGCTTAGGGGCTCAGCCTATAATCCCATGCTTTGGGAGGCTGAGGTGAGTGAATTGCCTGAGCCCACGGGTTCGAGACCTGCCTGGGCAACTTGGTGAGACCTCATCTCTACAATAAGTCAAAAAATTAGCTGGGCGTTGTAGCACGTGCCTGTAGTTCCAACTACTTGGGAGACTGAGGCGGAAGGTTCGCCAGAGCCCAGCAGGTCGAGGCTGCAGTGGCCAGGAGCTACCACTGCACTCTAGTCTGAGTGTCAGAGTGAGACTCCAACTCAAAAAAAAAAACAACCAAAAAACAAAAACAAAATAATATTCTAGTAAGGGATGACGGAGAGAAACTGATCCCTTTTTTAATGTTTTGTTCTACAATTTCTTTTATTTCTGAACACCTAAAAGTTGTATTATTTCTATATCAGGAAGTCATTGTTTGGCCAGAATATTAGGCAGATAAAAATGATGAGAAGATTATTATAATATAAAAAAGTTGTAGATCTTGATAATCTTTTATAAGAAGCAGAATGAAAAAATTAGTAAAAAGCAGTTCTCATCTAACAGATGATGTTCATAATAGAATCAATCTTCTCATTATATCTTATCAAATAAATTTTAAATATGAATATCAGATTTCATACTTACCGTTCTATGTTAAAGTTGTATATTTTCACTTGAAAACTTCCCTTTTTCTTCTCTTCTCCCCTCACTTTCCTCTCCCCCTACCCTTCCTTTTTCATTTATTTTCCTCTTTGCTATCCTCTGTCTTTTCCGTGAACTGGTCCTCAAACACCATTCTCCCTGCAGCTTTCACCAGAAGAAGGGTATGTTTCTGCTAAGGAAGATTCCTTTTTCTACCCACCACACTCCTGCGAGGAAGAAGGGCGGACTGACAAAGCCCTCTTTAGGACTGGCTTGGCTCTGGTTAGTGGCCACAACTTTTCAAGCTTTCTCTCAGAAATCTGTGTGTCTTACTTTGCCTTTCAAAATATCCTGAAGAAGTCTTACTCTTTTCTTTGTTCATTATATTTTGGAAGGATAAGCATATTCTCTCCAACTCAGATGGTTCTCACAATTGAAAATGCAAAGAAAAACCATAATAAATATGAAAAATACGTGCTGGGTTTGTGGGGAAAATTGAATTAGCTTGACATTGTGCCAACATGTAGAGTTAATCTTTATATTATATCTACAGTTGCTGGAGCACTTGTTTGCTCTAATTTCATACTTGGATATTTCTAGACTTTAACTATTTTCAACATTCGGTCATATGTTAATGTTTTTGCTACCCTTTAATGAGGTAACAGGTATACTTTTTTCATTAGATATGAATAGTGTAAAAGTCATATAAATTGGTTCAGTTATGAAGTACACAAATATTTTCCAGACAAGTAAAATTCATGTTTTCTATAAATACATTTATGTAAACATATTGATTTAAATTTAAAATTAAAATTTTATTTCTGCTTGATCTATTCACTGGAATAAAAGTATTTGGAACCACTCTGCCCTTAAGAACCTTGCTTATCTGGTAGAGGGGATAATACTACGTCAATAGTTAAAGGATAAAACTAAATGCCAGACATAAATATACCAAAGACATTTATGCAATGTAAATATAACAAATTGTACCTCCTGTTCACAGCACTCCTACCATGAGAGCTAGGTTTCTGACTTAACGTTTCTGGGGGACAAATGTTGTCCAATGTCACTAGAAAGGAATATGCCTGCTTTGTAAATACTTGCTTTAGTATTGTTAGAGAGGATGATAACCTACCACATTCTTCGTTATGTGACTTCGTTTTGAGACTGATTGTACACATCCTGCTTTCAACAGGAGAGTGAATTATTTTTTTGATTCCATATGCATTTTGGAATCCTAAGTTTGGGAGCAGCAATTATTTTCACTAATATTTTTAAGTTACAGGCTCTTGAAAACAGCCATTTGAAAGTCTTGTGTATGTTATAATAAATGCAGTCATTTCACACTATAATAATTAACATACCAGATAACTTTTGACCCTACTGTCCATAGGCATTATGTTAGTATTTCAAAACTCGATAGCTTAGTGTACAATGAACTACATAAGGTACTATGATGTTCAATTGTACCCAGTCATAGCAAATTCTTTTTGAAATGTCACAGGACACAAATGCCATTGTTTCTAAAGTACCCCAAGAAATAATATTCTCTCTGGAGTTCACATAACTTCCTTGAACACTCTTAAATGAATGCCAATCAAAAAAGATTAGTTCTACTTTTTTTGTAGCTTAGAATCTTATCATGGTCATATGTGTACTGGGTCTTTTCCCTAACTAGCTAAGCTATCTAATCTTAGTTTGGTCACTCAGCTTCTCTGGGCCCAGTGTTTTATCTCTAAAATAAATGAATCCACAAATTGATTGTTATGATCTCCCCTAAGATTAATAAGTCATCAGCAATAGGTATACAAATTACATTGAGGTGTTCTTTCTATAATGTTACTTAAAACAAATATTTACTGTAATTCATGATACAAGGCTTAGTTAATCTTATCTTTTAGATTGTTGTACATAATGTACATTATTAAATGACTTGCTAATGAATTTGAACATGTAACTGAAAAACATTATTAGCCCTATAAAATATATTTGAAAAGAAGATCACTTTGGAATGGTTCACCTGGGATTTTAATAGGTTTTTACAAGAATGTAAGTTGGTGTAATGTTATAATGCTCTAATGTTTCCTGGATAAACATGTTCATTTGAAATGACAAAGAAATAGAACATGTGGGATTTTGCAAAGATAGACAGAAAATGTTGGAAATATCAGAGAAGGGTGGTATTTATTTCAGTTCCGCCCATTCTAAAGGATGACTGTGATTGAATTGCAAGAAGAGCTTTAAGTTCAGTCTGGCTTAATTCTTTCTCTTGATCCTAGGACAGAAGATAGAAATAGGATTATTAGAGCATGTGCAGTGAAGTTCTCTAACTCACTCTATATGAGTTTTTTAACAGAAGTTTAAAACTTAAAACTTCACCATAACCAGATCATAATTAGGCCCCTTGTTTGTTAGTATAATTTTAGCATGAAATCACAGATTTTCTTTTTGGTTTGTGCATCTCGAATGGTTTTAAAATCTAGTTCAAGATAATTTAAACAAAATATATAGTTTTAGTGTGGTTTACAAATATGTAGTTGCCTTGCTGCCTTTTTGAATAACAGTTTAATTTTAGTTGAATAGGAGAAGATGACCTCATTCATTTTATTATAAAATTGTAAGAGTTGTGCAGTGTGAACTGGAAAAAAGTAACTTTCTCTAACTTAATGGAACTGTTTATGCTTAGAATCAGTCCAAGGCCTGTGTTAATTGTTACCTTTAGCCCTTTTATTTGATAGAATAAAAGAACTTTGCATGCCAGTATCTTCTGCCGTAGGTGAGCAGCTGTCCTTGTTCTGCTGCATTAGATAGTCTCTGATGTGTCGGAGAGTGTGAAGACAGGTATGATAGAAGACAGAACAGACAAAAGAATGATAGCAGTATGGCTTTCAGTCCCAAGCGAAGACTGTTTGTCATATAAGTAAAAGCATTCCCAACTGATATTATTGTCTCGCTTCTAGGTGGACATAAATGATGCTGACTTGGTTGATGAATCCACACTTGAGTCTCAGTACTCCCCAGACAATGACAGCGTCTACTCCACCCAAGCCTCTATTTTATCTCTTCATGGCAGTGCTTGTGGCGATGGCCTGAACTATGGTCCTTCCCTTCCATTGTCTCCTCCTAAGGTACAAAAGAGAGGCCGTTTCATTGGTGGGAAAGCCTTGTGCATAATTTTCAGAGATCAGTGCTTATTAGGAGTTGTGGCAGTAATATATTAGAAACATTATGTGTCTCCAAGCATGACTTTATTGCAAGATTAAGGTACCATTCCATTTAGCTGGTGTTTGAGTAGCCTTTAGGCTACTAGGGGCTATTTAATGTCTCAGACAGAATGACAGACACAAAGGTTTAAAACTTTGCTTAGGGTTTACATGTCAGAAAGGAAAATATTAAGGTCATGTATTGGCCATTTCCTTGCTAGAGTCTGGTGTGGTCATGTGCTCTTTGAGCCATGTCTAACACCATGCTTCCTGGCTTTGGTTCCCCTCCCTTACCCTGGGGAGGTGAATCTTCTCTCTTCCTTCTCTCTCTCGCTCTCTAATTTACTTTTAAATAAACTTTTCTTTCTTTAAAAAAAAAAAAAAAGTCCTGTATTTCTCAAATTGTGTTTTTAGCAGTGTCTACTTTGGAAAAAATAACAAGGATAACTTTATTTGCTTAATGGTTTTAAGATTGACATCTATGCAAAGTTGGATAGTAAAGGATTTTTTGCATTAATTTAACATTAACTAGTGAAGTTAAACTTAATGCTGTCATATGTTTTTTACAGAAAATGATGCCAAATAATACTTTACATAAAAATCACAGTGAATGGCAAAATATGTATATGTCACTGGATATGAATGAAGAGTTTAGTTACTCTTTGACATATCTGTGCCACTTATAGTTTAGAAATAGAGTATTGGCAAAAAATGCCCCAACTCTGTTCATTTTCTTGGTGACATACTCTATAATGTTCAGTAAGTAGTATTTTAAAACCTATCCAAGCTTTTGGGTGTGAACTGGTATCTTACTATTTTAATTTGGATTTCCTGATTACTGGTGAGAATGAATTTTTTTTGTGATATTGGCCTTTTGACTTCAACTTTTCATCAATGATCTCTTTATATCTTTTTACCATTTTTATATTCGATTGCTCATTGTTATTTTGGTTAGTTGAAGTTGATGTTTTTTGGAATTTGATACACAAAGCAATTCAATATATTTATATTTTATATGTGTGTACATAGATGTAGTAAAATCTAAAAATATATGGACACAGTGCTTCTCATCTTCAGGAAAGAAGTCATCCATTGAGAAAAAAAGAATGTTTGGGAATTTATCTGCATCTCTAATACATTATATCATTTTAAGAAGAGACAAGAAAATAGGACAAAATGTTTCTATCTGTTCAATTTTGGCAGAGTTGTATATATAGGCTATATTTTCTTTACTTCTATATGTTGGACATATATACAAATAAACACTAAGCATTAAGATACAAAGACTGGATAGCATTTTTTTCTTAAATATATGAAATGTGCATTTTCGCATACATTGAATTCAGTGGGAAGGGGCCTATGTTTATGAATAAGCTGAAAAGTAGGATTTGTATGGGTCTAGCACCGTTTTCCTTCTTTCCTGGCGAACAAGTAAGTTTTTTGGCCAGAGCATTTGAAAGCATTTTCTTTTGTGATCAAGGCACACCTGTTATCCTTGCAGACGATGGTGGGCAACCTCCTTGAAGTGGTTTGCAAGGTAACATCTTGAGTGGGGCAGCTGCTTCCCTCACCACACCTGAGACTGTCTGGCTAGCTGCGTCCTGTCTGGAATGTGTTCAGTCTTCACTGGCCTCAGGGCTGGAAGCTGAGTTCATCTCCTAATGGAGTCTCCTAATCCACAGTATTGCACACGTCTTCTTGCCAGTGGGACAGATTGCATTGTTTAACTTAGTAATTGTTACTTAAAGGGATTACACAGTCTGCGTACAGAGAAGCATCTATTTTACAGGGCAAATGCTGGCTGTATACAGCACAACATATTGGCTTACTGAAGTCTGTTTGCCTCCCTTTCCCCGCCCCCCTTCCCAAGCAGTTTACTCTTTTGTTGAAGCAAATTTTGGCAAGCTGGCCTATCAACTGAAATATTTAAGCTACAAAACAACAAAGAAGACATTAATGAGGGCATTTTAAAACACATTATGAAACTCCTGTGTGCTTTCAGTTTTCCTATAAAGTGGAACTATTCCTGCAACATGGTAAATCTCTGCAACATTTTGGGGGGTTGGCAACCTTTTAGCACCTAGATTTTCACCTAAAAATTGCATTTGCGTAAAATATATATATAATGCATTTATCTGGTTTCTTTGCACTAGATTTATCTTAAAAAGACACACTGATGATTTGCAATGAAATTTAGAAATAACAATTTTTTAAAAATGTGAGCTCACTTCAGGGCCGTTTTAACTTATAAAATAAAACCATATAGTACATAATACTTAAGAAGAGCAAAGATGCCTCTGTACCGATCTGAAAGAAGAATAAAATAGAGTGTGAAGATCTAAGCAATTCCTTAGGTTTTTGACTTTGCTGGATATGTAATAATCTCAAAGTCTTAAATGGCAACTGGAAATGGACTGCTTTTACCTGTCACTCCACCTTGCTGAGAGGTCTTTTGACCTTGGTCAGTTGTGCTACTAGCAGTTGTAAGAGCTTATCATCCAGTGCATAGACTCCTCATAAAGGGAGGCCTTACTCTTCAGGGCAGACCTTAGGACTGTGCAGCGACTTAAACACCAACGGGCGATAGTCATGCACTGAATCTCCTCTTTACAAAATTTCCTCATCTAGGGGTCATTCTCCTTTTCTTTTTTTTTAAATGCATTTGCTTAATTTGATTAATTATAATTCAAGGGCATATGGGAAATAACCATTATTCAAGAACCTGAAAAATATACCCACTTCCATGATATTTGGTTTAATAGAGGCACCTCATTGAAATGTGGATTTTTAAAGGCAACATAGCTAGAGCCAGTGTTTTTTTTTTCCCTTCTCATTGTTCTATGTTTTGATTTTTTAATTGATTTTTTATTTCACTTTCCTCATTACCTCCAAAGACATGACAAAATGTAGAGTTAATTACTTTTCAAGCCTAAATGTTTATAGACTTTTGTTTAAAAACTTAACATGGCATTTGAGGAGAAGGGGCTTGCTTTTTTTTCTTTAATTTTGATTTTAAAATACAACCAATAAAGATTTCATAGCTATTAAAGTTTCCCCTTCTCCACCTTATCTACACTCCAACACGCTGCTCTCCCACATACACCCATGTGCTCTCTCTCTCGAGAAGCAGGGATGAAACTGTTCCCAGTGTGGTATGTCCTTCATTCTTGAATGTTGATTCTGCCAAGACACGCCTTCCTTGTACCTTGCGCACCAAACACAGTTAATGAGTTCCATGATTTTAAATAATCTATGTAGTCTCACAAATACCCACAAGTGTCACTTTGCAGCAGGAAATATTGCTACATTCACTTTCATGTTTAGAATGTCGATACTGTGTCTTATTGTCTTTTTGGAGAAGGACTTAGGATCAAGAATTAATTAAGTCACTCATCGCCACAATGAAGAGTGATTGTGAAAGTCTTAGTGACAAAATGGATGACTTTCAAAAGTAGAAAAGGTACTGCCTTTGCCCTCAAGTAGGATCAATATATAAACAATAAAGTGTATCTTATCACAGAGAGAGTGGGAGGACAGTTGTGTTTGTAGTATATATATATATTTTCTTTTTAAAAAGAGCTTATTTTATTTGAAAGATGTGAGGTATAATTCAAGGTTCAGTATACAAGTGGTCATTGTACAGATAAAGTTTGGGCTTCCCTTTGGTCCTCACATTGCCTGGTTTGAGTTCAAGTGCACTTATTGATGGTGTGTTCCTTCCCTGACCACCCCCCTCAGTATTTTCCCATCACTACCAATCCCTTTCTTATAGTATTATGGTAAGTGTTCAGGGTCTGCTTATGAGTGAGAACATGTGGTACTCAGTTCTTTGTTTCTGTGGTAGATCACAGGCTAGAAGAGACTGGGGTATATTTTTTAAGGCATCATAAGAATTATCTGTTAGACTGCTTATTGAAGAAAAGCAGATGGTGGCTAGTGAAGGTTTAAGTATTTGGCTAGTCTATGTAAATGTATTATCTGGGTAAATCGTGTGCCCAAGTCTAACCTTATCTATGCATTGCACTTAGGAAATAGAGCTAGTTTCTAGTATATTTGACATTTTAATTTAACTTCTTTCCCAGTTTTTTCCTGAGGAAAGAGTATATCAAGTGGCAGCAAATATTAATATGGATTTTTGAAGTACTTCAGTTTAGATATCAAGTTGCCCTGGGAAATTGTAGAGTTATTTTTGTAGATCTTATGGGGGAGGAACTGTTTTTCTTTTAGATCCATAAGACTTTTAAAAATAAAACTGAGTTGGTTGTTCAGCAACCAGAAACGTTTCTGAAGTGGGCGTATGTTGTCTACTGTGTTGATTAGCTCTTTCTTTTCTATGTGTCTGTGTTAACTCCTTCATGAATAATGCATAGAACTTTCTGTTATGCCATTTACAGTAAACCTCAGTTAACAAGAGCGATTTGACCTCTTTTTCTGATGAAAAGCAGTTTCGATTGTTGTCCTTATTTCAGCCATGGGGGAGTTGATTTACTGCAAATTATTGTAATAATTTAGTAATACAGAAGCTAACCAATTCTATAATAGTACATTGTTATTTTTCATAAGAATAAAGTAACCAAGTTGAGTGAGTGAGCCAACAGGTTTTGGTTTAGATCTTGGGAGTTTGGAGGATGATACCTTCCTATACTGTGTTTCTGAAGATACTATAGCCTATAGAATTGTTTGTGTGATATTCCTGCTTTCCTCAATTCCTTGTACCAGGAATATTTGATAATTCTGGAGAGATGATAACTTGCATCGAAGAAAAGGAGTATTATAAATTATGTTAGAGCAATTAATCATCCATTTAGAAAAAAAGAAAAGAGACCTATATCTCACAGTATGCCTTGAATATATCTAGATGATTAAAATCTAATAGGTGAAAAATACTAGAAAATATTTTATTTTACTTTGTGTGGAAGAAGGACTTATTAGTAATATATAAATGACAACTTTGATTACATAATGATCTTAACTTCTGTGTGAAAAAATACTACATATACAAACTTAAAAAAAGACAAATGACAGACTGGGAGAATATTTGCGGTATATATTACAAAGCTTGTATATTCAGAATATGTAAATGACACAAAAACTATTCTTCTCTGCGAATACCTATAAATGCCTATAAAATAGTTTTCTCTTGGAGGCTGTTGTGAATCCAATCAATTAATGTCATACTTTTTATGCTCTTGATTTCATAGTAAATAGAAACTTCAAACTGATTTGGAAGTATCAGTTATTTCCTTCTCTGTGTAATTTGAACTCTGATAAAAAGTTGGATGAATTATATGAAGACAGTGTTCACAGAATATATACAAGTGGCATGTTCTGCTAAATTGTCAGGAGCACATGTAGTGAAAGACTAATGAATATATTTCCTACAAGTCACACTGCTAAATGAATCTAGGGTTGGCAAGGTTAGCTAATAGGTATTCTCATTCTCCTTTTGTGTGAGAAAATTAAAAGACAGTTTGGCAGTATATACCAGCATTTTACATGAGCTTTTCATGTGACCTACCGCTGCAGATGTAGAGGTTGCTAGTAAATATCTCCTCACACATGTTTGTTAAACATGTGTGTATATGTACATTCTTGCATATGTGAGTATGTACATGTGTACTCATATTTATATATTATGCAAACACAATAAAAAAATTCTGATGTATAAACACTTAACCAATACCAGCCAGTTTTACTAGGGATGGGGATGAAAGTAGGAGTCATAGTGAGTACTTCCATCTTGTACTCTGTGTGCATACGCAATATACATCTGTATCTAGACTATTTTATGTGACAATGTATACATATTCCACTTTTGTACTTTAAAAATATCAATAAAAGAATTGAAGGGAAAATTGATATGTATATTCAATGGTAGTTCATGAAGCAACAGCTTGACCAAAGCACATAAATGATGCAATATATATGTTGTAAGTAGATGCATGCATTTATACAGACTTACAAAATTTTAGAGTTTCAGAGAGTTGTAGAATTTGTCTCATAGAAAGCCAAAAGAGGTTCTGTGATATACAGATTGTCAGTAACAACTCCTGGATTCAAACATATATTTATTCTATGACAATCCATCTTAGTATTCCTTCGGTTATATCTTATAGAATATTTATGCCAATTGTTCCTATAATAATCAAAACTATAAGGCTTTGTATGTCCTATAAATGCATATTAAAATAATTTGCTCTTGGAGGCACTTGTGAATCTAGATCAATTAATGTTATTCTTTTTTATTTTTTATTTTTTTTTGAGCTGGAGTCTCATTGTTGCCCAGACTGAAGTGCAGTGGCCGCTCCTGGCCACCGCAACCTTGACCTGCTGGGCTCCGGCGATCCTTCCGCCTCCGCCTTCCAAGAAGCTAGAACTACAGGCACGCGCTACCACGCCCAGCTAATTTTTTTTTTTTTTTATTTATTGTAGAGATGAGGTCTCACCTGCCCAGGCAGGTCTCGAACCCGTGGGCTCAGGCAATCCACTCACCTTAGCCTCCCAAAGGCGCGGGATTACAGGCTGAGCCTCCTAGCCCGGCTAATGTCATTCTTTTTATGATCTTGTTCTTATAACAAATAGGGACTTCAAACTGTAAATGAGCTACACTTTAAGAGAGATTTGGAAGTACAAGTTATTTGCCTTTCTATGTAATATGGACCTGAATAATTTGTGGATGGGATATAGCATTGTATCTAAATGATCTTATGTACAGTATATTGCATAACTCAGTAAAACATGAGATGTATAATTTTGAGGAAGCATATTCATAAGCATTTATGAAAATAAAGATGTGGAAAGTCTGCTAAGCAGATAATTTAAAATGTTAATGCTTTTTGAGTAATAATTATGTTTTGTTTTCACTAAATGTTCATTGAGAAGTGGGATTATAAAATACGTTGATATAATTTTGGTCAAAATTTTTAAATTTTTTGTGATCCTTAAATCATCAGGATGTTATTGAAAATTCTTCTGACTCAGTACTTGATCTGCATATGTCCTTGGAGGAACTATACACCCAGAATCTCCTGCAGAGACAGGACAAGAATCCACCTTCCATAGACATGAGCATGAGGCCTGCTTCTAACTTTACCATAAATGATTATACACCTGCAAACGCTTCTGAACAACAATATGAATGTGAAAACCCAATAACGTGGACTGAACCTCAGCTACCAAGTGACGTTATATCAAGTCCAGAACTTTCTTCTCCTGTGCTACCTGATTTAACTGGAAAGGTACTATTTTAAAGATAATGGTTTGTGTTTTATGATGATATAGCAGACAGTGAAGGGTTAGAGTATTCTGGCTGATCTCTTCGCTTGGAACGAGTGCTTGCCGATGCTGAGATTTTCAAAAGGCAACCTGTGAACTTGTTTAGGTTATAGGTTCTTGCTAAATAAAGCACAACCAACTAGAGAACATGCATGATGTTGAAATCACACTCCAAAGTCTAGTTTTCTTGTCCATGTGACTTGTTTTGCCTTCTTTCAGAACTCCGAGTACTTGATTGAACAGAGTTCCCTGGCCTCTAATGCTGAGTGTACCATGCTCCAAAATGTTTCCAAAGAATCTTTTGGAAGGACTATTATGATAGCAAAAGGCAATTCTAGCCTAGGTAAGTTCTACATTTTCTACATACCCCTACTCCTCAGCCCCCTTATCCAGGGGAAATATTGAACATGGTAGTCTTCAGTGTTTGTTGTAGATAAGAAAAAAGATGTTAGAACTTCTGTAGTTTTTATGGTTTTTCTTTGTGTCCTCATTCTTTCTGAAATGGTTCACAGGTTTGTTTACTTCATACGAGCATAGAACCTTCATTCTCTTAATTATGTCAAAGTATTCACAAGCCTCATTTACGTTCAAGTACAAGATACATGAATTGTTTATGTATGATACAGCAAATCAGAAAAGGAATTCTTAGGAAATGAAAAGTCAGCAATTTGGAATTCTAAATTCTTTGGAAAAGTAAATTATTAGTTTCTTTGAATGTTGCCAGTTATGCGTAAGTCACTTTCTATTTAAATTCTTTCATTCAGTCTGAAAGAAAGACTAAAAAGACAGGCAGGTGTGCCACCACCAAAATGTAAATGCAAGTTATTCAATAGTTCTTCCCAGGTGGCAGGATTTCTGTGTCCTTTGTTACCCATAAAATATTCCAGCTGGTTAATAGTACAAAACCCTCTGAGTTGGGCAGAGACTTCCTGGAGAAATAAAATCCTAATTACAATAGCTAATACTGTGTCAAGACAGAGCATTTTTGTTCTCGCACTGAGTTAGACAGTTACGGGATGCAGACTGTTCTGATTGCTCTGCACTGATAAACAAGGTGATGGACCAGTTGCCCTGAATGCCCAAGTACAGCCCAAGGCTCTCTGGTCAGCTTAATACGAGATCCTGTTCCTTGTAGGAACTATGCAACCGACACTCTTGACATTGGTGTCTTACGGCAGGGTCTTATTCCTTGCTAAGTGTGAGACTTGGCAGAGGCATCTAGCCATGCTTAATTGGTGAGTGGGATCCCAGCATCTGTTTCTTAGATTTTGTTCCATTTGATGGTGATGGAGTATTACCAGTGACAGCTAAACAGGGAATTAGAGCAAAAAATTTCTACTTTGTTGTAATATTTCTTATATATATATTGCATTTAATATGCTGATATAAGGCTTGAACTCCAGAACTTTCCGCAACTTATTAATTATGTGACAGGTTAAAGATAATCCAACCCATACCAGAATTATTTTATCTACTAATGCAATATTTCTGAAACAATGCTACTTAAAATATGAATTCTATAGGATGTTAATGCGAATTACAGATGGGTTCCAAGTTTAAAAGTTTTGAGATGTGATAAATTTTCGAAGACAATTTTCTGTTTGTATCACTTCTCAGTATCTTTGTTTGTTTGTTTGTTTTGTTTACTTCTTTGTTTTTGAGTCTCACTCTGTTGCCCAGACTGGAGTGCAGTGGCACGCTCACAGTCACTGCAGCCTCGACCTGCTGGGCTCAGGTGATCCTTCCGCCTCAGCCTTTCAAGTAGCTGGAACCACAGCTGTGCACTACCAAGCCCAGCTAATGTTTTATGTATTGTAGAGCTGAGGTCTCGCCAAGTACCCCAGGCTGATCTGAAACCCCTGGGCTCAGGCAATCCTCTTGCTTCCACCTCCCAAAGTGCTAGAATGACAGGCGTGAGCCACAGTGCCTGACCTACTTCTCAGTATCTTTGATACTCCAATTGGGCATTGTGGATCTTGAAGGAGAGGTTATAGAATGTGGCATTTCTCACCTTTAATTGACTGTAGGACTCATTTTTGTTGAGCAAGTCATAAGACAGATTTTGCAAAGCCCATTTGAAAAACATGCACTTAAGAGAGTAAGCTCATTGATATTTTAAATCCCAAAGACATTAATTTTAACATATTATGATAGATACCCATGTGCTATGATAGATACCCATGTAGGACACTGGAGGCTTGAAAAGAGAGAATGGCTAATCCATGCTTGCTGAGTGGGGATGAGTTTAGAAAGGCTTCAGGGAGGAGGAGATGTTTGATTTAGGTCTTGAAAGAGGAGTCGTTTCTTACCACATAGTTGAGGAATTGGAAAAAGTTGGAAGCTGCTGGAAGTAAGGCAGAGAGATGTGAAACATTACTGAAGCCTGTTTGGTATGAATGAAGTGTGGTGTGATGTCTGGCACGGTATGAGCTCAAGGAATGAGAGGTGGGAGACAGCTGCTGGACGGGTTTGTGTGCGGGACACAGGACTTCTGGTTGCAGTCTTCTCCTGCCTTCAGTTCCTGAAGGCAGTGAGGGCTGAGGTCATGACCAGATTCGTGTTTTAAGAGAGTCACTCAGCATAGGGTGAGAGATTAGATTGGAAGCAGTTAGGAGGTTCTTGTAAGAGCCATGGTTTGAGTACATCTGATCTTACAATGTGGACATTTGTGTTGCTCATCTATTTTAGTTGACTGCTGAATTTCAAAGATTTTATTCCTCTATATGAGAAATGCAGTTATATGAATTTTCTTGTTTATTCTGTTAATACTGTGTGTCAAGATGCACTGATTTTTTTATCATGGTACAATAATTTATAACATAAAATTGATGACCATTTAATCATTTTAAGTGTACATTTCTGTGGCTTTACGTACATTCACATTGTTGTACAACCATCACCATCATCCATCTCCTGAACTTTTTCATCTTCTGTAACTAAAACTGCATCCATAAAACAGAAGCTCCCCATTCCCCTCTCCTCCAGGCCCCTGTCAACCTCCATTCTTTTTTCTGTCTCTATGAATTTGAGGTTATGATGTACTTCATTTAAGTGGAGTCATATGACCTTTTTCCTTTTGTGACTGGGTTATTTCACAAAGCATAATCTCTTCAGGATTCATTCATGTTGCAGCATGTGTCAGAATTTGCTTCTTTTTTTAGGGTGAATGATATCCCATTGTTTACACTACATTTTTTAAATCGATTCATCTATTGATGGACACTTGGATTGCTTCTACTTTTGTTTTTAAATTTTGTTATAAAGGAGACATCCTGATGGAAATTGAAACTGGCAACCAATTTCTGATCAAAACCCCGAATGCCCATGCCATAAGAGATAAGATAGACAAGTGAGGCCTCATCAAATTGAAAAGCTCTGCAAAGCAAAAAAAAAAAAAAATCCATCATGAGAGTGGGGAGACAGCCCATGGACTGGGAAAAAATATTTGCCAAATGTATATCTGACAAAGACCTAATATCTAGGATCTCAAACATGCTGAAAGGGGAAAAAAAATAGCCCTATTACAAAGTGGGCAAAAGATATGAACACACACTTCTCAAAAGAAAACATACGAGCAGCCAATAGATACATGGAAAAATGCTCAGCCTTACTAATCATCAAAGAAATGTAAATTAAAACCTCTCTGAGATACTACCTAACTCCAGTCAGGATTGCCATCATCAATAACTCAAAAAACAACAGATACTGGAGAGTATGTGGTGAAAAGGAAACACTTCTACACTGTTGGTGGGAGTGTAAACTAGTACAACCTCTGTGGAAAACAGTGTGGCGATTCCTAAGAGATCTAAAAGTCATTCTTCCTTACAACCCCACAGTCCCCCTACTGGGAATATACCTGGAAGAACTCAAATCACTCTGTGAAAAAGATACCTGCACATGCATGTCTATTGCAGCATTATTCACAATAGCAAAAATGTGAAACTAACCATGCTGCCCATCGAAAGTAGACTGGATTTAAAAAATGTAGTACATACATACAATGTAATAATATGCAACCACAAAGAAAGGACAAAACTGTAAACTTTGCAGCAATCTAGATGGATTTAGAGTCTGTAATACTGAGTGATCTATCACAAAAACAAAGAACTGAGTACCACATGTTCTCACTCATAAACGAACCTTGAACAATTATCATAATACAATAAGAAAGGAACTACCTTTCTTATGGGAAACTGCCGGGGACGGGGGAACTACTTAATCAATAAAAGTACCTGATCTCAAACCAGATCAAGTGGGGACCAGAGTGAGACCCTGTACATTTTACCTGTACATCGACCATTTGTATACCTAACCCTGAATTGTACCCATCTTTAAAATAAAAATTTTAAAAATTAATATAAAAATATGCTAGGTCAATTAGATTCTTGAGAAAAAACAGTGAAAGTCCTTTCTGTCATATTTAAAAATCAGTTTAAATCTCAAAAACTTGATTTTAAAATTAAAAGTATAAAAAGAGCACTTTAATTTGTTGTGTGAGAGTCAAACATTTATGTGTAAAGTCACAACATAAGATTAGTTTGCCATTCAAACTGTATTTAAAAGTATGAGTAATTATTAGTTTTACTTTTCTCTTTCCTTTTCATTATTTCTATATGCCCAATTTTCCCTGACTGTTTGATTTTCTGGGACCCAGTGAGATTTCTCTAGAAGTTTGGAGTTCAAATTTATAGCCTGCTAAGGCAAGAATCTTCCTCTGTTATCTCACTTGACAGAACATGTTCAATGTTCACATTTTGACAGCAATTATAATGACTAAATGCAAAGGAATCTGGAAAAACCTATGTAAAATATTAAAATAATTTGAGTAAATCTTTCAGCTTTAATATAGATGTGTTGCCTTTACAGCTTGAAATAACAAAAAGTGAGATAGATAATATTTTAGGAAATCTAGATAGAAGTTGCTTTGTGTTGGTAAAAAAGTATGTTACAAAGGGGTCTGTCAGTGAGCTCATTTCCTTTTCTTCTCTCTCTTTTTTTTTTTTTTTTTTTTTTTGAGTTGGAATCTCGCCCAAGCTGGAGTGCATGCTCATGGCCACTGCAGTCTCGACCTGCTGGGCTCAGGGGATCTTCCTCTTCAGTCTTCCAAGTAGCTGGAACTACAGGCGTGTGCTACCACACCCGGCTAATTTTTGATTTACTGTAGAGACGAGGTCTCGCCAAATTGCCTGGGCTGGTCTCGAACCCACGGGCTCGGACAGTCCACTCACCTCAGCCTCCCAAAGTGCTGGGATTACAGGCTGAGACACGGAGCTCAGCGAGCTCATTTTCTTAGATTCATAATCTCCTCTTAATCAGCTGTATGAGGTTGTCTACTGTTTTAGCTTTGTGGACAATTTTTTTTTCTCTCTCATGTTGACCAGAAGAAATTATTAATAAATGACAGATTACTGTAAAAACTATCATAATACATTTTTAATATCATATATCACTTTAAAAAACACTTTGTTAAACTTAGGATGAGAATATTATATACAGATTTATACATGTATGTACACATGTATATAGTGACCTTCAAAAAAAAAAATCTAATCTTGATGATTTTGATAGACCTGTGGTCCACTGGTTAAAGATATAGCATTAGGACTTTACGATTTAAACACACACACACACACACACACACACACACACACACACACACACACACACTCTCTCTCAATTTTTTTGGGGAGAGAGGGAGAAAAGGAAAAGAAGGTATTATCTCCCTTCACTGATTAAATACAGAAGCCTAGACAGATTCAGGAACTTATCTGAAAGTACTCTACCCTTAAGGTGTTGAGTCACCCTGGCATGGTGTTACATGCCTGTAGTTCCAGCTACTTGGAAGGCTGAGGCAGAAGGATTGCCGGAGCCCAGCAGGTCGAGGCTGCAGTGACTGTGAGCATGCCGCTGTATTTCAGCCTGGGCGGCAAAGTGGGACTCCAACTCAAAAAAAAAAAAAAAAAAAGTAGAGTCAGTACTCAAACCTTAATCTGTCTCTGGTTCTCTCATACCATCTAATACATTCAATATTTGAGTTACCCAAAGACACATTATGATTGTTGTAATAACAAACTTCATTTTGAAGCTGAATTAAGATGTGCATTTAGTCTTTAGAGAGCAATGTAACTTCGATGTGGGACAGAGATCCATTTTAAATATGTCCTGTGAGTTTTATTTTTAGTTTTGCAAATGCAATTTACTGGGTCAGGTACTTCGATAGGTACTTCACATATATGTTTCTCAATTATTTAAACAATCCTAAGAATCGACATTATTATTTTCATTTTACAGATGGGTAAACCAAGGCCCTGTGTGAGGTGAAGTCAGTTGCCCAAGCTCATACTGCTTGGAAGTGGTAGAACTCAGATTTGTAACCAGTTCCCTGGTTCCACAGTTCATGATTTAGGCTACTCTTCCATACTTCTTCCAAGAAAACTCTTGAAAGATCTTCCAAGTTGCAATCAAAATCTAGTTAGTAGATATCACTTCAGAGTTGTTGAACCTCGAACATTTTTATTTGGCAAAAGGAAAGTATAAGCTCAGCTAACTGATGTCAACTTCTTGGTTTATATGATTTACATAACCTGACAGCCTTAATAGCTGAGAGTTGTGAGTTAAATGTACTGTTTAAAGTGACTTCAGAGGACATGTCAGCCACAGCTCATGTTTCATGTCTATGGCTGCCTTGTTGTAGACTGCATGGTGCTACTGAGAACAAGAAGATGAGTTAGAGTCCTAATGTGAGTCATTTAGTTAATTTTTAACACACATTTCACGTTTTTATTTTAACAAAGTACAGTTGTTTGGTGGGTCTTGTGGGAATGGTGGGTGTATCAATACAAACTAGAGTGCTTTTTGAAACATTTAAGGGCCAGCCATTTGCTCGTAAGAAACCCACCTGACATGGTGTCATGTCTTATGGTACACAGAGATGTCTTTTTAATAACAATACATTTTTTAAAAATGTTAATAGGAGTCTTAGTGCCATATTTTAAATACATCTGATAATGTTTCACTTCCATCAGAAAACGATAACTAGGAGCTGGGTTGCCCATATGGAGGCATGAAATATTAGACTGGAAACATCAGAATCGTTCTTTAAAATGTTTGAAATATCATATCTAATTTGGTATGACTGGAATTAATATTTGGAAAGACGTTATGTTTTTTTAAACACATAAAAACCTAAAAAGGAACTTGTGACTTCTGTCAAAGAAAGTTTTTATAAATACCCTGAGAGCTTTATATCTCTCCTTCCTTATCTTGTTTAATTCTGTAGTCTTGTTTTGGAAGAAACTTTTAGCACTTCAAGTTAAGTTACATTATTTTTACAAAGTTTTCAACATGATTTTAAAGGCTTTATATTTTGAAAGAAAGGAGTAGAGTTAGGAGAGGATCTGAAGGGAAAATTAACTCAGAGTCTGTTGAGAAAACCTTTTTGAGTAAGTGATATTGAAGAGAGAGAGAGAGTTTGCCGTGCAAGCGCTACAGACAGAGGGTGTCAGGCAAAGAATTCCAGTCGAGTGGAGACTGGATGTATTTCTGAAAGAAGGTTGTGGCAGGAACTCAGGGAGCCAAGAAGGACATGACACAAAGGAAGAGTGCGCGTGCTGGGAGGGCCGGGGGCACTGGTGGCTTATAGACCGTGCCAAGCAAGTGTATTATATTGTTAGTGCTATAGGAAGCTATTAAAGAATTGCAACCAAGAGACTGATGGGATGTGATTTGTCTTTTTTTGAATGGTCTCTCTGTCTATGCTGAGAAGAAGGCATCAAAGGAGACAGTATTGGGAGGCAGGTGACCAGTTCAGAAGGAAGCTTTAGCAAAAAGTGAGGCAAGAGAAGGTGCTGGCTTGGTCTAGGGTTAGTATCAACATGGAGAAATATAAATGGATTGAAGATAAATTTCAGTGATAAAAATGACAGGACTTGGTGTTAGATTAATTCTGAGGGATGAGAGAGAGGTGCAAATCAAGAAGGAGTCCCGTGTTCCTGTTTTGGATAATGGAGAGTGTTATCTAGTGCCATTTACCAAAAGGAGAAGAAAAATGGAGAAACAAGGGAGGATAAAACATTTCGTGTTCAGGTGTATACATACTAAGATTGCGTTTTCTGTGAGACATCTAGGGCACATGTCAAAGGGCGATTTAAATATCCAAATTGGAAGTTTATGGGAAATTCAAAGACAAAATAGGAATAAAATTACATATCAGTTCATTTCAGTAGACTACTATGCATGCAGGCACTGTAATTGGCTGTGGGTATGAAGACTTCAATACACGCTTCTTGGTGTTAGGAATTCTGTGCTACCCTTTGTTTCTTAAGCAACCAGCATAGTATTGGCAAATAGTAACCATGTAGTAAATAGATTTTGAAGAAATGTCTAGAAGCAAGGTGATAGCAGAGAATTTCTTGATTTATAGAAGTGATTATCCATTTGTGGTTCTGTTTTTTATTTTGTATTCTTTTTAATGTGTTGAAGATGAATTGCTGTTGTAAAAGTAACTTGATAACTGCCATAGTATTCTCCCTGAAAGAACATTCTATTTAAGGGGACGACACATCAAAAAGTCTAAATTACATTCATTTCACAAGTATAGACTTGTTTCATTTCTAATGTATTCAACACAGAGAATTTTATTCTATATACAATTTCACAAACACTTAAAAATTTATTTGAAAAATTTTTTTGTTCTAAATACTTTTTTCTAAAATGCTACTCCTGTACTTTTAATTATAAATCATTGGGATTATTAAATTCAAATTAAGATGTATTTGAAAATTGTGTATTTGACGGATATCTGCATTCCCCTTTCCCGTAGGGATGACAGTAAGTGCTAATAAAGATGGCTTGGGGATGATTGTTCGAAGTATTATTCATGGTGGTGCCATTAGTCGAGATGGCCGTATTGCCGTTGGGGACTGCGTCTTGTCCATTAATGAAGAGTCTACCATCAGTGTAACCAATGCCCAGGCACGAGCCATGTTGAGAAGACACTCTCTCATTGGGCCCAACATAAAGTAAGTACCATTTGGACCCCAGTTTGACTTGGGAAATTCAGGAAATTCCATTAGCTAATCAAAATAGCTTTTCTTCAGAACATACTTCTGTTTGAAATACAAACGTTATCACATAGTTATTTAACGTAAACTGCTCAAGAATTATATTATTTTTGAGTAGCTCTGGATTGCAAGGATCGTCTCTTTCAAGATCACAACATTGAAATTTTGAAAACATGCTGCTTTTTGTTTTTTGTTTTACTTTTTCGGTGATTTCTGCAACTCTGGATGTGAGAGATGAGATGACACTTGCAGAGCTGGAGGTTCCACTCTTAGAAAAAAGTGTGCTTTGGCCTCAATATAAGGAAGTATGCCCTTACTAACGGACCATCATAAATCGTAGAACCAAGCAGAGAGACCAGACATGCAAAAGACCACATAGAACATTGCCCGTCTGACTCTTAACTTACCTTTTCTTGAATCATCTCATGATGCAAAGGGCTCACCAATAAGTTGGTGTAGTCTAAGCGTACCTCATGTAGGATATTTTTTGGGAAATGCTTCCAGTTTTCCATAATCCCATAATATATGAAAGGCATGCTGTGTATGTGGTTTGGTCTTTAAGGCACTAAATATTCCTTGAGCCAAGATGAAAATCAGTTCATGACTTTATTATCACACCTCATCAAATCCTCCAGCATTAATCACTGAATATTTATGTTTAATGTTTGAGGGGTAAAATGGTAAAATAAGAGCTCAGGGAAAGATTGTTTACCCACATTGAAGTAATGATTACTCGTATGGGAGATTTTTGTATTCGTGGTATTTTACTGTCTGCATTCTGTATTACTGGTTCTTTTGTAAAGTATGTGTTGCCAGAGCTTAGGTAACAAAAGTTGTATTTATAATCTGTTTTTCATTCTGCCATTAATAAAAAGCAGAAAAGTCTATACCATGTGGAATGGATTCTGCTGTCTTATATACAAGAAGTATTATTTTTAGGCAAAATCTTCACTAATGGACTTTTATATTTTTGTGTGCCTGTTGGACTTTTGTTTTACAGTTGAGCAGATCATCAGATCATATTACAGATTGCTAATTATAATAATTGGGGTAAAAGTGAACACCATTAAAAATGTCAGTCCCCGTACCATAAGGAAAGAAAAACTTTCAATGCTTTCCTCACCACTTGTGGTCATTCTTCCTTCTTTTTACTTAAAAGATGGATGATACAGATCCACATGGCGACCGTGTATTTATTGCAAGAGTTTTCGTTTACATGGATTAAATGCAGTGTCACATGCAGATGACCTAGTAACTGATCGCTTGGTCTCTTGTGCCGTGATGTTCGTGTTATACTTTGTACAGTGATCCAAGTCCCCTGCCTACTTTTTGGCACTTGGCACCACAACTGGTGCCTGGTGCGAGCCTTACCCCTCAGCTCCAACGTACTGCAGAACTTTAAAAGTGATCAGAAAATAAGACCATGGTGACACCAGTTTCGCTTAAGTCATGCATCTGGTCAGCTTCGGAAAACTTCCAGGCATATTTTCAAGTTCAAAGTCTTTTTTCCCGTATCCTCATGTGTGTGTGTGTACGTGTATGTATATGTGTGTTTTCCCCCTCCCCACCTGCTGATGTAGCAGAATTTACTCAGTCATGTAGATAGCAGGTTTATTATGACCGTGAAGGGTATCTGGAGAGTTAACTATGTAAGTAATTGGCTTTAGGACCTCAGGAGGCAAAATTTATTATAGAATCTTATTTTTTTTTTAAGAAAGCAGGATTTATTGAGAGGACAGAAAAGCTCCCTCAGTGGGAAGGGACCCGAAAGGGTTCCAGAACCTTACATTTTTAAAAAAGAAAAATTCTACAACCTTCTCTTCTCTGGAAATCAATCAATCTCTCACAGGCATGTAAGCACACACACACCTGAAGCATACTCACAAAACATGCTGATTTCTTCTCAAGTGTCTTACTAATGCTGTGATGCAGATGGTTATATCGCTTGACTTACTGAGTATATGTCAGAAATTGAAATCATCCTTACTATAGTCCTTTATCATTAAATAAATATTGGATGATAAAATGCAAATATTCGGCCATTTACATTGTCCATGGCTGAGCAACATGTTCTGTGCATTTTGCATGAAGCATTCTTAGCCCTGTCTCCTTCCTTTCACTTGCCTTACAGGAAGCAAAAAGTTAGAATTGGCTTGCAGGCCATGTGAGTTAATATCCCCAAAAGGAAAGTCTAGTTCTTCCAGTATTCTGAATGGATCCGTAACATTGCCTCTGGCCCATTAAGCTTTGTGCTCATTACTGGGGTCTCGGCTCCATCCTCCTCTCTTTCTCATTATTTCTCATAATGATCCCTGCTTCATCTGGATGGTGACGGAGGGGTGCCTTGTAGAGACTTAGGAAAAAGGACACTGGGTCAGTTATGTAATTGATTGGTTTCAGGGAAAGCATTGTTTCTTGAGACAGTGCACTGAGTTTCTTTCTCTTTTTTGCCATTTACAATAGATAGCTAGGAACTTTGTGCAGTGTGTGTGTGTGTGTGTGTGTGTGTGTGTGTGTGTGTGTGTGGTGTTTGTACGTACGCGTGCACGAACTCACACTCACGCGTGCCTGGGTAGTTAATTCGAGTTTCAAGAGTTCAAGAACAGCCATCTTAAGTTCCAGATTTCATTATTTTCTATGGAAAACCAGATGTGAAGCCTCACCAGAAAGCATTCTGTTTCACTTCTCTCTCCACCTTGCCAGGAGCTCTTATATTTCTGTAATAATAGCCAGGGTTTTGTGCTTAGCAGCAGCTGCTTATAACATCTGCCAGATAATTACCGAGCTGAATCAGAATTCACCTGCCTTAACCTAAAGTGTGGGATGAATTTCTGATCAAGGAATAAAAGATGGATTGCAGTTACATTTTTCCGTGCTTGTTAATAATCACAGCTATAGACACCAGTGAAGAGCAGATGCTTTTCTGGGGGAGGTGTAGCTGGGAGGGAGGTGGGGGCTGGGGAGAGCAACCAGGAGCACCCACTTTTAACTACATATGTATGCATCTCACATTCAGCACAAGACATTGACATTTGTTAACACTATTGTAAAAAGATGCCACAGCGTCTGCTTCACATTCTAGATTTTCTGCAGCACCTGCTGACGGTCGAGCCCCCTTTTGTGTGTGAGTATCGGTGATTCAAAACCTCATTATGGCTGTGTGTTACAACTTGTCTGTGAAAACCGTTTTGTGCTTTTGTAACGTCCCAATGCAGGGATGGATCCAGATAGAGATTCTCAGTGTATGCATTTGGAATTGTTTTCTTCACTTAAATCAGAACATGAAATCCAACAGAGCTATGAGGTTGTTTTGTTTTCACATGGCACTGGTGATTGTGAACTCATTTGAAAATCATATTTTCCAATTACTAAGCTCCCGAGCTCCTTTGTGAGGGAATGATCCTGTCTGCATGTGCAGACGCCTTCTCTGCATTATAGTCACAGTTCGGCATGGCATTAGGATACTAATGGTTTTCTTTCTTCTTTTAGTTCCTGTGTAACCAAAAGTTAGTTTACATTTAAGAATTTTTAATTCAACTCGCAAGTCAGCTGTCTCCGTGTGTTGATGCAGTTCGTAATTCAGCTTTGACGTTTCTTGCTGGTGATTTGGAGGTTTTGTGTGGTCGTGTGACCCCAGGCTTGTGTACGAATTGCTTTGCATGTGGGATGCATCGTGGGATGCTTGTTCTGGTGGCTTCGCTGTCTGTAGTAGTTAAATATTTATGAAAAGTGCCTTATTTGCTTTTTCCCGCTGCTACCCAAAGTGTCAGAAAAATATTTGTAAAAACTCCCCACTCCTTACTTTTTGGTAAAAGGAAGAAACAACTTTGAAGAAATATAGAGGGAAAACTGATTTTCAACATCATTTGGCATGGAAACATCTTTACCCTCTCAAACCAACTAAAAAAATGAATACCTAAGTACTTATTATTATTATTATTATTTGCTATTGTATCCTACTTTCCTCCTCCTTCACTTTTTCCTGGCTTTTTAAACTTAAAGTTTTATTTATCTGAGTTTTACTGCATCTTCAGGAATAGTACCAGTATTCTTGAATAGTCTCCTCACATTTTAGGTTTCCTGTTTCATTGTGTAAAATGCAGTCAGTCTTCTTTCCTGACATAATATATTCTTTGAAGAGATAAAAGCAAATTTACTACTCAATACATTTTGTAACACCTTGGAGAAAGTTTTTTTGTAGATGAATACATTAAGCAGGGACGGAATTAGAATGCAACTTTTTAACCCAGCCTAGTTCCAGAATTCACTGATCTGTGCTTTCTGCTTCAGTTTTTGGCCCGTAAGGTAAAAGTGTCATGAAGAGATTCCCAAAGGGTCCATCTGCCCGAGTGGTCAGTGTGACCAGGGGAACCGATGTCCTGTTATTTTATGGAATAACCAATTAGGTATTCTCATTCAGTAAATTATGTCATTGGTATAAGTTTTATTTTTTTTATAATACAAAAGGCAAGCCTTTTATCTTTGCCCTCCAGTGTTGAGGTTTTTTATCCTTATTGTCTTAACAGATAGATTGTGGACAGATGGTTTAATAATCGTCCTGATTTCTATGTTGTGCATTTTTATACTTTTTTTAGTTGCACAAACATGCTGTATTGACTTCAGATACAATATTTCTCTTACTTTACTATTTAATGATCTGAAGATCTTGGAGCAGCTTATGTTAAAAAGTGCACCTATTATGTAAATAGCCTTATAGAACAGCAGTAAACAGGAATTTTCTAATATTAGTTTCTAAACACTACAGCAGGAGTCAGCATCTAGCACTGCACCTCCAACATGATAGGCATTCAGTCAGTACTTGGTGAATTCATAAGTGGCCATTCACATGTAAACAGTAGACTTTTCTTGGAAACCAAAGTGAACTTATCAGAAATTGCTACACATTAGTGTTTTCATAAGCTTAAATGGTTTAACTTCATATTTCAGACTTGAGAGTTCATAACTTAATAGAACTAACAATTATTGTTAATGCTTGTTAATGTCTATAATTAGTTATGTATTAGGGGAAAATGTAAAGTAATTTGTGATATTCAGCATTTAATAGAGTCCACCTGTGTGTTTTTGCTAGAAAGCCCCCCAAGAATCTCTGGACAAAATAAGTGCTGTTACTGACAATCATTTATTCCAAGGATTTATAGATCTTCTTAAATTCAAAACATTGCTGTTAGCCTTCTCATTTGGCAGTATAGGTAACTCTGTTTTCCTCTCCCATGTGATTGTTGGTGAGCACATAGCTTATCAGCCACATTTACAAATCAAATTTCTGTTGTTATTCTTGCCTATAGGGTAGCCTTTTGAAGTTGGGAGTCTCTGCTGAATATACTGATTAAATGAGTTGTGAGAAAAAGTAGGGCTGAAGGGACAAGACAATGTTTTTGTGTGTTTTGAAAGCTTTTTCTAACTGGCAAAACTTTGTTTCCCTTTGCTTTCGTGGATTCTGTTTCTGTCCCAGAATAACTTATGTGCCTGCAGAACATTTGGAAGAGTTCAAAATAAGCTTGGGACAGCAATCTGGAGGAATGATGGCACTGGACATTTTTTCATCATACACTGGCAGGTGAGTGAAACACTACATTTACCACAATGAATGAATGATACAGCAAGTTATATAAAGTATTTTGAATTCAGAATCAGGGAGGACTAGAGCAAAGAAGTAGTCTGAATCCTTTTTTTTCTTCCAAGATTTTAAAACATATTCTCTGCTTTCTCTCAGTATCTTAAGTAATTGTTATATAGGAGGAAAATGTGAGAAATATATTAATTTTCAACTGTAGAAATTAAAATAATCTTTAATTCTGCCACCCAATATGCCACTCTTAACATGTTAAACCTTGGTAATTTGCCCCAGATGCGAATATTACTTCATTAATATCTTAGAACCTACAATTTGTGTAGTGTTGTATAATATGTGCTTTTCTTTCATAAATATTATCAAATATCCTCAGAAATGTTATTTATTCCTTTATTAACATACATACACATCCAGAAACTTTTTTAATAATTATTTTTTACTCTTTTGGAGAATGTTGAACTGGATCTTTTGACCTGTATGTGTTAGGAAACCATGTTAGGCTTTTTAAAGGCTGTTAATAAGAAAAAGTTTTATGTTTTTTTTTTTCTTATGACAGGCAGGAACTGGATTTTGGTGCTGCTGTTGACTGATTTCAGGGCAAGGAAAGAAATAATGTCTAATTGCTTTTCCATGAAGAATGTACCATTTTATACTCTTAGTTGTGTGTCTGTTTTTTTCAGTTGCACTGGCATCTGGGTACCGCATTTCTCGTTAAGCATGCAGTAGGACAGAAATGGCCCTTCAAGCATTCTGAGGCCTTCTCAGGGACGATCTACCATTCCTCAGAGGATGTCAGAATATCTCAGAACACCCTGGTGTCCAATTACCCATTGTGCTTTCATTGTGATATTTTGTCACTATTTCCTCTGTAGATTGCACATGACCACAGTATACAGAAAGTGTTAGGGAAGGGAAAGGTATTTTATGTATTTAATAAATGGAAAGAATGGTCATAAATATTATGGGAAAAAAGGTATAATCGTCCTGGGGGATTAGTTTCAGGATTCCTCATGGATTCCAAAATCCACGGATGCTCAGGTCCCTTATAGATAATGGCTTAGTATTTGCATATGACCTATGAACATCCTCTCATATACTTTAAATCACCTCTAGATTACTTATAATGCCTAATGCAATACAAAGGCTATGTACATAGTTGTACTGTTTAGAGAATAATGACAAGAAAGAAACAAAAACAGTCTGTACATGCTCAGTGAGTACAGGTACGGCCGCCCATTTTGTTCTCCGCTGTTTTTGGTCTGCTGTTGGTTGAATCCATGGATGTAGAACCCAAGGATATGGGCGAGGAGGACAACTGTATTTGACTCCCTCCCGTACAAAGTCAGCCACTTTCCACTCCAGGATGTCCATTGTAGTGCTAATGGCATGTGTTGATTATAGTTTCCCAGTAGTTCATACCAAAATGGTAAAATCAGTCATTTCAGTGTCCCTCTGAAATGTTTCAAATGGTTTAATTGAAGAATATACCAGGTAACTTCTTAGTCCTGTAACATTCTAGAGCCTTAAAATGCTTGAAAATTATTGTAAAGCACTGAGCTTCCCCTAGCACAGAAAGCACAATTATCTGGATTGTCCAGTGCTGTGACTATTGCTACACTGCAGACAACGCATATTTGCTACTGATAACAAGGTACTTGAAGCAGAACAAAGGAGATGCATTTTACAGAGGAAGAACCTACAGCAGAGAGAGGTTAAGGAACTTGCCCAAGTTCTACTGCTAATAAATGTCAGAGCTAAGCTGAGAATGAGTTTAAGCAGTCAGACTCCTTGCTCTTAACACTGGAATCAAAGGAAGGATTGCACAAGTTGATGAAACATGCGCCATATAAACATATATAGCTGCACAGCTTGGAGATTAAGAACTCTGGTTTTGTTTTAAGATGGCCTCAGTTCAAGTCTGAGCTCTGCTACATCTCTATGTGACTTTGTGCCAGTTACTTTACCTGATACCTATATGCAGATATAAAGAGAATTCGTTATTGTAGGTAAGAGAAATTCTGTTGGTGTTCAGCGATATAACATGGGGCAAAGAAATCTAAATGTTCTTTGGTCAAGTGAGCGCTGGAGGACATGACATTTGAGTCCCCAAACCCACACTGTAGGATGGATTAGCAATAATCAGCACATTTAGAGGAGCCTATTTGGGTCAAGGAAAGGATTCAAGATTACAGAATCCTTTGAGGAGACTGGAGTTCTTGTATCAGATGACTCAGGATATTTACCTTCTTATGGGTAAAAAGGCCGGAGCATGATACAATATGGCTAAGAGTGTTGCTTAGGCCTTAGGGCTAAGAAGTTCCTGCCGTCTGATAGCTGTCACCTGAATGTTTTAAGGACTCTTTCTAAGTCCTCATTGTTGTCTGTCTCCCAAACCCGCTTTTTTCCCAGTCGTGTGCTCTCCAGTTGTATTGCCAGAGGATTAGGCCCAGTTTTCACTTCTCCATCTTGCATCTTCTGGACAGGGGCTTCACTTGGACTGCCTCCTCTCAGTCAGTTCCTTGACACTGTTTTTAGATTCTCCTTTCCAGACCTCTTCCCCACAGTCCTGCCCTCCTGTCAGGCCTCCAGGAAGGATCTATAGCAGGTAGATTTCATTCTAACGGTCTAAAAACAAAAATGTATCATTCCGGTCAAAAGGACTTTCAGGGAGAGCTTGGAGAGTTGCTTGCCAGAAGTGCCACGAAGCACATTCAAGCATAGATGGATTATCAGATGAGGTGACTTCTTATGAAGTTCACAGACGATATCATTTTTTTTTTTTACATGTTTACCAATGTTTATTCAAATAGGGTCTATAGCTCCATAGATACTTGGTTCTGTGCTGTTCAAGATAGGTGGAGATAGTAATTCTAGGTATGTTTTCAACTTCTGGAAATAGAGATTGTTAGAGAGCAAGAGGAAAGGTAAGATACACATTTTTCTTATACAAATAGTCTCCAGTTGACACATACCTGAAAGTTGGGAATAAGAACCTCAAGATATGGGTATTTGGAGTCACGTTAAATGACATCTCTCTCATCAAGAAAGCAAATTTGAATCCGTAGAAGAGCTTTTAGTTAGAGCATGCATTGAAATACTTGAACTTCAACTTTAACCTCATCCCTGAGGGATATGTATCTCCTTTCTGATTCTGATAGGGATTTCCTTTATTTTTCTTCTTTGTTTCTGTTTTTAGATCCTGAAAGCAAAAATGCTGATACAGCACTTGAGCAGGGGTGCCTTACAACAGTTCGGGTGAAGGGGTGAAGGGAAGACTTAGAGCCCAAGTTCAGGATTCCTGTCCGTAGAGAATGGCTATCATTTGAATATATGATTTATTTTAATTTTTAGTATCTATAAAAATCAGCTGAAAACATTTATTGAGCCAGAATTCTTACAATCTTTTCTCCTTTCAAAGGAACATGTGGACATCTTTCTTTAGAAATCCAGTGTTTACCAATAGCATAAAGATGTGTCATAACCAACTTAGCAATGCTCTATTGCCCTTATGATATTTATTAATGCAGAGTATACCTTTGGAAAAACAAAATGTTACTTAATATAGGTGTTATTGCAGAGTTTTATTTACAGTGGATCAACAGACTAAACATTTTGTTACATGCTTGGCATTTGGAAAAAATCTTTGCTACAGAAATTGCAAAGTGATGCTTTATAAACTGCTTCCTGTAAGAGGTCTTCTATGTCTGGGCCCTCTGGAGGGCTGATGTGGGACCATCAGCATTTTCCATTCTTTTTTCAAAAATCGGAGGAAAAGCATGGGATTATCCCTAAGAAACAAAGATACTAAACTCTTGGCATGCTTGATGAGAAATTTCTTCAGGGCAGGGTTCAGGACTGGGCATGCTTATAGCCTACTTGGTGCCTCTAGCTTCTTGCACATGGTTGGAATTTGAGAAATACTTACTGAGTAGTTTTTCTTTACAAAGCTGGCATATATCCCCGTCTTCCCATTTCTTTCCTATATTCCCTCAAGGTTTGCCAGGAAAGAAACAACCAAGACTCTTGGTATTGAGCTATATCTCCAGACTAATTATGGTGGATTGATTTTAATGTCAGGTTTTTATTTTGTTTGGTTCGGTTTTCCTTGCTCCCTCCTGTAAAAGTGTTATATATCAGGTATGGTAAGAAATATAAAGCAGTTCTGTGTTTTAGCTAAACCAACAATAAAGTACATGTAAGACAATCTTGCACGGTTTGCTAGGGTTTTGTCGCACTCAATGTATAACTGTTTTAACCAGAGACATTCCAGAACTACCAGAGCGGGAAGAAGGAGAGGGAGAAGAAAGTGAACTTCAAAATGCGGCCTACAGCAATTGGAATCAGCCCCGGCGGTAAGGACAGTTTCTATTTCTGTCTTCTGCCCAGTCGATGGATAGATGGTCTTTAAAGATAGACAGTAGTGGTTTCAAGTACTGGATTACAACTTGCTACTTGTCACATTGGGCAAGTTAATTTAATATTCCTAAACCATCATTTTATCATGTATACAGTAGAGAGCATAATGTATAACAGAATTAAAACGAATAACATATATGCAAGGATCTGGCACACAGTAGGAACTTAAAATTAGAGAAGATTTTGCATAGCCAGTTGGAATAAATTATATATTCTGTAGATCTTGATCTTAGTATAACACCAAATGTTTATTTTAAATTTAATCTAGCATTTGTAGAAACCAGATATTCAAACATACAATTTAAAATGGACTTGTGTGTGTGAAAGTAAGCCTTGTTATTACAGGCTGAGTTTATCCTAAGCCATGCTCCATCTAGCATAATAATATCGTCTAGCATCTAGTTTCATAATAATAGAAAAGATGACTTTCCTAAATATACTCAGATATATCACATGTGTCACTAAGGCGTATTGATGTGTGTATGCTGAGTAAAATCAATTTCAATTTAATAGAGATTTACTGAGTCCTGATTGTGGACCCAGGCCTGAAACTGTTGATTTTGTAAATAACAAGAAAGTAAGTATAAGATACAAATCCTGCGCCAAAGAGGTTCAAATGTACCTGGCTGGGCAAGATCTAGAGAGACATGAAACAATTAAAGAACAGTACAAGGTGTTTTGTATTCAGTGTAAAACGTAGGTAATCATTGGACAGCCTCTCCAAATCAGTCTAAAGGTAACCATCCAAGATAGTGCCTTACTCTTAGTAAACATTACTATTGTTACATAGTGAATAAATAAAATTCTCACAAGCAGAATTTCTAATATACAGAGAAAGAATGCAGTTTGATGATTTCCCCTGCTCACAAATGGTGACCTGCAGCCATCACATTTAAATAGTTTCAAATGGTAGAAAACACCATTTGACGTTGCTTTCAAAGGAATAGTATGCATTTCCAGCCATGCAGAATGAAATTTTGAGTTGAATTTCTTCAATAGAAATTTAGCTCAGTTTTTAAAAAATCTAGGTCTCTCTACAGCACAGCCCATGTTGAGAACAGATATATGTGATAGCTCTGGGTTAGAAAATATAAGACGTTAAGTGCCTTATTTATTTGTGGATGGAGATAGAAATAAGTTAGCAGATGGTCATAGTTATAAACTTGAATTTTGTTGGAGGACAATAATCCCAGGGGAAAAAAAAAAGAGGTTGATCAGTTTTAATAACAATCTTAGGAGAGGAAAGGTAGCTTTTAGAAGGCAATATGCAAAATCATTGGCGTCAGCAAGGGCCATGTTTGAATTTTGGCTTTGATATTTCCTAAGGCAAGTTTCTTTCTCTGTTTTTTTATTTTGTATGACTTTATTTTGTTATAGAGATGTGAGGTAAAAGTCAGGATTGGGTATATAAGTCGTCTACTTGCAGGTAAAGTTTGGGCCTCCAACTGGTCCTCACTTACCCAAGTTTAGGACCAGGTAACCTTTGTGTTGTTCCCCCTCCTGCCTCCCCTGGCAATGATCCACGACTGCTGATCCCTCCCTTGTGCCACTGTGATTAATGTTCAGTTCCCACTTATGAGTGAGAACATGTAGCATTCAGTTCTTTGTTTCTGTGATATAGATCACTAAGTACGGTGGTTCCATTTCCGTCCAATTTATTGTGAAGCCCATGTTTTTGTCCTTCTTTATGGCTGCATAATATTCCATTGTGTGTATGTACCACATTTTCTTTATCTAGCCCACTGTCAGTGGGCAGTAGGGTTGGTTTCGTGTGTTTGCTATTGTGAATAGTGCAGCAATATGCACTATACAGGTGTCCTTTTTGTCGAACAATTTATGTTCCCTGGGTACATTCCCAGAAGGGGGATTGCTAGATCCTGTGGAAGTTCCATTTTCAGTTCTTTTAGGAAATGCCACGTTATTTTCCATAGCAGTTGAGCTAGCTTGCACTCCCACCAACAGTGTTCTCTTTTCTCCACACCCACGCCAGCATCTGTTTTTCTTTTTCTTTTTTAATTTATTAGTGATGGCCATCCTTACAGGAGTTAGGTGGTATCTCAGTGTGGTTTGATTTGCATTCCTCTGATGATGAGTGAGGCTGAGCATTTTTTCGTGTATCTGTTGGCTGCTCGTATGTCTTCCTAAGATAAGTTTCTTAATCTCTCTGCTAGGTCTTAGCTACTTCATCTGTAAATGGGGTTAATAATATAACCTTTTAAATTCGGTGGATAATTCAGTGTGATAATGCACACAACACTCTTAGCTTAGTACCTGAAGCCCAGTGAGTACTCAGTCAGTGATTGACCTTGTCTATGATGATGTAATATTGGTCACTACTAAATAAGCAAAGAGAAGACATTGAATATAGGAGTTAATATGAAATTTTCTTACAAGAAGGAAGAGCATAACTTCTGGACTAAAAGAATGTTATGCTTTTCTTCTCAATTTTAACTTTCACCACTAGCCTAAGGTATCTCTAAAGGTGCTACTAACTACCTTAGAGAAAATGTCTGAAGCTTCCATAAATCCTTCTGAGAAGGTACTCTGTGCTCACTCATGCAGTGCTTCTGTAGAAGGACTCAGCTACTTTTTGGGGAATGTTCATAGAATATGATTAGCAAGCTTACCAGGATAAACAGAGCTTTTAATAAACGAGTGTGATGGACATGCTTCACATCATTGGAAATGTGATGGACATTTATTCATGAAGTCAACAGAAATTCACTTTGTGTAGAGATGAGAATACTTTTTGTAAGTAGTAAGATTCCAGATTGTAAAATAGGCTGAATTACTCTTTTATTGTGCATGTGATTTTCATTTACTGAATTAGGGACATACCATTGTATGTACCATTTTCTATTTTGCTTATTTTTCTCTCGAGGCTATATATGCAAATCTTTCATGTTTGATACTTAAAGATCTAGTTCATTTGATGTTATTGTTGTCTTGCATTTCAATATATGAATAAACACTACAGTTTATTCCTTCTCAGATTCATATTGGGTAATTAACAGTTATGTGCTACTGTAGCCATTCTGTACAGTAAATATATTTATTTCTTTATACTTATATATGAGAATTGATCTAGGGAATGTATCCAGAAGTGGAATTGCTGGCTTATAGATTTATATGGTTTTTTTTTTGCTTTTTTAGTAATTGCTAAAAAATTACTGTTAAAGGTGACTGTATCAATTTTTACTTCTGTTTCCAGTATATGAGAGCTTTCTCTTCTCCACATCCTTGTTACTGTATCAGATGATCATTTTAAAAAAAGGTTTTGGTCAATCTGATGAGTAGAAAATGACACCTTGTAAGAAACAAGGTATAGGTATAAGAGAATTGATTGGCTGGGGTGCACATTTGCTCGTTTGTTACATGGATTGGTTTTGTTGTCTAGCTTTCATGACTGCATTCATCATCATTATCATTATACTAGTAATAAAATACTTATTGATTGCTTATTATGTGTCAGTGTTTTGGTTTTGGACTTTCCATGTATTAGTTGATTAAATCCTCACAGAAACTCTGATGTAGAGACTTTTTTTTTAAAAAAAAAGATGTGAGATACAATTCAGGGTTAGTTATACAAACATTGATTATGCAGGTACCCTTGTTGATGAGGTGTGTCCTTCCCTCCCCTAGCAGTTTCCCTCAGCTGCTAATCCCACTCTGCTCCCCTGGCAGTTTCCCACTACTGCCAATCCCTTTCTTATAGTATTATGATCATTGTTCAAGGTCCGCTTATGAGTGAGAACATATGGTTCTTTGTTTTTGTGATAGATCACTGTGTATGATAGACTCTAAATCCTTCCAAGTTGCTGCGAAGGCCATATGTTTGTCCTTCTTTATGGCTGCGTAATATTCCATTGTGTATATGTACCACATTTTTTTAATCCAGTCCAGCTTCGATGGGCAGCATGGTTGGTTCCATGTTTTTGTTATTGTGAATAGAGCTGCAACAAATGTACGTGTGCAGGTATCTTTTTTGTAGACAGATTCGAGTTCCTCCGAGTGTATTCCCCATAGGGGAATTGCTGGTTCCTATGGAAGGCCAATTTCTAGTTCTTTCAGAAATCACCACACTGTCTCCCAAAGAGGTTGCACTAGTTTGCATTCCCACCAGCAGTGTAGAAGCGTTCCTTTTTTGTAGAGACTCTTTATTGGATCCATGTCACAGCTGAGAAAAGTAAGACAGAGACTAAGTGTGTCACGTATTATTTAAGTAGCAAAAGCACACTCCTCTGGGAGTGCCTCAAATGTTGGTGGTGAGGACATGTTTCACCGTGCCATCTTCTCCTACCTCGTGTCCAGAATTGGCTTCCTTTGTGCGGCAGGAAGCAGATGGCAGGCTTTCATGGTCTTAAAGCTCTGTGTTTGGTAGCCCTTTCTCAATACCTTGACCTCTGACTTAGCTTGGCCACACACTTCACTGTAAATCACCTTATTCTCATATCCCTGCCTTTTTATAAAGCGTGTACTCTGGATCTATTCATAACTCATAGATCTCTTTCACTGATACATGAGTTCATGTGTTTACTTTGTGGGTATGGGGATGTATTCGGGGCAGAGGAAGTCACAAGGACCAGGACCCCAGGACCCAAAGGCAAAAACTTGCTGGATGAACTCAAGGAACACGAAGGAGATGCTGTGGGAGCCGGAGTGGTGACGGGGAAATGCAGAACTATGGGGGATAAGTTTAGGAAGGTCATGGTGGGATCAGATCATGTAGGAGTTTGTTGGCCACTGCTCTTCATGTCCTGACTGCTAATGACCAGGCCTGCCTTGGCTAGAAAGACTTCGACAGAGTTAAGCTTCTGACGTAGTGTATGTGCAGGACTGTTCTTTCTCTTGATTTGGCTGCTAAGCTTAGAAGCTGCCATCTGTTCCATTATAGCCGAATGTCTTGATTATTTAATGTCTGTAATGTTAAAGTTCCTGCAAAAGGGTATTTTTACACTGGTATGTACACCAACCTGGATTGGAGGTCCAATATTTACTTGTAATGAATCGTCTTCAGAAATGTATTAGTATTCATGTTTAGAGGCTGTCTAACTGAGAAGCAGGTACATTATCCACTCTAGAAATCTAAAAACAAAGACAAAACAAAAACAGTATCTATGCTTCTACAAGGCCAGGATCATCTTCACTGTCCACATCCACATCTTGTCACGCTGGAGGGTCTTCATGAACGGTGGTGAACCCTAAAGCAAATTGGTAGAACACATTCGATCCTAGAATGTCTGGGTGGTATTTTGAAGTTTTCATTAGTACACCCAAATTCAAAGGGAAATAAAAGAAGCCAAAATAAAGCAACTGTGAGCTTACAGGACAATAGTGGAATAAGCATCAATCCTACTCTAAAAGGACTATCTTAAAGATATCCTCTGAGGATAAATTTTGACTTCACCTTTAGAGGAATCTGACCTTGATGGACAGTGGAAGAAATCGTGATGTGTGAAATTCTTTGAACAAGAATTTATTTAAAAAATTTTTTTAATGTTCTACATACAATAAAAAACTCTGCACTGTTAAAAAAAAAAAAAGAAATGTATTAGTATTTACCAGACCCTACAAAACATAGAATAAAGTATTAAAGCTATTATTTTACTAATAGTAAAACTTTAATGAGCAAATAGTATTTGCAAAAATGAACATATATAAGATTATTTTCCATTCCATTAACTTATTTATTTGTTACTATTATTTTAAACCATCTTAGCCATTTTTAAGAGTATAGTTCAGTGGAATTAAGTCTCTTCACATTGTTATGCAGTCATCACTGCCATCCAGCTACAGAACTTTTTTCATCTTTTAAAGCCAAAACTCTTTAGTCGGGCGTAGTGGTACATGCTTGTAGTTCCAGCTACCTGGAAGGGTGAGGCAGGAGGATCGCCTGAACCCAGCAGGTCGAGCATGCCACTTCACTCCAGCCTGGGCAGTAGAGTGGGACTCCTACTAAAATAATAATAATAATAGCAATAATAAATAATAAATCTTTCATTTATCACTCCTCCCAACCCTGGAAAACACCATTCTATTTTCTGTCTCTATGAACTTGACTACTCGAGATACCTCATATAAATGGAAACATACAACATCTGTCCATGATTACACTTCACTGACTTATTTCCCTTAGCATAGGGTCCTCAGGGTTTATCCATGTTGTAGCGTGTTTTAGAATTTTCTTCTTTTTTAGGGCTGGATAATATTTACTTGTATGTGTATATTGTTTTGTGTATCCATTTGTTTACTGATGGACAATCAGGTTGCATCTATCCTTTGGCTATTGTGAATATTATTTCTGTGATGATGCATGTCCTACTACCTCTTGGAGAGACCCTGCTTTGAATTATTTTGGGTATATATCTTTCTTTTGTCATCTGTGCCTTTTTTGTGTTGTACACATGATGTTGTTGCCAAATCCAACATCACGGAACTTTTGCCTTATTTTTTATGAGTTTAAAATTGAATTTATTTTTACAGGGTTGAACTTTGGAGAGAACCGAGCAAATCCTTGGGCATCAGCATCGTTGGTGGACGAGGAATGGGGAGTCGGCTAAGCAATGGTGAAGTGATGAGGGGCATTTTCATCAAACACGTTCTTGAAGATAGTCCAGCTGGCAAAAATGGAACCTTGAAACCTGGTGATAGAATAGTAGAGGTACCCTCCAGTGTGCTTTCTGTGCCAAAATTACTTACCTGTTCCAGCCTCTGTACCAAGGGATTTGTCGTCTTTATACTGGCTACTCTGCCCAACATTAGTGTAAAGTGTATTTGTGGTTAAAGCATTTCTTTCTTGCTTGTGTCTTTTCATCTGTGATTTTCCCTTATATTGATATGATGACAGATTGTATATCTTGATATAGAGACTGAAGTTTAGAGATGTAGCCAGCCACTTAAAAAAGCATTGGCTCCAAGGTAAAACAGTTATGTCCTATTTGAAAGAATAAAGCAGCCGGGAGCGGTGGCTCATGCCTATAATCCCAGCACTTTGGGAGGCGGAGGTGAGAGAATTGCCTGAGTCCAGTGGTTTGAGACCAGCCTGGGCAACTTGGCGAGACCTCGTCTCTACAATAGATCAAAAAATTAGCCAGGCTTGGTGCCACATGCCTTGGTGGCACATGCTACTTGGAAGGCTGAGGCAGTGGGATCACCTGAGCCCAGCAGGTTGAGGCTGCGGTGGCTGTGAGCATGCCACTGCTCTCCAGACTGGGTGACAGAGTGAGACTCCAACTCAGGAAAAAAAAAAAAAGAACAAAGCAAATTTCTTAGGAGAAAAAATGGAATTGTTTAAAATTGTGTATAGATACACAGAATTATATGCGTTGCAATTAAGTTATTCAATGAGATTTTATCTCAAAAAATACTTTATCATTATCATTTCATTGTAGATAAACTTCGTTAAAGAATGAGATTTTTTTCCAAGTGAATCATTTTGGTGAAATCTTTGACGCTGATACATTAATGACCTTTTATGTAAATGACTTTTTTGCTCAGTCCAAGCCAGGCCCGCTTTCCTTCTCAGGGCTGTGTTCATTCGCCACCGAAGGCCCTGTGTCTTTGTGAACCTGTGTGCATGTGTGTGCGTACGGGTGTCTATTTTGTTGTTCGCCAGAGAGAAGTGTGTGGTCACATTGTGCCTAACCCCTCAATTCAAAGCCAAGTTTAGTATTTTAAATAGTCTCTCCTCTCATGAGTCACTCACTCATTTACGCAACAAATATTCCTGGAACAGCTGTTGCGTTCCAGGTGCTCTAACAGGCTCTGGGCATCCCACAGTAAACAAGGCACCATGCCTGCCTGCCAAGTGGGACAGACTTGACAAGTAATCAAGTCATTTCAGAACAGTGTGATAAACTATTTGATCAGAGTAAGCCGAGTTTTATTTAAAAGGCTAGAGAAAGGCGTACCTGATCCAGATTTTCAAAGTTTTCAGGATTTACAGAGTAGACTAAAGGAGACAACTTCCAAATAAAGGCAACTTTATTATATCTATAATGACCATTATATTCACTTTGTACAAGCAATTGTCTCTCATTTTCTAAACCCATATTCTTTCACATTAAAATGCTTTAATTATTTACAAGATTATAACATAACAACCATGACTTTGAAATGAACAACTTGGTGATTTGTTTACTTACTCCTTAATTGATTAACTGTCTCTGAGAGCTGAAGAAAGAGGAAAATTGAAACTTGAAAGAAAACAAAGACCATGTCCCTTTTTTTTTCTATGACCATTTATAAGGAAGAATGATAGGCTTTTTCTCTCCTTTCATTGGCTGTTACCTTATCCCCCTTTTAAGAAAATTTTTAATTAGAATACCAATTCAATTTCCAATTTCAGGTTATTGCTAGAAAGCTTATTGTATGTATACCTTACTATTAAACACCTTTGACCTACATAGAAAAATAAGAAATATTTTAAATTCTTTCTACAAAGGATTGGGTCTTAGTTGTTCCCAAATGTTGCTTAAATGTGTTAGAAGAGGTGAAGCATCTTTTTCAAATGGAAGAGAAAAGACCTTTTTGTATTGTAAATTACTGCCTGCCTTTTAGCAGCAATTTGTGGAGTGGCATATGTGCAGGGGCTTTTCGGGAAAACAGAAGAGCCTGAGGCCTCTGTCATCCTGGGAATTCTAAAATATGTCTCTGCTAAGAGTTTCTGGAAACGTGTGTAGACTAGGTGAGCAGAGACCTGCAACGTGTGCCATTCTGAGTCTAGAGTTCTTTATTTAGATTTGAGCAAATATATTTAACATCCCGTTCAACTTTTCCACTGATGGAACCTGCAGCTGACATATGGTCAACATGAATGCTGACTTTTATTCTGCAAGAAAGCTAGAAGCCATTTTTAATAAGTACTGAAAAACTCTTGTTATGTCATCTCAGTATCAACCCGAGAGAAGTTTTCAACTAAAGGTCTATAATTATTTTAGAAGTGGTAATGTTCTATCCAAAGATCTTATCATTCTATTTTCCAGAACTATGTCCACTCTGAGTTTGCTATTTTGTCATATATATCATATCATGGTAATTGGAAACAATATAATGATAACAACTTCCTATATTTTTCTGGCAGGATTAGCATTTGGCCTTTTCAATTATCTTCCTTCTGACTCATATGGTATGTCTAAGCTGAGCTGATCACCACTCAGGCAAACCATGGTCAATAAAATTGACTAAACAACTTTAATTTTTAAACAACTTTCCACAAGAATTACTAACAAATAAGCACAATTTCTTGACTTCCAGCTCCTATCATTCATGTCTACTGCAAAGATTCTTTTGTAAAACTAATCCTACCATCATCTGATTTTTCTGGTTGTCAGAGTTCTGTTTTTAACTTCAAGCTTCCCTGTGCATAGAGAAACACAAGGCATCACCCACCTACTTTCCAATCCACTCTATAAAGAATTAGAAGAAAAATTAGCACAGAGACTTTAACGATAAAGACAGTGCTGCTAGGCATTTCTCTTTTGTTACTTGTGTGATGATACTGATTTATTAATTTAAAGGAACAGCTGAGCAATGTAAGGAATGCATTGGCAGAGTCTTCACTCCAATGGATTATTATTTCATTTTATTACTGGAGACAGACATCTGTGCCCAAAACAAAGGGCCACCAGTCTGCTGGACAGAGGAAAACTCTGCAGCCTCACAAGTCGTCTCAATTAGTTTTTGATACTGAGACAGAGTCTCAGGGATGCTCACCAGGGCTCCCCCAAACTCCAGATCCACACGTTGTTCTGTTGTTCAGTAGCTTCTTGAAATGTTAAGCTGAGGCCTTCCATTGCAGGTGGATGGAATGGACCTCAGAGATGCCAGCCACGAACAAGCTGTGGAAGCCATTCGGAAAGCAGGCGACCCCGTAGTCTTTATGGTACAGAGCATTATAAACAGACCAAGGGTAAGCAAGCACAAAGGGCAAGCAAGGTAGGCATATCCAAACAGTGTAAACTTGGCCACTTTTTTTCATCAAGCGCCAAGTTGTCTGTACGAGCAGAGATACCGATTTCTTGAAATCTCAGAAGACTTGTTAAAAGTCTGTTTTCTTTTTCAAAACTAGAGTTATCCTGCAAATCCCTTGTACCTTGTTGAGTAAAGACTTTTGAAGTCTGTTGAAAGCACACAGAAGTAGTTTTTATTATCAACACAGGAGGCACGAGTTCAAAAGAATGTGGTGTGTCATCAGTTGGGTTAATAGTGTGTGATGGTGGAGTCCCTTAGAAGCCGGAGAGTTTACATTTTCTTGACGTTTGTTCTCTAGGCAGAATCTCCTGCTTTTGCAATTCTGTGCTCACCTGTGAGTGATCTTTTTTTTTTTTTTTTTGAGTTGGAGTCTCACTCGGTCGCCCAGACTGGAGTACAGTGGCCGCTCCCGGCCACCGCAGCCTCGACCCGCTGGGCTCCGGCCATCCTTCCGCCTCAGCCTTCCGAGTAGCCGGAATTACAGGCTTGCGCCACCACGCCCGGCTGATCTTTTGATTTATTGTAGAGATGAGGTCTCGCCGCCCAGGCGGGTCTCGAACCTGCGGGCTCAGGCAATCCACTCACCTCGGCCTCCCAAAGGCGCGGGATGACAGGCTGAACCACCGAGCCCGGCTGTGAGTGATCTTTAATGTGTTTGTGTGTCCCGTGGAACGTTCAGTTTCCACAGGGCGGATCTTGTTTCTTTACCAGTGATGTCATAATTGCTGTTCCCCAGCCACGATCACTGTGTAGCTCTTCATCAGTAGGTAGCTACTGGAGGACAGAAATCTGCTGAACCATTTTACCATCAATCATCCCAGGGGAAATCGTTTTAAGAAATATTTTAGGAAATAGTAGTATACTTAATGAAGGTTGATAGAGAAGATGCAAAGGGAAGCTTCATGTATGTGATGTGTCTTGATGCTGAAGATGAAAATTATGCCAAGAATGGAAAACTCTTTTTTTCTTCCTTCTTTCTGCTTCATTGGGAAAAAAATATCTTTCAGACGCAGCAGTATTACGTATATTGGGGGTCACATACACCTTTGAAAGTGATTTAGAAACATGCTCCATTCACTCCGATTGCATATGCCATTTCAGGCGTTTCTTGGATGTGCTGAAGTTCTTAGAGACTTCTTGTTGGATTTAAGTTCACAACCCTCGACATGCTGATTCTCTTTGAATTATCTGCTTACAAGTTTTTAGGGTTGGTTGTCCTTAAAACAAAAAAAATAAAAATTCGACATAAGTGAGGGAAGTTAAGGACGTCATCTCAAACTTAGAAATGTAATTTTATGTGCAAGATACTTTTCATTTTAACTTGTAAAATGAAGAAGTGAAGATACTAATATTCAAACGATGAGAGGAAAATAGCAAACAGCTCTGTAGAGGAGATCAAAGTGATTTATCAATATTCTATTCCACGGAATACAAACAGAGTGACCAGACTTATCTTGCTGGTCTTTCTTTTATGTTCAAGACAGGTGTAACTCTGGTCTGGGTTCCCTGTAAGGAATTAATTTTGTAGTTCTTAATGTAAGCAGTTATCTTCACATCTGCAGTTTTTAATCACTCAGTTGTTTATTGTTAAGCAATAATTATCGATTCAGATAGAAAATCTGCCAAATGGTAGGGCTGCATCAAGCTGCATTCTTTACAAATGCTATTCAGTTTGTTTAAATAACTGTAAATCTTTTTACATTTGTTTCCGTTTGTGTGTTAAACATTAGCACAGAATGATAATGTTGATAAATGGCTGTTTAAGTTAAGTTAAAGCAATTTTTTGTGTGAGTGGATTTTATTTCTTTTTTTGTTCTATTTATAATTTTCAACTTTTACATCATTTGGGACAATACTGTAAACTGCTGAATGATTCTCAATACAGCTTAAAAAATTTAAAGTACAAGCATTTCTTTCAATGTCAGTCACATATGCTAATAAACTGGGAAGATATTGTCTCATACACCTGGAAAATATTCCTACTTTACTATCTGAGGTATAATGATGCTTGATTTGATAGCAATGATTCCAGGAAAAATTTTGCTTAGAATGACAAGTTATACTCATTTTGGGGGGAAACTAGAATTATTTTTTCATTTAAAATGAGATATACTGTATTTTCAGTGATTTACTTCCCTATGGAAATGATCCCGTCTCTAGTAATCTAAAGAAAAAAAATTAGAAAATACACATACATAAGAGTCTCTTAGTAGAAAATGTTTTTATCTATGGATGTATTAATTAAAAAATACAATTGCTCTGGAACAGCCTTAACATCTAGATAAAATACAAACAATTTTCTTATTGGGAAACAAAAGAATAATGAAGGTTACCAATGAACTAGCAACCAAATGTTTAAATCTAAATCTTCTAGGAAGTCTTATTATACACAGGCTAAATGCCAGTCAATCTCTTTGGCCCTTTGACTGTTGGAGAATCAGAACTTTTCAGACCTAGCCCTATTAATTCCACCAGCATGACCCTCCACAGAATTCAGTCTGACCACATTGTCTAACTGAAAAATGGGCTCCATTAATTTAGGTCTGAGAATGTCCTTGTCTTCCTTGTGCTTCTTAGTTATTAATGTTTCAGCTTTTATTAGCTTTAGGACTATAAACAGAAGTTTCAGCACTGATTTTTTAATAAGGTATATACTCTGTTTCTATCAATCTTTCCCTAGGGATGGAGTGATCTACCATTTCATCTGCTGTACCTTTGCTGTACTTTTACACTCTGCTATCAGGGCCAAATTCTAATCCTCTAAGATCTGCAAATTTAACACAAAGGAATACAATAAAAACAAATGCTTTCTTTAGTTCTTCCACTTCTTGCCATTATAGGTCTGTTGTCTACTGTTCCACAGAATTGTCCAGGGCACTTGACACCTAAAAGTTCCATGTATGAGGGTTTGAAATAACTTCCATCCTACATAGCATGGAATTACGTTACCTAGGATATGTTTTTCATCTCCGCCTAGTCATTTTTTCCACCTTAATAAATGGTCATATGCCTTGGCATTTGTGATCTTCTCTTTTGTCAAGCAGGAGTTGACATTTTCAACTGAAAACCAGGGAGAAAGTTTAGATGAGCAGAAATGTCATTGTGCCCATTTCTTTTTCCCATCTTCCCTCTGTAGGAAAAACATTGCAAGAAGAGCAGATTGAAAGGGTAATGTGGCATAAGCTTTAGTGCAGGCGTACTGAGGAGAGAGTCTTCCAGAGTGTTCTCCCATTCAGGGTGGTGTCACATGACAACCTCTCCCTACACTTGATGCCTGCCAGTGGGCTTTTTTATAGAGAGAAGTAACACAAACATTTAATTGGAGCCAAAATGAATTTTAAATGTCTGCAATTTCCCCTGAAAGATATAGTCAATAAAAGAAAAAGATAGCGGGTGTGAAAAGAAGAAGAAGAATTTATTGTGCTAAGGAAATTGCTTTTCTTTTTTTTTTTTTATACTATGAAAATGCTAAATTCTAACTGGCAAGCATCCTGCCTTGAATATGTATATTCAATTCTAACAGTCTGGCTCAGGGTTTATTACAAACAAGCCACAAAACCAATGAGAAGCCACTCTAAGGCAGGACTTCAAATATTATTCAGATCCTCATAAATTCCCCCGGTAATACGACAAATTTTACAGGAACTTTTTAAAAAACGTGAATCTCCTTGTTTCTACCTCCACAAACAGTAGGCAGAAATAGAAAAACACACCACTGTACAAGAGTTCACTTCTTCACAAATTGCTGATTTCATTTTTAATTAAAAAATACAATTGCTCTGGAACAGCCTTAACATCTAGATAAAATACAAACAATTTCCTTATTGGGAAACAAAAGAATAATGAAGGTTACCAATGAACTAGCAACCAAATGTTTAATTTGCATTCTGGAACAGATTATTTAAAAAAAAAAACAACAGCTTTTTAATTCGAAAACGTGTTTCGTGGTATTCACGAAGTGTATATTAATAAAGTGAGCAAAATATAGGTGCCTCTATCGGTGATTGTAAAGACATTCAGTGAAAATAAAAGAACTTGGGGATCCGTTTAACACACTGGTTTCCTTTGTGGTTTGTGGACCTATTTAGACTCAGGCGTAGGTTCAGATAAGTAGAGACAGATCTTTAGTTCCAGGCTGCTGAAGATCTCGCTATTAATGACTAGATCTGCCGGAATCTAGTTCCACACAGTTCTTGAAATCAGTAAGTTCTCGAAACTGAGTTGTTCTGAAGACATTGCTTTTGCGTTCAGCGCCTCTTCTGTTTCCTTTTAGAAATCCCCTTTGCCTTCCCTGCTGTACAACCTTTACCCTAAGCACAACTTGAGCAGCACTAACCCATTTGCTGACTCCCAGCAGCTCCACGCTGACAAGGTTGGATAATGCCCGTTGTCTTGCTGTTGCCTTTTGCAAATGTTTTGTTCTTTGTTACCACTGTGCCTTTGTCCTGATTCGCTGTTTACTACATTTGGGCAGGGGGGGGAAAAAAAAAGCAAAAAACAAAAACTGTGTTTGGAGTAGGCATGCAAATCCTTCCTTAAGCACATTTTCTCGCCAGAGAATATTTATTTTTATCACTGAAATTAAATGGCCCGTCTGAAGAGTAAGAGAGAATCGTGATTCTGATGCCTTTCCTTCATTTCGGTGTGATTTAAATTTTCCGATCTTTGAATTTTTGTTACTTGCCAAATGTATGAACTACTTTCACCCGTAATTTCCGCAAAACCTTGCATGGGTTTAACTCCTTTTCTGACTTCTACAAGGTGGTCATAAAAGCTCTTCCATGAGTTAATCTCTCTGCACATAATTGTGTACATGTACATGCAGGAAGCTGTTGAATATTCATAAAGCATGTCCATGTAATTGCCTGAATCAGAAAACATAACTGTTTCAGTCAGTGCTTGTAAATCTATACTTGGATATTCTCATATTCTGATGAAATTATAAAACCAAACTTGAAACAGAAATTTATGAGAATTTATGTACCATATTGATCATGAAAAGAAAGAAAGCCATCAACAATTTTCTTTTAAGAAATACTTTATGAATATTCATCAGATTTTCATGCGAGTGTGATATGGATAGCCCAAAATGCTATATCTGAAGGGATATGTTTTCTGTTACTGTAGGAATTGCAGAATTCAAGTAGAATTGTCTTCCATTGTTCCCCAACTAACCCTTTTGCTCCCATACCCTTTAAGGTTTGTCTCAGTGTGAAGTTGTCTTAAGTGGGTGTGTTGCAGTGTGCTGGACATGTGTTTTGTGCTTGGTGTGCATATCCATGGCGTGGAGTGATTTCAGGTGCACTTTGCATTTTCCCAATGATGTTCTAAAGGACTTTTGTTAAAAAAAAACAACTTTATTTTCACTAATAAATTTTTAGTGTCAATATCAAGTCAGATACACGAACTTGGTGAGAATGAGGGTGAGGGAGTTGGAAGGGGCCAGGTAAAGAAAACACCCAGTTGCCTCTTAAGTTAATACAGGCTTGGGTTCACTTTATGATTAGTCCGTGAGGCTTGGGCCCCATTTTAGTTTACTCATGATATGAAAATGTTGTTGCTTAAGGTCCCAAAGAGTTTTTTAGATAAGCAGGTTTTGTTTGTTTGTCCTTAAGGTAAATAACAGCTCAAAAAAAATCATGCAGCAAGATCTATAAAATGTGCATCCATAGAGTTGTTTAAATGAAGGGAAGTTTAAATTGTATTTTGTTCTGCTTTTTAATGGAATGGACTTAACTCATTCCTGATGACGTTTTGTATTGTTACAGAGTGATACATTTTTTTTAACCAGAAAAATTTCGAAGTACATACCGTTTTCTTTTTTGCCATGATTAATGAAACTTGATTGGATCAAATGAGGGGTTTTTTGTGTGTGTGTTTGTTCATTTTTATTTGTAGATTATTAATTTGAGAGATTTATGACACAGCATTTGGAAAGATAACAAGAATTTCAATAACATGTAAAGAGAATACTTTGATGCAGCAGATTCTGTAACCTAAAAAATCGATTTCTGTTAAGCCTGTGTCAACCAACCCTTTGCTTTTTGAGAAAGCTGAATGCTTTCTCTGTCATCAAAGAAAGGCGACCAGTGTCAAATCGTTTTTTAGTGTTTGGTCTGTTTTGTGATATTCTGACTCTTGGCCCCAATTAATAATTTCAAAATATTTGGGCCTATCATTTACTATGTAGAAAGTAGGTTTTTTTTGTTTTTGTTTTTGTTTTTTTTTGATCACGATCTTTTTCTAGATATAAACATAAAATAAAACAAGCTATATCAGAGGGATTTTTAATGCAGAAAATAGTAAAATATTTTAGTAAAAGATATATAGGAAATCTACAGGTTCAAGGCATCAGAGACAGCTTCACATCAAGGTTAGAATCTCAGCTGGGTGTCTCTGACCTTTAAGTACTGTTTACCTATGGAAATTTCAGGTGACCACATGGTATAATGGAAAGTGCATTGGATTAAGAACTAAGCACAACTGTGAGATTTGAAAGGAAATCCTTTACTTCTTATGACCTCAGGTTCAAAGGTCTGCAAGATGAATAAAATGAATTCAATGCCGTAAAGGCCCTTCAAACTCTCACCTTCTGTTTGATGATCTGTCCTGTGAGAACTTGACAACAGCAAGTTCTTCTTGTTTGAAATGGCCCTGAATGACAGCATGGGTGCCATGCTTAGACTTTGTATGAAGTATTCTGCTAGGCTTTCCAATTTACCTTGGACGCTACCTTGCTGGGGAAAGATGGTGTTGTCCTTAAAGCCACGCCCCTCAGGTCTGAGTTGGTGTGCTCCCTGCTAGACAAGGCTGCATGTGCAATGCTTGTTTTCCTGGATCGTTGAGAGAATCATTTGGAGAGGATTCAGGTAGCAATAAAGAATTCTTTCTCTTTAGTCTCGCTAACAAGGTTTGAAGGTCAACTTCTTTGTTAATTTCTTTTTTAAAAACTTTCTTGGCAGATTTTTATAGAAACTCCTTCCAATTTTTCGCAGACCCCTACATATTTTTGATAACTTTTGAATGATTTTGTTTTTTTCCAAGGGGAAAGTTTGTGCAATTTTCTATCTTAAGTCATTTAAGCCTTCAAATTCAATAATTCATTGGCTTAAAATAGCAAATAAGAGTTTAATGAAGTGTGCTCTGATTCTGATGTGTTTTGCATATTTAAACTTACCTGAATCCTGTCTGAATTATATATATATATATATATATTTGTGTGTGTGTGTGTATGAGCTTTCCATTATGTTAGATATTTCAAAGCCAGTCTTTGTTTTTAACAAAGTCTATTTTTGTTTATGCTATTATTTCTTTTCCTTGAAGTTTTCTTCCTTAGATCGCACATACCCACGGCATTCTTCTTCTTTCCACAGGCACCCAGTCTGTCAGAGCCAGAGCCAGAGAAGGCTCCCGTGTGCAGTGTGCCCCCACCCCTTCCTTCAGCACTTGCAGAAATGGGCACCGATCAAGTGCAACCATCTGTAAGCAAAGTCTCAGACGATGTGGACAAAGAGGATGAATTTGGTTACAGCTGGAGTAAGTTGTCTTTTTGTGACACATTTAATTATAAGAGGTATTCGAATAGCCCTGGGTTTCTCAAGGCTTAGGTCCTGGACAGATAGATACATTGCAGCTGGTTGGGCGTGGTGACCCATGCCTGTAATCCCAGCACTTCCGGAGTCTGAGGCAGGAAGATCACTTGAGCCCTGGAGTTCAAGACCAACCTGGGCAATATAACGAGATCTCATCTCTACAAAACATCAAAAAACTTGCTGGGCGTGGTAGCATGTGCCTGTAGTCCCAGCTACTCAGGAGAGTGAGTCTGAAAAATCACCTGAGCCTAGGAGGTAGAAGTTATGGCAAGCTGTGATCGTGTCACTGCATGCCAGCCTGGGTGAGAGCGAGACTGTGACTCAAAAAAATAAATAAATAAAATAAAATATAATAAAAAGTATTTTGCAGCTTTTGCAATACATATTGCAGTTCTGTGCAGAAAACAACACTGTTTGTTTTGCTTGAATATAGCATACATTCCTGGGGCATGGGATAATGCTCCTCCTTTCCTTTAAATACGTATTCCTGTGAAAGCCCACTTTGCCTTTTGTGGAAATTAGCAAGGAAGGACACTCTCTCCGATGCCTGTACTGCATCAGCCACTGGTGGTGTAGAATAAGTCATCACCCCTTTCTAGGTCACATTTCTAGACGTCACTGATTGTTATTGATATTGGTTGTTAACTGATATTACACTTTGAACTTCTGGTCTTTTCCGTACTAGAATGGTAATATTGTAGAATTGTAGAGATCACGACTTTGGGCATTTGCTAAGTGGCTGTCTCTCTTTTTAGAACGCAGTTCTTGCTTCATGTGGCTAACATTCAATTGGATAATGCCTGAGGAATGCTAAGCCCAATGCCTGGTACGCAGGAGTCATTCGTAGACAGCTGTTATGAGGATGGAGGGGAGTCTTTGTTTTCTAAGGATAGAAACCATTTGACTGGGAAATATTAACAAATTAGCCAAAAGTTATACAAGCCGTTGATTTAAAAAGCTTGATTTTATTTTAAAAATCTAATTATTTCCTTTAAGAAAGCTACGGTATGTGCTGTTTGGGAGTACAGAGTATAAAAGTTGTGTTGCCAGATCTGGAAGGCATCAGGAGACGGCAGTTTATGAAATGTATGCAGTAAAAGTCAATGTAGAGCGCGTGATATTAGCCACATGAGGGGAGAACCCCCAGAATGGAATTAATTTATTTAAAAATTATGTATTTATTCTTACATATTTCAACTTCAGTCACCTTTCAGGTACTCCCCGTTTGATGCAGTGCATCGATCAAGATGCTTTTTCCACTGCTCAAAACAGTTTTCAACATTGTCGATTTTGAGGCTTTGTAGTGCTTTCACCGTTTTTTGTTTTACCTATTCCACATTGACAAAATGTTTTCCTTTGAGGATGTTTTTATCCAGGGTAACAAAAAAAAGTCATTTAGGGAAAGATCAGGTGAACAGGGAGGGTCGGGCCCAGGGGTCGTGCTATTTTAGGTTTGGGGCAGGTATGCTCATAAATTACCCATCGTGAAATAGACAAACACGTTGAAAGATTCTCCAAAACAAAAATCCACTGATGCCAAACACAGCCTCTCGCAACAACACTAGCTGGTACACTGGTGCCATTGGGTTCCAAGAACATAGAACCTAGTGGTGGAAACCTACACTCAAAGGGCCCTACCCTCCAAAAAATAATTCCATGTTTTTTGGGGATCCCCCTCATAGAGTGACATTTTCTAAGAGATGGTTTGTAAAATTTGCCGTAGTCTCAGTCTGTTGTCAATGATATGAGGGCATATTGCTAAAAAATCAAGGTGGCCAGAATGTATTCTTGAGGAAAATGGTAACCAGAGTATTTCAGTTTTTCGTTATCAAGCCACTCCAAAAATTAATAGTTTAAGACAACAATTTACTATCAACCTGTGAAGTGGTTGGCTGGACTCAGCTGGGCTGGATTTCTGAGATGTCTCATTTTGTGTGGCTGGCAGATAGAACTAGCTGCTGGCTGGTCACTCGTCTGGGACTGTGCATGGGCCCCAGCCTCTTGAATTAACGAGGGCGGACATTAAACTTCACCCCTTGAAGATGTGGGGTAAGAGATGTAAATGGTCTCATCTAATTAGGACACATACCCTAGTGCCGAGTCAGGTACCTCGATTTGTCCTGGCCTTGTAGCTCTATACAATAAGAAAACCTCTTCCCTTTGTTCTGGATGTATGTACCCAGCAAATGCCCAACATGATGTGACATACAATTTAGATTTTCCTGTGGGAGAAAAGCTCCCACTGATCAGTGAACACAAATATTTGGATGCCCTAGTTCTGTTCTCTGCAAATGCTAACGTTTCTCGTTTAAGCATAAACTCTTGAGAGTTTGTAAATGTGTGTTACTTCTCTCGGGCCAAATCCTACCGAAGTGAACCAATTAATCAGACACTGTGCTCTCTGCACCTTGAATGCAAACAAATTCCCCAGAGTTTGAGCACTCTAGGAAATCAGTCCTGATGGCCAGGTAGCCAGTCTGTTGGACTTTTGATTGCTGAAGATTGCAGTAGCGCCCCTTTGGTATAAAGCCAAATAGCTTCCACAGTTAAGCATTGGGCTGTGAACTAACTTTACATGTGCTTTTTTTACTGCTGTTGTGCGTAGAAAATATCAGAGAGCGTTATGGAACCCTAACGGGTGAGCTGCGTATAATTGAACTGGAGAAAGGTCGTAGTGGTTTGGGTCTGAGTCTCGCTGGGAATAAAGATCGATCCAGGATGAGCGTCTTTATCGTGGGCATTGATCCAAATGGAGCCGCGGGGAAGGATGGTCGATTGCAGATCGCAGATGAGCTCCTAGAGGTAAGGGTTTGTGGAAAACTTTGAATCTCCTCTTACTGCCACCAGTGTGATGGAATGGTCAGTTTTCAGAAGGTCACCCAGACCTCCTGTCGCAACTGAGGAAACTATCACTTGCCCTCATAAGATGGATGCCCATTTGACTCCAAACCAAACATCTGCCAAGTCAAGTCCCAGTTCCCATGACGTTCCATTAAAAGGTTGTGACTATGTAGCAACAGAAACAATTTTTGCCCCCAAGATAATAGTAAAGATCACACTTCAAAAACATTTATTTTGTGTGCTGCATTTTTATTAGGAGCTTTTGAAAACCCAAGTAGCGAGTTGGACCTACTGGACTTTGTGGGAGTTGAATTGCTGATGAAGAAGTGATGGGGGTGAGGTGGAGTGAGGTCAAGGTTAAGGCAAAATGACAAAAGCAGTAACTCAGCCTGCCAAACGAAAATAAATTTGTGGACCATACTTTATAATATATAAAATTGTATTACTTTTTTTTGAATGGGTGTCTTACTCTTGTTGCCCAGGTTGGAGGGCAGTGACACACTCGCAGCCACCGCAGCCCTCAACCTCCTGGGCTCAGGCGATCCTTTCACCTCAGTCTTCCAAGTAGCTGGGACTAAAGACACACGCCACCACACCCAGCTAGTTTTTGTGATCTATTGTAGAGACGAGGTCTCACCAAGTTGCCAGGCTGGTCTCGAACTCCTGGGCTTGGGCAATCCTCTTGCCTCAGCCACGCAAAGTGCTGGGATTACAGGCTGAGCCACTGCGCCCGGCCTGTATTTGCTTTTTGTTTTTTGTCCTTGCCTCCTGAAGTCTAGGATCCACATGTCTTCCTACTTCCTCTATATTTTTCCTCCTGCCTGGTGTATTTCCCTGTTGACTTGGGAGGCTCAGTGAGCAGTGGCTCAATGACCAGATGACTGAGCTGTATTTAGGCACTGTATTTCTTCTTCATTTTTTTTTTTTTGAGTAGGAGTCTCACTCTGTCACCCAGGCTGGAGTGCAGTGGCACACTCATGGCCACCACAGCCTCAACCTGCTGGGCTCAGGTGATTCTTCCACCTTAACCTTCCAAGTAGCTAGAGCTACAGGTGCGTACCACCATGCCTGGTTTTTTGATTGACTGCAGAGATGAGGTCTTGCCAAGTTGCTCAGGCTGGTCTCGAACTCTTGGGCTCAGGCAATCCTCACGCCTCTGCCTCCCAAAGTGCTGGGATTATAGGCGTGAGCCACTGTACCTGGCTGGCACTATGCTTCTGAGACACAGACTGCTGCCTAAATCCTGCATTTACCCAGCATTGCTTCTCCTTGTGGTCTCTTCTTAGGACTTGAGTTTTTGTTTTTGTTGGTTTTTTTCTGAGTTGGATTCTCACTCTGTTGCCCAGGCTGGAGGGCAGTGGCATGCTCCCGGCCACCGCAGCCTCAACCTGCTGGGCTCTGGCGATCCTTCCGCCTCAGCCTTCCGAGTAGCTGGAACTACAGGCATGTGCTACCACGCCCGGCTAATTTTTTTTTATTTATTGTAGAGATGAGGTCTTGCCAAATTGCCCAGGCGGGTCTCAAACCCACGGGCTCAGGCAATCCACTCAACTCAGCCTCCCAAAGGACTTGAGTTTTGAGACTAACTGGGAAGCGTGATGGTAGGGGACTTCCCAGGATGGTCTGCGCAGGTCACAAGTGTTTCCATAGAACCCTTGTTCTGTGCAGAACATACTGGAAGCCTCGTGCCTGCCAGAAAATTTGCTATCTGCTGTCCTACAGTTGGTCTAAGGGGTGCCTGTTTGACAATAGCCCATGTGTATTAGACCTCATGCACATCATTTTAATGTTGGCTTCAAACATGAGCTGTTCCTTATTTACCATCAAAAGCCAGGTTCAGGCTCTAAGGGAAATTTATATAATATTTTAAAGAAAGGAAAATTGTGCTTTTTATTAGCTAGATGGGGTGATCAAATTTGTGATATTTGAATTTCAGACTCAGCTAATGATAATTATTTCTCACAGATCAATGGTCAAATTCTCTATGGAAGAAGTCATCAGAATGCCTCGTCAATCATTAAATGTGCCCCGTCTAAAGTAAAAATAATTTTTATCAGGTGAGTATTTTCTTTTGCGAGCTTACCAAATATTTTTTGTTAGCATTTCAACTCTGAGTTCTTTGGGATGAAAATAAAGCATTTGTGAATAAACATTTGTGAATGCCAGTTCTGTAGTTCCAGGTCTTTTTTTTTTTTTTTTTTTGAGTTGGAGTCTCACTCTGTCACCCAGACTGGAGGACAGTGGCACGCTCCTTGCCACCACAGCCTCGACCTGCTGGGCTCTGCCGATCCTTCCGCCTCAGCCTTCCAAGTAGCTGGAACTATAGGCATGCGCTACCACGCCTGGCTAATTTTTTATTTTTATTGTAGAGATGAGGTCTTGCCAAGTTGTCCAGGTGGGTCTTGAACCTGCGGGCTCAGGAGCCTCAGCCTCCCAAAGCGCTGGGATTACAGGCTAAGCCACCGAGCCTGGCTTAATTCCAGGTTTTGGGGGTTAAAGAATTGTATCTAATAATCTTCTGAGTCTTGAAGTAAGAGAGTGAAAATAATATCATTATGATATAATAGGTTCGTGTTTTTTGCTTTCAGAAATAAAGATGCAGTGAATCAGATGGCCGTGTGTCCTGGGAATACAGTGGAATCTTCGCCTTCTACTTCAGAGAATCTTCAAAATAAGGAGGTATATGTAACTTGCGTTTGTATCTTGGGGAAGACTTGATTGATATACCCTTTATGAATTCATTGACAATTTGAGAACACTTACAAGAATATCAGAGGTAGGTAAGTTATGACCTTGGCCTTCAAGGAGTGTATAGCCTAGTGCAAGAAGACGCTTGTGCAAGCACGTCACTCATATGAAGGCTGCCTGTAGTCTGCGTAGGGAACAGTAAGGGCACAAAAGGAGTTTTCAGTTCTGCCTCTGGAGAGTGAGAAAAAGACTTCACAGGGGAGGTTACATATGAAGCGTTATGTTGGAAGACTTGCAGGGCAAAAGCTTGGCACGCAGAGGGCATGAAGTGGGGAATGGCATGGAGGCTCGGCCAACATAGGATATTGAAAACTGTAGAGCACCCCTGAACAGGGCTGGGGGAGGGCGGGGAAGGAGTGGGAGTTGGCGAAGAAAGGGGCACTGAGAAAGGAGATAGGGTCAGATTATGGGACACATTAACAGGCTAACATGTGCCAACTTTGTCTTGGAGGCTGTGTGAAGCTCCAAGAATGAGAACTGGATTGTGATAAACTTCTCTGGCTGTAGTATAGAGAAAAAGCAGAGAGAGCAGGGAGAGATGTTCAGTTGGAGAGAGTAAGAAAATTATTGGAATAATTGAGGAGAAATGTACTGATGGCAGAATTAAGAAAGGGAAATAAGGAGTAGTTACATCAGATGTTAGGAACCCAAATTGATAGTGCTTTCTATCTAATTAAATGTACTCATTGAGGAATAATAAGTGGTTGAGAATTTATTTATCCAACAAATATTTCCTGGACAATCCGTCTTGTACCACATACTGTTCTTTGGGTTGGGAAATAAAACAGACAGACTTTCAGATGTCTGACTTGGTGACCTGAGGGGTGGCTGTCTTTGATAAAAATAGAAAACATAGACAAGAAGAGCAGATATTTACAAAAAGATGGCATATGATATTTGGGGCAGTTTAAGAATACAGCACCTGTTGGAAAGCCGTCGGAGTGGACTCCTGGGACATTTGGTCTACAGTTTAGAGAAGGATTCCCGTAGATGCAGATTTGGCATTTGTTAGCCCTGGACTCCAAGGCGCTTGCTTTCGTAGTGAGGTAGGTTGGAGCAGAGTCCTTTGTTATCAACAGCAGGAAGCCAAGCCAGTAAAAGAGAATGAAGACGAACTGGAAGGGCAATGTGGCTCAGCAACTGAGAAGAGCGTGTTTCAGAAGAAGGCAATATTCTATAGTATATATCTGATACACATATTCCTTCTATAAGATACATATGTGTATATGTATATATATATATCTTTCCTGCATGCCATCAAGAAGTCCAGTGAGAAGATGGGCAAAAAACTGGAAGACTATTAGTGATTTTTGAGAAAGCAAATGATAGATAAGAAATTAACTGGGAGAGGGCAGTATCTATAGGGTGCAAAAGAATTGAGAGAGTTTGGGGGTGTTACTTTTGTTTTGATTTAGGAACGTTTTGGATACCGTGTAAGATGTATACAAGGGGAAAAGAGAGGGCGAAAAGCTTAAAATTAGAGGAGCCTTGGCGATTATCAGTCAGGGAAGCTGTAGGAAGAGAGGCACTCTCTAAAATGAATATACACACATAAAGCACATGCATACAGAAGACAGATGTACACATCATTGTCTCATCCCAGCTGTTCCTGATGTTGAACCCAGGCAGCTGGTAGTTATTCAAGATGGCTAGGTTGCAAAGGGGGAACTTTTATTTTCATATTAATGAAAATAATATGGAAATAAATATGTCCCCTAAGGAAATGGGGTATGTTAACAGTGTTCAGGTGAAACATCTCATGGTTTTAAATTCACTTGATAACTAACACGGTGAGAGAGAATAACGAGTGGCGCCCCTGCTGGTACTCTGCTAGTGAGCTTGGTGGTTTGGTAGCTGGGTTTCTGTCAGATTTCACTACAGAGTAGATCCAGGTAGTCTTCAGAGCTGCTTGCTCTCTTTGTGCTCTAAAATAATTGCTGTCCGGTGGCTCAAGCCTATAATCCCAGCATTTTGGGAGGCCAAGGCGAGAGGATTGTTTGAACCCATGGGTTCGAGACCATCCTGGGCAACATGGTGAGACCTTGTCTCTACAATAAATCAAAAAATTAGCCAGGTGTGGTAGCACATGCCTGGAGTTCTGGCTACTTGGAAGGCTAAGGCGGAAGGATCACTGGAGCCCAGCATATCGAGGCTGCAGTGGCCAGGAGCGTGGCACTGCATTCCAGCCTGGACGATGGAGTGAGACTCCAACTCAAAAAAATAAAAATTAAAAAATAGATAAAATAAAATAATTGCTGTCCAGGCACACGTTGTAAGTATTTTGAAGAGAATGCAATGTTTGTAGATTTCTTGAAATGTTAACATTGTAATAATGAATCATAATAGATGAAATCATTTTGGTGAAATGGCCCTTGTATTTAAACAAACAAACATGCCTAAAGTGAGTTGCTTTTTCTGCCATCTTTTCCCTCCGTCAGGCAGAGCCAACTGTCGCTACTTCTGATACTGTGGACCTCAGTGTGTTTAAAAATGTGCAACATTTGGAGCTCCCCAAGGTAAATCACCTTTGCTTTGGAATTAAGTGACACTTGTTCCTTCGTACCAGTGTTCTAATTCACTGGGTCTCAAAAGTGTGATCTCCAGACTAATAGTGTCGGCATCACCCAGAATCTTGTTAGAAATGCAGGTACTGGCTGGGTACAGTGGCTCAAACCTGTAATCCCAGCATTTTGGGAGGCCGAGGGGAGAGGATTGCCTAAGCTCAGGGGTTTGAGTTCAGCCTAGGCAACCTGTTGAGACCTTGTCTGTACAGTAAATCGAAAAATAAGCCAAGTTCCAGCTACTTGGAAGGCTAAGGTGGAAGGATCGCCTCAGCCTAGTGGGTAGAGGCTGCGGTGACTGAGTGTGTCTCTGCACTCCAGCCTGGGTGACAGGGTGAGACTCTGACTCAGAAAAAAAAAAAGAGAAACGTGGGTACTTGATCCCACCCAGACTCACCTTCTGCTTGAGAAACTCTAGGGGTGGGCCTAGAAATTTGTATTTTACTAAAGGTCTACCTGATGGGAATCGAGAACCACTGTGCTAGCTGTTTCTTTATCAGGCCCAATTTTTCCTTTTATAATTATTCCAAGGTATGAAATCAATTCATCTACCAAGGTCCTGCTATAGAGGAAATAAAAATAAAGAATAGAAGTTATAGTCTTATCCTTTGTAATAATAACTGGAAGTGCTGCTGATAGGCATCAACGAGATATTGCTTTGAAAAGATTTGAACTATATGTACCGTTTAAAAATGTGGTACATATACACGATGGACTATTACCCAGCTATAATGAAAGACAAAATTATGGACGTCGCAGCAACTTGGATAGATTTAGAGTCCATCATACTCGGTGACATATCACAGAAACAGAGAACTGAGTAAACCACGTGTTCTCATTTATAAGCAGACCCTGAACACCTGAACATTTATCATAATACCACATGAAAGAGATTGGCAGTAGCGGGTCACTGCCAGGGAGTGGAGGGGAGGGCACATAACACCGATAAGGTTGCCTGATTCCAAACCAGGTGAAATGAGGACCACTTATGTACCGAATCCTGTATTATACCTCACATCTTTAAAATAATAAATAAATAAAATAGGATTGAAATAAATCTCCCCCAAAATAAAATAAAATAAAGATGCTCATATGATTAAAAAAAAAAAATCTGAACTTTAGGTTCAGACAACTTCTTTAAAGAGGAAGTGTGCTGAACAGAAACCGTTAGATGCATTCAGGTGTTTCAGGCTCGTGCTAGAAAGCAGGTGGACAGTGGAAGAACAGGAGCAAAAGCAGAAAGAGCAGCAAAGTGCTCAGGGAGAGGAGGGAAGAGGCGGGGGCCGAGGGGACAGGAGAACATCTACAGGAAGTGCTGTGGACCCAAAGAAGGGGAGTGGTCTGTAGACCGTCCTCTACAGGGGACGCTTAAGAGCATGGGCTCTCTCAGGTCATTCTGTCTGGAGCGAATCCTTGCTTTCGGTACTTGCTTGACACATCCTATGACCTTTCTCTACCTCAGTTTCCTCATCTGTAAATTGAAGAGGAGAATAGTACCCTGGTCTTAGGTAATTGTGGAGATTAAGTGAGTTGCTTATGAAATAGCATAATTCCTGGCACATGGTCAGATTCTGTTAGCTATTCAATGTTAAAAAATAAAATACAACACAAAACCTGACTCTATTGATTTGTTTCCTAGAGATTACTTCTAGAAAATGGATGGTTCTCATGGTGTAATATGCAGAGAAGAGAAGTTCTTATCTTATTATGGGCTATTTTTGTTATAGGTAGAGAGAAAAGAAGAGAAGTCATTAAAGTCTCTTGCCCTTCTATGAGGAAGTATGTACTCTTCAATTTGAGAATCCCTCATGCTATTGGTGTTTTAAGACAGATAACCTTGTCCTCTTTCCTTTTGTAATTTCTTTTTTTCTCCTAAATCGTGATGTCAGAGTTGATAGTATTTAACAGTCCAGTCATTTTTTATAATGTGTTAATTACGAAACATTTACATGTATGTTGAATATTTTATAATGAATGATTTTTTAAAAAAATCTCAATATATGCTTATCTGTAGAAAAGTCCAACATAAGATAAAATTTTCATGGGCCAGGCGTGGTAGCTCAAGCCTGTAATCCCAGCACTTTGGAAGGCCAAGGTGAGAGGATTGCCTGACTCCAGGTGTTCAAGATCAGCCTGGGCATGGTGGCATGTACCTGCAGTTCCAGCTACTTGGAAGGCTGAGGCAGAAGGATCACCTGAGCCCAGCAGGTTGAGGCTGTGGTGGCTGTCAATGTTCCACTGAACTCTAGCCTGGGTGACAGAGTGAGACTCCAACTAAAAAAAAAAAAATGTTCACATTACATGGTATTGATTCTCATTTATTCACCTAATGTTTAATACATTCTCCGATATAGTGAGTGCCCAGGAAATGTTGATGGAATAAGCTTGTTAGTTGGGTAAAGAGCAGGATTGCAGTGGTTGGGTGCACAGACATAAAGAAGACCACTTGGGTCAGAGACCTAGACTTGCCACTCACTGGCTGCGAGACTGACCTTGGCACTTAGTTTCTCCCCTCTCCAAAATGAGTATAATAATTGTACTTACCTCATAGAGTTGTAGTGAAAATTAAAATGTTGTAGAATTAAATATACATATTTACAGCCTTCAGTACCTGGCACACAGGTATAAGCATAGCTTGTTATTTTTTTTCTTATAATAATTAAGAAAGAATAAGCTGGCAAAGAGTTGTCTGACTGTTCCTTGTCACTGGTTTTTCTGATGCTTCCTGTGGCTACTTGATCAAGATGCTTGGTAGATGTTCACAGCATGGTAATCTCTTACTCAGAACCTTTCAAGGACTTTCACTTTCAAACAGATACATTCACGTACTGTGGCCAGGCAAATGGGGGTGGATGGAAGCCTGTTCTGTCTATCAGAAGCCCTTCTCACATGCTGAGTGATCTCCCAGGAATCACCCCATCCCATCCAGCCTCATTTTCTTTCTCGGAGAGCGGGGCTGCCTAGAGCAGAGGGTTATTGTTGGAATTGGATGAGTTAATGAGCAAGGTTCCCTCATCCTCCAATATAAAAGCTGGTCTCTGCCTGTAACCTTCTTGATTTATTCAGCAGATGTCTATTATGTGCACTTCCTTTTCTAAATTAGTTGCTATTGAGAAATGCAAGACCTTGGAGATCCTTAATGTACTGCCTTCTGAAAGCTTCCATTTATATGTAGATTTCAAACAAATCTAAAATTCAGGTACCAGAATGTATCTATTGATGAAAGCCCAAGTAAGTAAGGGGGATATTCAAGAATCCTTTAAAATTAGCTAGACAGAAGAGGCAATTAACCATGATTTTAATGATTTCAAGTGTGGGCTTTGGAGTCGCTTAACTTCTCTGGGCTACAGGCAAGCCCTGTGTTCTATGGATGAGCAGGTGTGTGCAAACCTACCCCCAAAGGCAGAGGGAGCTGAGAGGCGGCTCACAAATACAGTTTATCAGAAAGAAATATTTCATAGGGATCTATGTGCAGAAGCAGTGTCTTGGGTGGCCACAAGATATACTTATCCTCCAGAGGGTATCTTCTCTATAGTACGCTTTTCGAGTAAAAACTTGTACAGCTGGTTACATCTCACACTTTCTTGCTGAAACTCATGACCACTGGGGAAGTTCAATAAGCCTCTTTATGAGGGGTTATCTATGGTACAGGCCTTGTTTCAGGACACCTCGGAACGCAAGAGTTGAACGTGAGTCATCATGGTGGTTTTAGTTCAAGATAGTGTCATTCGTTCCATGCGACAGACTGTTTTCCCATACCTTTGAACTTTACTTTTAACCATGAGATGCTGGGTTCCCCATAGAATATATCCTTGAAAACATCCTTTGAGGACGCTGTTGTTGAAAATGATGTTAAGTGACATATCACACTAAACTTGTACACTCTAAACCCCATTATTAGATGGCTCTAGACTAAAACTCAGTTAAGCAAAGAAAGGAGAATTAACCAGGCTCTGCATTCATGCCTCCTCTGAAATCCTTTGTCATTGATACTATCCTGTACTTTTAATTAAAATTGTAATTAATTATTCGATAGCATAATTTAATCATGTCACATTTGTCCGTCATCCTTTACTCTTCAGCAACCCTGTGAGATGGCTTTCATTTCCCTTCTTTTGACTGTTCCCATAACTCCACATGGTAGATCTAGCACTTAACTCTGGCCTTCTGCTTCCAAGTTCCGTGTCCCATTTATTATCTATTTAAACCTCCGTGATAAGGGCCCCGTCTGTCTTTCTAAAATTCCTGTATGTGTCTATAGGAATTCTTTGCTCTATTCAAACTGATCTGAATCAAGAGCCATGGAGAATATTTTGAGGATTTATCCCTCCTTGCCTTTGCTGATGTCAATTGGATGTCTTTCTGATTTATTTTAGCTTATATAAATCTTACATATGCTAAAGACCCAGCTTAAATCTCACCGCTGCTCACTTTGAATTATTCCTTCAGTATTCTGACCTATATGAGGGTTATTATTAATGGCTTCATTTAACCATTTCTGGCCAAGAACATGTCTCATGAGATAAACTTTCTTTGTGTGGGTATCTTTTCTAGACATCCAACATGTACACATGTTGAGAGAAGAAATTCTTACACACTCTCACATTATCTGAGACAGTATGGTGTACACAGTTTACACAGAGTAAATATCTGGGAGGGAAAAATCAATAAATGCTTACATACAGCCTTGCACAAGAAAAAGATGTTGATAGCAAGGGAGTCAGGAAGAGAGAATCATTTTTGCATCATCTAAAAATGGGAGTTCTGGTAACAGGTCATTTCTGGTTCCGAGTTCTTAGAAATTCTCGATAAGTTCATTCTATTTTTTCTGTTTTAATCTTTTACATTGTTTTAAAAATGGAAAAATAGAAATATAAACCCTGTGGCTGACTGGATGCTCACTCAGTTGATCAGAAAAAAAAAAAATGATTGAAGATTTATTTTTAGCACAGAGTACCCAGAGAAGTACCTATATATCTAAGCAGGTAACAACTTTCTCTGATTATCATGGAGCTGATTTATATCCATACAGTTTTATGATGGGGTAAAAACCTTCAAATGCAATGAAGGGTTTTTCTTCTTTTGAATTTTAAGGAATCTTGCACTTTCAAAATTGTTCTCTTAATAATAATAATAGTTTGTTTTGCTTAATCTCACTTTTAATTATTGTTTACTCTTTTCCAATTGCTTAATCATACACCTTTTTTTCAAAAATGTTTTTCCTTGGAGCTGGACTCTGCGGAGTTCCAGATCTGTAGTTCCAGATACTTGGGAGGCTGAGGCAGGAGGCTCACTGGAGCCCAGAAGTTCAAGGGTACCCTGGGAAAGATAGCAAGACCCTGTCTCTAAAAAAATTTTTAAATAATATTTTAAATAACAAATATGTGTGTGTATACATTTCCTTAATTTGTTTCACCTTCCTTGCATGGTAGTATTTAAATAACTCTCCCAGAACAATGTTTCTCAGATCTTTTCTCTGGCAAAAATAAGGTGGAAAGTTGAGCAGTTAGACAAGAAAGTGCTCACTCGCACCCTAGTATCTTTTCTTATGTGTTATCCTGCTTTTCTGATATCCATAAATTATTTTTAGATGTATATATACTTATTTTTTTGTAGTATGCTAAGTGGGGTTTGGGCATAATATACACACAGATGAGTGATTTAGTGTTCCTTTTAGGGCTTCTCCTGTAGCAAGTAACAAAAAACAAAAACAAAGCAAAACACAAAAACAAGAACTCCTTAACTCTGGCAGACTTAATCAAAGAAGATTTATGGACTGAAGTCAGCCACCTTCAAGAGTAGTTAATCCTGTGACTCAGTTGTGTCATCAAGAGCCAGCTCTTTCCTTCTCGGTGACACTGTGCCACCCACAGTGTCAGCTTTCTCCCAAGGCTGGTCTTCCTCCTGGTTTTACAATGGATGCCAACCATAGTTGGGGGCCACGTGCTACTGCTTTTAAGTAAACATATCACTGGAGGAGAGGGGAGAGAAAGGCTGTTCAAGCATTCTGAGCAGAATTTCAAGATTTATCCTAAGATTCATCCTAACTGAGTCACTTCAGATTGCATGCTTATTTTCCAGCCAGAGGCAGTGGCCATAGGAATAGAATTATAGAATTGACTTAAGTTCTTCAAGCCCCATTCTTGGAGCTACTTATCTTTTGCAAGAAAACAAGTTGCCTCAAAACTTTCCAACTCAAAACAACAGGTTTATTTATTGTTTCACAGTTTCTGTGAGTCAGGAATTTGAGAGCCATTTTAGCTTGGGTATCTGGCTGAGAATCTCTTGTGCAGCTGTGGACACACTGCCAGCGAGGGTTGCCGTCAACTGAAGGTTTGACTGGGGCTTGACCTCACTTCCAAGATGATTTACTCGTGGCTGTTGGCAAGAGGCTTGATTTCCTCTTCATGGGGCTGCTTGAGTTTCCCCAAGACGCTTCCTGCAGAGCAGGAGATCCAAGAGCAACAGCAAGGAGAAGGCCTCCATGCCTTTTTTGACCTAGCATGAAGCCGCACACCATTACACTTCTGCTTTATTCTGTTTGTTAGAATCAAGTCACTGAGTCCAGCCCATACGCTTAGGCACTCCTTCAAGGGAGGAATATCAAAGAATCTCTGCTTATATTTTAAAACCACTACCTAAAATTTAGGATATAAGTGAGGTGAGAGAGACAGTTTGAAAGTGGAGAAGGGGGTGGGGAGAGTAGCTAGGTGAAGCAAAGGAGGGCGGGATAGATATTCTAATGAAAATCTACGCATTTTTATAAAGGAATAAGATGAGAAGGAAGGTTAGGTAATCAGCAAATGCCCACTATACTGATAAAGTACTTTTCTGACTATTGCCTGGCAAGTATTATTATTATTCCATTTTTTAGATAAGTAAATTTAGATTTTTCAGTTAAGAAAATTGAAATTCAGAGATGTGTAGTGGCATATCCAAATTTCTACAGCTAGGTAGACGGTAAACCCAGTTCTGCTTACTCTGAATGCACATTGGTTCTCTGACTGCCTGAAAAGAGGGGTTGTAGAGAAAGGTTGTGACAGCCTGAAACTTATCAAGCATTAATAATCTGCCTCAAAAAAGCCACATGGTGATAATCTTTAAGATGATATTGAGACCTTACCTTGATGTCATAGCCATGGCCATAAATGTCTCTTATGGCAAATTTGGCTCCTGTGTATTTCATGTGTAGTTCAGAAAAACCGGGACAAGATTCCCTTTTCTCTCTATTTTTTTAAAAATAACTTTTCCCTGGAGAAAAACTATAATGAAAACGGTTGCTAGCTCTAGACAAAATGAAAATGTTCAAAACTCGATTTGAATTGTATTAAACATTGAAAATGGTAAAAGCCAATATGACTGAACATTTGGTTTTGATCAAAGAAAATGTGAACAATATAGACAAAGAAGGAGTCGCTCTCCAACCTTGGCAGATTCTCAGAGCATATCTTGGGGCTCAGAGGTGATTTCAGTCTGCAACAAATCAAAATACTGTTCTCTGGAGAAACTGCTCTCGGTGTTTAGCCCCAGAAGGACAGAGCATGCAAAAGTAGTTGCTGTCTGTCTGCTAAAGGAAAAAGGGTAGCAGAAGAAGGAGAGGCCAGACCTGGTGGTTACTTCTAAGTGACAGGTCAGAAAGAGAGGAAGTGGGAGAATTATTTGGTTGGTTTTGAATGACTTAGTCAGCCAGTTGCACACGACTAAATTGGCAAATGCTGAGTGTTTTGATTGAATTATTGAATGGATTTTTGCTATCTAGATATTTTGCTGAGGTTATTAAATACATCAAGTATATGAAAGGAGTGAAACTGGAATGTTTGATGGAGGAGAATTTATTCACATTAGAAAGTTTTGAGTGTTTGACTTAGAAGAGATTTCTAATAGTGGACTTTAGAAGTGAAGTGATTGCTTTTCTAGCCCTTGGACATCTATCTGTATGGTTAAAATGTGCCTATTTCAAGTCTTCTGAATGTTCTTGTTGTTACCTCTCTAGGACCAAGGGGGTTTAGGCATTGCTATCAGTGAAGAAGATACGCTCAATGGAGTCGTCATAAAGAGTTTAACAGAGCATGGAGTGGCAGCCAAGGTGAGGTATCATCTTTCTCATTATTAAGTGGTGGAGAAGGGAATTCTTTTGGAACATCACTTAAGATCTTCCACATTTCCATTTAGGATGGAAGACTCAAAGTTGGAAGTAAGATATTGGCTGTAGATGATGAAATTGTTGTTGGCTATCCTGTCGAAAAGGTACTCTTCCAAAATAAAAGCAGATTAAAAAAAAAAAAGATGGGTGATCTAAACCCATCCTTGGGCCTGACTAAAACGTTTGCATGTACAGTCCTAGGGAATTAGGGTTATGTAGCTATATTAGACATATTCTTAAGGAAAATAAGAGACTATTCAGAAGTTCTTCAATTTCTATTTCTTATTTTGCAGTCAGGATGATATTAGGGTATTTTCTGTTGTCTGGTAATTTGTTCAGCATACACTGGGCATTTTTGATCAATTTGATTTCAATTTTTCCCTTAGGAAAACTTTAATCTCCTTAACAGTGGCTCCGTGTTAGTACCAAAAGAATTTATTTTATTTGTTTATTTATTTATTTTTTTGAATTGGAGTCTCACTCTGTCACCAAGGCTGGAGTGCGGTGGCATGCTCACGGCCATCACAGCCTCGACCTGCTGGGCTCAGGTGATCCTTCTGCTTCAGCCTTCTAAGTAGTGGAACTATAGGCACATGCCACCATGCCCGACTAATTGTTTTTCTTTGTTGTACAGACGACAGAACCCTTGGGCTCAGGCAGTCTTCTCGCCTCAGCCTCCTAAAGTGCTGGGATTATAGGTGTGAACCACCGAGCCCGATCAAAGAATTTTTTTAAATGAATATCTGCTCCCGTAAATATCCACCATGTACATTGCTTTGTAACCAGATTTTAAGACTCAACCATTAAATGTATAACAATTCTTGTCTTACTTGGAGCCTCACTTGAGGTCTTTTATATATAAGTGCCAGAAAAAAACTGTTTCCCTGAGATGTGGTATTCCTTTTCTTTGTTACAATAATGCAGAACCATGGAACTTTCCTTTTCTATGTTGGCCAGCAAGAAGCTTAAAGGCATTTAAAAAAGATATTTTAATAATTGTATAGTTTGGATCTTTCAGCCCATAAATTGTATTAAATTATGTTTTAACTTTCTCTTTGCCTTGATTTTTTTGTTGCATAGTTTTCTTATTTTACTTTTAACATATGTGGTTTTTATTTTCTTCGAAGTATTTGTGTAAGCTGCTGTAGATTCTCTGTAGAATCAGGAAGTGGCTAAAATGCCCCATTTATCTTCTAAGGTTGTAGGCATCCAGAAGAATGGATGACATTCATTAGGGATGTAAAAATCTACCCCAGGCATTTGGGGAAGCCAGAGAGAAACCAGAGCCTTGCCCCTCAAGTCCTGACAAGGATGTAGCTTGCCTCTCAAAGAGGGAATCGAATTCCAGGAATAATGATGTCTTATTGGTCACTTCTTATATGTTTTAAGAAGTCTGCTAATTTGCTTTTGCATTTTGTTTCCTTCCACACCAACACCCTGCCAGTTTATTAGCCTTCTGAAGACAGCAAAGCCAACAGTAAAACTTACTATTCGTGCTGAGAATCCAGATTCCCAGGCCATGCCTTCCGCTGCTGGCGCAACCAATGGAGAAAAGAAGAGTAGTGCCCAGTCTCCGATGACCCCACAGTCTGGCTCCCCGGAGCCGGAGTCCATCCGAAGTAAGGGCGAGGCTCATCCTGGGCACGTGCACTTGATCTCTGCTGGGAGTCTCTGCTTGGGAGCTGGCTGCCCGCCTGTTTGAAACGCAGTTAATTCCTGAACACCTGGAGGGCCACAGCCCAGGAGGGGCTTGGAAAGTTCCCCACACCCCAGCTCATATACCAAAGGCTCCCTCCACCATGCCCTGGGTGTCCCTGCACCAATAAAAATGCTCTAGAAAAAAAAAAGAAAGAAAGGCCATCTTCAGGGGCCCTTCATTGAGGAAGTGTCATAAAGAGAGAATCCCTGACGTTTAGGCAGACGATCTGTGCTGTACTGCACCCTGCCATGGCGCCTTAGGAAACCCACCTGCCAACCTCAGCTCTAACTTTTCCATCTCTAAAGCAAGGGGGTGGTGCTCTTTGCTCGCCAAAAATACTTTGCTGGAGGCATCTGTGATTTTAGCATCTGTCAATGGCTAATGAATTAGAAATATCATTTTGTAGATTCTTTTTTTATACTGGGAAAGTGACTTTAGTTTAACTTCTCTAAGCCTTAGTTCTCCCCTGCCCTTTTTTTTTAATGAGTCAGAGTCTCTCTCTGTTACCCAGGCTGGCATCCAGTGGCACGCTCACGACCACCACAGCGTAGACCTCCTGGGCTCAGGAGATCCTTCCATTTCAGCCGTCCAAGTAGCTGAACCTATAGGCATGTGCCTTCATGTCCAGCTAATTTTTGTTTTTAATTGTAGAGATGAGGTCTTGCCAAGTTGCCTGGGCTGGTTTTGAACCCATGGGCTCAGGCAGTCCCCTCGCCTCTACCTCCCAAAGTGCTCAGATTATGGGTGTGAGCCACTGTGCCTGGCTCTTTTTTGTTTTTGTTTTGAGTTGGAGGCTCACTCTGTCGCCCAGACTGGAGTGCAGAGGCATGTTCACGGCCACTGCAGCCTCGACCTGCTGGGCTCAGGTGATCCTTCCACTTAAGTCTTCCAAGTAACTGGAATTACAGGCATGTATCATCATGTCCAGCTAGTTGTTTTTTTTTTTAATTGTAGAGATGAGGTCTCGCCAAGTTACCCAAGCTGGTTTTTGAACCCATGGGCTCAGGCAGTCCTCTCACCTCAGCCTCCCAAACTGCTGGGATGACAAGTGTGAGCCACCACACCTGGTTAGCCTTAGTTTTCTTATCTATAGAATGGATGTGCATTTCTCCTGTGTTATAGATGGGATCGATACTGCCTGCCACTATAAGAAATTCTTAAAAATGCTAGTCATTGCTGTGATAGCCACAGTGGATCTGAGTTCTGGGCTTTTGGTATAACGGTAGCTTCTGTCACAGTGAATGAAACGGGTGTGTGTGGCCATCCTGTAGCGCATCATGAAACTGCCAGTCTGGTCTATGGAGACACATTATTCCTTTGAGCTACTCTTTGTGCAAAATTACACTGGTATGTAATAAAATAATAAGTTTCAAGTTCTGCATCCATTTTTTGTAATTACTTAAAGACATTTGCGTTTTCTGCAACTGGGAAAAAATTTTTGTTTTGGCTTCCAAACTGTTCTTTTAACAGGTTTTTAAGGAGATGCTGGTTTAAAACATTTATAATATAGTTGGATAGAAAAGTCTTAAAGTAATACATCTTTGAAAATAATCCTTTATTTAGAAAGACTGGATAACTCACTGAAGTGTTAAAAGATTTTATGGAAATCTTTCTCGTTTTTCAATTTTATGTTGATCCCTAAATAGTGTTGTCTATAAAAATATGAAATGCTAAATGAAAACTTAACATAAAAGAAAATATCTTACACCTGTTCCTACCATTTCAGGAGCGAGAAAATAGTCTGTTTCTGATTTCCTAAAAAGAGAACATCTTGTCTAAAGCATACGCTACTCTACCGAGTGCCCTAGCTTTCCCAAAACATGCTATTTGCTGTATGCTCTTTGTTGTATCAGAAAACATATGATATGATATGGTATGAAGACTATCATAAAGCAAAGTGTGAAATTCTCCTTTTCTCTTGATCTATTCCTGCCCATTCAGTTCTGAGCATATATGCACCAGGACATGATATCTGAGTTTATAAAATGTCAAGTGAGACCCATAGAGAAAATCTGCCGGTGGTTGCAAATACCCTCAGAATTGATTACTTAAGAAGAGGTGTTCTAGGATAGGAAGAGAAAGAAGTCAAAACTTAATGCAGATACCGTGACCAAAATCATTGATGTGCTTTGTGTTTTATGGTTTTCCGTGAAAGGGCTTCCAGGTTTCGGCCACATATCTCAACACTGAATTTCACAATTCCTTATTTCATTAGAAATGGGTCTGGCTCCGGTGAAATGTAAAATATCAATGTGAAACTAGAGGTGTAACTTAATTCTGTTCTCCTTTCTTTGTATCCTATCCTGTATATCTCTAGCAACTTAAAACACATAGAATAGCATAGAAAATTATCAAGCTGGTAGTTTTCTGCTCACCACCCTAAATTAACAATGATGATTTAATCGTATTTGTTTTATTTAAAAAACAGAAGATAATTAAAACATTTAAGCAAACTTGAGTCTTCGCTTGTCCCAGTCTTGGGCCCATTTCTGTGCTCCCTCACACAACATCCACCAGGGCGGAAAGTTTGATGGATATGCCTTGTAATCAATTTTTATTTGTATCTCATTTCATTTTTAACTTACTTTTAGGTACAAGCAGATCATCAATACCAGCGATCCTTGATTCTGATCCTGCAACCTGCCCCATCATCCCTGGCTGCGAAACTACCATTGAGATTTCCAAAGGGCGAACAGGGCTGGGCCTCAGCATCGTTGGGGGGTCTGACACGCTGCTGGTGAGTACCCCTGAGAGGTCCTTCCACTGCTAGGCTGCCCTTCTGCCAGGCCTCAGGGACCATCAGGGGGGATTCTGTCAGTTCTTGTAAGTGAAATGTGGAGGCTGAGAAAAATGTGTCATTCATTGTTATTTCAACTTATAGGGCAAATCTTCATTGGGACAACAAGATTTTTACTTTGAGTAAGCCAAAACCAACTCAGTGAGATTGTGTTATACTTCTGATTACCACCTTTAGGTTTTAAAGTGTTTCTATCAGTTCACCAGTCCTTGCTAAATTTTAATTTCCACTTTGCTGACGTCTTGTTTGAGTTAAACCCATATTAAGAAGAGTCTGAAAAATTGGATGCTTTGCTGGGTGCGGTGGCTCAAGCCTGTCATCCCAGCACTTTGGGAGGCTGAGGCGAGAGGATTGCCTGAGCCCAGGGGTTTAAGACCACCCTGGGCAACTTGGTGAGACCTCATCTCTACAATATATCAAAAAATCACCCAGGCATGATAGGGCACCCCTATAGTTCCAGCTACTTGGAAGGCTGAGGTAGGCTGACGCTAGGGTGGCCGTGAGCGTGCCACTGCACTCCAACCTGGGCTACAGAGCAAGACTCTGACTCAAAAAAAAAAAAAAAATTGGATACTTTGTGGACAGAATGTACAGAGTGTCAAAAATACTTTAAAGATTGTTTCATTTGTAGATAACGAAGGTGATATATCTCTATTTTATATATGTATGTATAATTTATGTATTTTATAATCTTTTTCTTTAAGACGTTTCTATCATCAGAAAAAAAAATAAGCCTCTATGAATCTTTTAGCAAAAATTGCAATGTTATATTTTTTCCTTGAATTATGATATGCAGTTCACATGTAGATCTGGTGAGTTTATAACCCTTCCTGCTGTCTGTGGTGTGTTTGGACTCCATCTCTGCCATTATTTGGTGTGTTTAGACTCCATTTCTGCTCACCATTACTAGGAGAATAGAATGAGCATGGGTATGTTTCGTTTGGACCCTTAGGGTGCCATTATTATCCATGAAGTTTATGAAGAAGGAGCAGCGTGTAAAGATGGAAGACTCTGGGCTGGAGATCAGATCTTAGAGGTACAGAACACCTGTTTTGACTTTCAAAAATAACAGCGGAATGACTCCGGGGGCAGGGGGGGTGTTTCTTTCTTTGCTTCTTTCTCTCTTTCCTCCCACTCCGCTTCCCATCTTCTCTATGTAACTCGCCTGGTTTCTCATAGTCAGTGTCCCATCTCTCTGCAGGTAAATGGAATTGATTTGAGAAAGGCCACACATGACGAAGCAATAAATGTCCTGAGACAGACACCACAGAGAGTGCGCCTGACACTCTCCAGAGATGAGGCCCCGTACAAAGAGGAGGACGTGTGTGACACCCTCACCATCGAGCTGCAGAAGAAGCCAGGAAAAGGCCTGGGACTGAGTATTGTTGGCAAAAGGTGTGTCTGGGGAGGACAAACCCAGTGCTCTTTTGGAAACAATGGCATTGAAGTTCTTATAAAGAGTTGTGACAGTCATAGAATCAGCTGCTGTTTTATAGGTAACTGTTGGTGGCCCACTCACCAAGGAGCCATGAAAAGACATCAGTTTTGAACTTTTTATTTTTATTTTTTTATTTTTTGAAGTTGGAGTCTCACTCTGTCACTCAGGCTGGAGTGCAGTGGCGTATGCACAACCATGCCATCATTGACCTGCTGGGCTCCGGCGATCCTTCTGCCTTCCAAGTAGCTGGAACCACAGGTGTGTGCTACCACAGCCTGCTAATTTTTTATTTATTGTAAAGATGAAGTCTCATCAAGTTGCACTGGCTGATCTCGATCCCGCGGGCTCAGGCAAGCCACTCGCCTCAGCCTCCCAAAGTGCTGGGATGACAGGCTGAGCCACCGAGCCCAGCCGGTTTGGGACTTTTTAAATCAGTACATTGGGAGATTTTGAAGACAGGCAACAAAAGCCCTTTGGTATTGCTTTGAGTACCTGCTGTATGCCAGGAAATACGTTAGGTGCTAGGGAACAAAGTTGAAAAGACATGGCATCTGACCTCAGGAAACTCACAGTCTGGTCAATGAGAATTAAGTATCTTACAACAGAGGCATCTACTGATGATTGCAGAGATGCATTGTGGTGGACCCACTGAAGCAAAGGTGAAGGGGACCAAATGACCCTATTTAAGGGAAGTGGATTAGGAGAACTTCCAAGAAAAGAGGTGCTTGAACTGAGACTAGAAGTGATAAATGGTGGTTAGTCTATTAAGGCAGATTGGAGAATATTCTAGGAGAGAGGTTTGCACGAACAAGAGCAGACCGTCAGTAGGGGACCTACGACATACAGCAAGGGGCCAGGGTTGTAGCAGGTTAAGGAATGCACATAAATTCAGTACCTGAGTTATTTCAATATTGTTATATAAGTACATTTTGAAAATGTTTACTTATAATTAGGATTCAAATCATATATAAGTTATGCCCGGTGTAGTGGCTCAAGCCTGTCATCCCAGCGCTTTGGGAGGTGGAGGCAAGAGGATTGCCTGAGCTCATTCGAGACCAACCTGAGCAACATAGCAAGACCTTGTCTCTACAATAAACCAAAAAATTACCCGGGCATGGTGGCACATGCCCATGGTTCCAGCTACTTGGAAGGCTGAGGTGGAAGGATCGCCTGAACCCAGCAGATGGAGGCTGCAGTGGCCATGAGCACGCCACTACACTCCAGCCTCGGCGGCAGACTGATACTCCAACTAAAAAAAAATAAAAATAAAATTATATATAAGTAATATTAACAAATATATGATCCAGTAAGCTCCATAAATCTTGCTTCCTTTTTAGTACTGCAAGCCCATCTGGATCTGATCCTCAGGCCATCGTTAAACAAATGGAATTAGCAAAAACGACTCTGTGGTTTGCAGTGGTCTCAAGTTAATCACCACTCTTTAAACCTAGGATAGCATCTTTTTTCTTCCAGTATGTCAGAAATATGTGAAATTGTGATCCTTATGATGTCAGAATATCCTTCTTTGGAAACAGGCATTCTTGAGAATGCCCATACCAACACCATGCACTTCTGGGTTTGCAGCAACGTTTCTGTTTGGGAATAAAAGTACATTTACACCAGTTTGTTTTTTCAGAGATAATTAAAGTTGAATTTTTTTTAATGCACAGAGAGAATGTTGCATATTCTTTGAATCTTAGTGGGAATATGTCTGAAAAATTAGGAACTCCTTTGGAATACAACGTCAGTTGTCTGGTTCTTGTGAAATACAATATGGCACTTTAGTGTGTGAGGTCACCAGGTCACCATAAAACCTCCATTAATGGATTCTGAACTATTTGCCTTGGGAAGAGCATACAAAGACCATCTAATCCAATAACTTTATTCTAAAGATGAGAAAGGAGAGGATCAGATCTTGAAATGGTTTGTTCGAGGTCATGACCTTGGCAAGAACAAGCGACACAATTCAGCTTTTACTATACATTTCTATTTACAGTTATCTTTGTATCTTGATAAGAAGGTTTTGCCTTTTTGGGGGAGTATAATTTTGAGAAAGACAGGATTGGAATAAGATTAGTGTTTGTTCGTTTTGCATAACTCTGTCTTTTGTGAAAGATTTAAATAAAAGACATCACAGCAATGGTACTTTGGTTTTGAGTTAATAGTGCTTAGCTTGGAATACACATCTGTTATTTATTTTCAATGATATTGATGATAATAGAAACATATTTATGTAGTCATGGGTCAATATTCATTCAAGGCTTCATTATGGTTTAGAAAGAACATGCGTGGTAGATTTAGCACTGAAGGACTCACTCTTAAGTCTTACTTTTTCCATTTCCTGGCTGAGTGACCCATAACATGAGAATGGTAGTACCCACTTCTATGTATGTATGTAATCATTGAAGAATAAATATACTTATGAGAGATCATTTTAATCTTTGAAACACTATAAGGCATGAGCTATTAGTTACCAAAAAATATAATTCTAACAATGTTGAAAAGAAAAACTTTGAAAGTCATAAAAACAGAAGTAAGTTTTTTGTTTAAAAAGTTAACTTTTTGTTAAATAAACATTGCATCACAGCTAGCAAAAATAATGTTGCAACTCAAAATTGCATGCAGAAACGACACTGGAGTGTTTGTGTCAGACATTGTCAAAGGAGGCATTGCAGATGCCGATGGGAGACTGATGCAGGGAGACCAGATACTGAGGGTGAACGGAGAGGATGTTCGTAACGCCACCCAGGAAGCTGTTGCTGCTTTGCTCAAGGTAAGAATCAAATGCCCAAAATAATTTTGAGTAATAATATGGAAGAATAAAGAGCATTTAACATTGGGCTACCATAGTCAAATTAGTACTGACTTCTCTTTATTTAAGATATCATCTCAAATAAAATGTGAGTAAGATACCATATTTCAGTGACAGATTCTTAAATAGTTCAATTATGATTAGGCTGTTTAATATCTTATTTATGTATGTATTTAGTGGCAGTAAGAATTAGAAACTGAGTATCTGTAATATTAATAAGTCTCTTCTCTTTAAGGGGTGAGTATTGTGTGGATGTCTCCTTAAAAGAGAAACACATATTCAGACCACAAAGGAGAAACAAAAATTCTCCACCTTCATTCTCCCATGGTTACTTCTGGATTTATTCATGCGATCTCGGGCTTAAGTGAGAACTCTCATTTCTGGCACAGGTGCTCTTTGAAGAATGGTGTGGCTCAGTGCTCTGTGGGGGGAGATCCAGGATGCCTCTGGAGGTCATGCATTCTGACCCTTCCTGACCGCATCCCTTCCTTAACCTCTTTCTGCATTCCCAGATTAGACATCTGTTTTCCCTGAGATAAGGAATTTGGCAGAAATATTTTACCTTTTATGACCCATAGAAGAGAGTGGGAATGTTTGGTTCAAGTCCTGTCCTGACTCAAACTTGTTGAACTTTCTAAAGTTGACATTTTTAATCAGGATTGGGTGGGTCATCCTTAAGCAGCAATTTAATGCAGATTCACCAATCAGTGCCCTCACTGAGGATGATCACGACAATTCTAAGCTCCCCCTTGCCAACTCCTGGATACTCTTCTAAGTTAAGCACGTTGTTTTACACTATGAACTCAGTTTCTTCCAAATAAAACCCTCTGTGAAGGATCATTTTCTAATTGAGAAGGCAGACGCAGACAGTCTCCTTTTGCAAAGGAATTGTAAAGTACAAAAGTCACTTAAAAATAGAATTCTTGGGACGATAGATTCTGAGCCAGAGAATATTCCAGTTTCTGAAAGAAATTGTGTTCCTATAAATAGATAAGGCAGTGTTGATGTCTCTCTCTCTCTCTCTCTCTCTCTCTCTCTCTCTTTAACCTAACATCTGTTTTATGACCTGAAGAAGTACAATTCAACGTTGATTAGAAAGCCATCCCCTCAGTACCCGTGTCATGGGCACATGTTATCATGAGCCTGCAGGTCAGTGTCAAGCAGCAGTAGAGCTGACAGGGATCTAAGACACTAGTGGGAGCCCCTCAGTTACTGGGATTCGTGGAGGGATTTTCAAATGAGACTCCTGTTATTTATCTCTGTGGTTTGAGTAGGATCTGGTATATGAATGTGTGTATAAAGTTAGTTACTAGTAAAGCTCACATACCTACATGTATCACGGATGTTATCAATCTTCAGAAACATAAAGTAACTACAATTCTTCAAAGAGGAATAACTTCCTTTTAGAGACATATTAAAAATATTGCATTAAATTGCATTAATTAGCTCTGTAAGATTGATATAGCTTAGAAAGAGAGAGAGAGAAGGAAATATCCATAAAGCCACATAAGTAAATATAAAACCAGTCTAACCAGTCATTTAAAAAATGAGTTTGAGTGTATAATGAGAGCCTTAAATATTTGTATAACCTGCACGTTTGTTGCTGCTGTTTATTATTGTTGACTTGACTTAGCCATTTCTCATTTTAAAATCTTGGATGGTTGATCCTCAGTACACACACACACACAAAACATGCACATAGAGTTTATTGAAGTGTTATTTGTAAAAATTGGAAAATTGGAAGCAACAATGTTGAAAAAAACGATATTAATTTTAGTATAAATACATGCATGGCAAACATACATCTGTTTAAAGTGATGTTCATGACAACTATTTTCACATGTAAAAACATATGCAGCCGTACCCTTTTATCTGCAATTTCTCTTTTTATGGTTTCAGTTATCCATGGTACAGTACAATAAGATATTTTGAGAGAGAGATCACATTTATGTAACTTTATTATATTACATTGTCATAATTGTCCTATTTTATTATTAATTATTATCTCTTACTGTGCCTAATTTATAAATTAAACTTTATCATATGTATGTCTATGTAGGAAAAAACATAGTATGCATAGGGTTCGGGCATCTACTAGGGGGTTTAGAATGTATCCCCCACAGTTAAGGGGAGACTGCTATAATCAGTAAAGAATATAAGACAGAAAATTGCAATTGCAATTTAGAAGCAACTATATAAAATAAAGTCGTATTAGTTTTTAAATAATAATCATAAGGTAATTATTGGAATTATGAGTTTTCCCCCTTCTTTCGTTTGATTTCCAAACTTTTCTGTAACGGGCGTGAATTTATTCTGTAATAGAAAAGTCAACTTCAAAATTTGTGTAATAATCAAAACCCTTGATGTTTGAAAGAGATGTGTTATAGGGAACTGAAAGAGTTATAATATCACACAATGAATAAATTAATGTATGGGCTTTGTAACCTTGGCAGTTATGTAAGCTGGAAATTAAATAGGGTCGAGAAGAGTCTGCTAAGTTTGAGGCCAAAAACACCCTCAAACCAGCCAAACAAACAAACAAAAATGACGTATAGATATTGCAGACCAAGTTTTGACCTTTCAAAGTTTGATTCTTGATCTGCGTGTTCAAGAACAACATCTCTCAGTCCTTTCATCAGAAGCAGCGTAATAATATCAATGTCCAATATTTATGTTAATACTACTTATGCTAGACACTGTCATAAGCATTGCACATGGATTACTTACTCATCACAAGAACCTGTAATGCTCTATGTTCTAAAATTGCAGAATAAAAGACCTGTCAAGTCTACGCATCTATTATGGTCACATAGCTAGGAAATCGCATGATCTGAATTTAAAGCAATAACTCTAGAAGTGCAAAATCCCAGAAACTGCCTTCCATATTAGACCATATGGCCTTTCTCACAAGCCTCTGGTTTATTTGTAAAAGACAACAAGGAAATTGTCTTCGATGTATGTTTCATGTTTATTTGTTTATAACAGTATTTATTTGAGCTTGGTATAATGGTTCTATTGAGATACAGTGTGGCAGTGGAGAATTTATCCCATTATCTGAATACCTCTTCTATTGAGGGCAAAACCAATCATAGTGGTGGTGATTTTATTGTTTTTTTTTAAACCTTGAGTTACTTAGTTCATTTGGTGTATCTATATCAGTATGTTTCATGAGATAATTACGCAGTTCTCAATTTCTCTTTGCCTTGGTAGAAATCGTTTCCATGTAAATTATGAAGCAGTAAGACAGACACTTGGTGTTGCTGCTGCTGGTTATTATTTTTTTTTTTTATTAATGTTTCTATTTTTATTATTTTTGAATTGGAGTCTCACTCCGTCGCCCAGGCTGGAGTGCAGTGGCATGCTCACGGCCACCCCAGCATCGACCTGCTAGGCTCCGGCGATCCTTCTGCTTCAGCCTTCCGAGGAGCCGGAACTACAGGCACACACCACCTCACCTGGCTAATTTTTTATTTATTGTAAGATGAGGTCTTGCCAAGTTGCCCGGATGGGTCTCGAGCCCACGGGCTCAGGCCATTCACTCGCCTCGGCCTCCCAAAATGCTGGGATGACAGACTGAGCCACCGAGCTCAGTCCATACATGTTTTTAAAAAGCCGTTTTCCATAAAGGATTGGGGGTATCCTTGCCTCCGAAAACTCCCGAAGGAAGATGTCTTTCAAAAACTTAGTCTTGAAGATTAAAGTGTATTCCTAAGGCTGATTATAGCATTTTACTGAAAACATTTCCATAAAACAACCACTCCCCAAGTGTTCCCTAGGCACAGTCACCTTGGAAGTTGGAAGAATCAAAGCCGGTCCATTCCATTCCGAGAGGAGGCCTTCTCAAAGCAGCCAGGTGGGTCATGTGGGAGTCATTAGAGTGCTGTCGTCCCCATGCCAAGAGGACTCGAAGATGGCCCTGACAGTGGGTCTGCCCAGGGTCATATACATCTGGCAGCATAATAACTAAAGTGCAGAGTTGGAGACGGGAAAACGTGAGAAAGAGAATGGGCAGGTCAACAAGCTCCTGAGTAGTTTGTAAGTCATTCTAAGGAGCTTCTCTTTTGACATGATTCTTTTTCCATAATCTCAAAAGTTAACTACTGGTATATGCAAAGCCTACCAAGATAACATATTGTTAAAGGTATTTTATAATGAACATCAATTAATATTCAAGTGAAAAATCCCATGCAAGTGCACTGGAGCTACTCACCACCATGGGTAAAAAATATGATGTAAAATAGTTCAAGACTCTTAGCAAGCCCCTCTCCTCAGTCTTGTCTTCTGATAGCAGAAGTCCATTTTTATCAATCTGTCTTTAGAGGTCCCTTACTAACGTTCATAAATACTACCGTTGGTTTCCTACCGACTGGCCCTAATTCAGCTGTTTTTAAGTCCTTGTCTTTCTATAACATCAATTGTTTATATTTAGGGAGGACTCTCTTGAATAAAATTATGAAAATCCATTAAAATACATTTCATAGGTTAAAATCAACTTCATCTGCTCTTTTAGCTTCAGTTGATTGATGTCACTAGGCAAATTTTTCCTTATTAGGAAAAAAATAAATCAGTGGAAACTGTGTTTAAATTGCCCTTCAAATTGTCAAATGCCCCTGCTGCTTATTAGCTAGTTATCTCTAGATGCAATGAAAGCATTGAATTTTGAAATTGAAATAAATCATTATTTAGGGAGCGTGCTACTTCCAAAACTTTCTAAAATGACTGTTGTCTATTTGCAGGTGAGTGAAAGCAGCCTGTCATCTTTCACTTTCCCACTTTCTGGATCCAGTGCATCAGAGTCCCTAGAAAGCAGCTCAAAGAAGAATGCACGTAAGATTGGTTCAATATATTAAGCATGGTTTGCATTTTGGCTGTCAACACTGATTTTTTTTTTTCTTGTTTACCTCTGAGCTCTCTTTCCCCATGTATCATCCCATATCCTAATATAGGTGCAAAAATGTGTGTTGGCAAAAAAGCTGAACAACATGAAGCTATGCCTATGGCAGTTTTTCCCGTTTGATATTTACCCTACGAGAGATACTAAACATTATAATCAGGATTCTATAATTTTTTTCTTACTAAGCAGATTGGTATATTTGGTTTTATTCCTTTTCTATGTTTAATGTCACACCAGTGAATCCGAAGATGCCATTAAGTGGAGCCTTCTTTTTCTATGAAGATTGCAAAAATTTGAGAAAATTAATATGATACTCCTGTGTTTTAATTACGTGAATTCATGATGCAGAGGGTTTTTTGGCTGGGTACGCTGGTTGAGAGTTGTTCAAATTGAAGAAACTCACCATATGGCAGTCTCTGTTTGCAGTGTGACTAATATTCTAGAAACTTAGGCACTGAAGTCCATGGAATTTTTTTTTTTAACACATCCATGACTTTATTCCACTGAATCGTGCATATGTGTCTTTCTGTGTAAAGCACAGTATGCTCTTGACTCATTCAAAGTGGATTGTACAGTTATAGAACCAATGCTTAAACTGAGAAGGGAGAATGGAATGGTATGTGTATTTTTCCACCTGGAGAAATAGAGTCCCTATGTGCGACAGACCTAATTATATATATGAGTAACTTTGAGTACCTCCTTTCAAAAACAAAAGCCTAAGGCATCCCATTGAGTTTCATCCAGCTTCATGTACTGACTAAAATTTTAATGAACATAGAAAGTGCTTTAATAACCCTATTTTATCTTTGTTTGCCTTTACAGTGGCATCTGAAATACAGGGATTAAGAACCGTGGAAATAAAAAAGGTAAATGGGAAAAAGAAAACTATAAATTCTGGTATCTTCAGAGGCGTGCTCATATGTATTTTCTTGTGAACTATCTCACTGTTTTAAAATGTCCATCTGAAAGATTATGTATTGCATACAGTGGCAATGACACTTTAATGAATTTCCTGATCAGAGGGTCTCGTTTCATTAAATTGTTTCAATAAATAATTATTTGCATATTCTGTATTGCTAAAGATGGCATCAATCTGACCCCATGCAAAATAGCACCATGCCTTTCAGTTCTCTTACTGGTTAGTAGCATTTCCCTTCAGCAAACACTTTATAGTTCTTCTGAAACATTCCCATGGCAGCCATGCTCAAGAGAAAAAATAAAACATCTACTGCTTATTGAACCTTTAGTATGTGCTGAGCACTTTTATGGACACCTCATGTCGTTGTCATATCTTTTAATATTCAGCCTCCTGTGAGAGACACTGCTGTCTTGATTCTGTAAATGCAGATCTAGTGATTTATGGAGAGGAGTGGGCTTGTTCCTGGTCCCAGCATTCGCAAGTGTGTCTTCCTGGCTTTGAACACAGGTCTCTCTGATTGCGAGACTGTGGTCTTTTCACTTCGTGAGGTTATCTGCTTTTCTTCAGCCCCACAGCATGACTGGCATTTAACACATCTTGATTTGTTTTATTTTCTGAACAGATGCTTCTTGTCGTAAGTCGTACTAAAAACCTGTGTCAAAGAAATAATACAGTTTTCTTGGGCTTTGTTTCTCACCCTCACACCTAGAAGATCAGAGTTGACCAGATGATAGCATGCCAAAGAGTAAACAAAAGAGCAACTGGAAATATCACTTTGACCAAAATGTGACCTCTGTTCCATGCAGGGCCCCACGGACTCACTGGGAATCAGCATTGCTGGGGGATTGGGCAGCCCACTTGGTGATGTGCCCATATTTATTGCAATGATGCACCCAAATGGAGTCGCAGCACAGACCCAAAAACTCAGAGTAAGTTTCCCCAGAGTAAGTAGACTCAGTAGCCCCAGCAGATCTAGCAAGAGCTTTTTTCTAAACCCCTTGAATCTGGCCACCTGTTGCAAGGCAGTTTTAAATGTCTGTATCTGATTTTAAATCAGCTGATCCAGCCACAGCAGGGCCTGCTTTGAGTAAAAGATAAAGAGTAGCAAAGGAAAGAAGAAAATGATGCTACTGAATGCAAATTTGCAATATAATGAACTGTCAAGTTACATAATTTTTTTTCTTTTTTTGAGTCAGAGTCTCACTCTGCCACCCAGGCTGGAGTGCAGTGGCATGCTCATGGCCACCACAGCCTCGACTTGCTGGGTTCAGGTGATCCTTCCGCTTCAGCCTTCCAAGGAGCTGGAATCACAAGCGTGTGCCACCACTCCCAGCTAATTTTTTTTTTATTTATTGTAGACACGAGGTCTCTCCAAGTTGCCCAGACTGCTCTCAAACCCTTGGGCTCAGGCAGTTCTCTAGCCTCCGCCTCCCAAAATGCTGGGAATATAGGCATGAGCCACTGCACCCAGCTTATATGTTGTCTTCAATATTTATTTTTATATGTTTGAAACTTTGTGGAACAAGTTAACAGAGAACAGAAGATATTTTCAAAACACCATTATGAAGTGAAACTTTTTTTTTCTTGTTTTGTTGTTGTTGTTGTTGTTGTTGTTCTTGTTGTTTTTGAGTTGGAGTCTCACTCTGTCACCCAGACTGGAGTGCAGTGGCCGCTCCCGGCCGCCGCAGCCTCGACCTGCTGGGCTCCGGCGATCCTTCCGCCTCAGCCTTCCGAGTGGCTGGAATTACAGGCATGCGCTACCACGCCCGGCTGATTTTTTTGATTTATTATAGAGATGAGGTCTCACCTGCCCAGGAGGGTCTCGAACCCGCGGGCTCAGGCAATCCACTCACCTTAGCCTCCCAAAGGCGTGGGATTACAGGCTGAGCCACCGAGCCCGGCTATGAAGTGAAACTTTTTTCTTCCATTTTTTATTGGTTTAAATGTTGATTTAACTTTGTTACATTGAAAGGTATATATTTGCCTCTGAGTATAAAGTTTTCAGAAGTTTCATGTGAAAATGACTTATAGTATTATAAACTGTGTAAAACTAGCTTGAGAGTTGAAGGGTTATCCAGATGGAGAGCACTGTGACGGGGTGTATGCTAACTGCCCAGATCTAAAAGCATGTGATTATTCCATTAAAGCAACTCAGTCTTTCCAAAGCAGGATCTCTATGACTTCATGCTTCAAACAGGATCTCAGAACATAAGCACATGTTAGTTTAAGCGGTCTCTAATGGTTCACTTAAAATTGGTTGTACACATAGCACAAGGGTCAGCACACAATTCTGTAAGGATAAATAGTGAATATTTTAGGTGTTGTGGGACCTGTGTGTCTCTATTGTAGCTACTCAGCTCTGCTCTGTGATAGCAGCCAAAGGAATATGGCTGTCTTCCAACGAAACTTTATTAACCAAAAGAGGCAGTGGGCCAGATTTGCCCTGAGTGCCTTCGTGTGCCAGCCTCTGACTTAAAGCCACATCTAATGCTTATAATAATAATGTCCAGAGGAATTCCGGTTTCCAAATTATGATGATGTTTTATTCTTTTAAGAGAAGTGACGTCTTACCCAGAAGAAAGCAAGAGAAGGGAAGAGTGACATTCTCATTCCCTCTCTCTCTACCCGGACAACTGCAGAACCCACCCCTTATGCTCTGCTTCTTTTTGTGGTTGCTGCTTCCTAGACTTCTTGGAATTAGTGGTTTCCCTGGTTATATTTCAGTGACTGGTAGCAGTATATATGTGATGTGGAAAGTATGGAAGGAAATGACGGCTCAGGTCTCTAAACCCCACTCTCCATGGTCGCTTTAGCCGATGGCTATTTTTCCCCCCCTTGCAGGTGGGGGATAGGATTGTCACCATCAGTGGCACGTCCACCGAGGGGATGACCCACACTCAAGCAGTTAACTTACTGAAAAATGCATCTGGCTCCATTGAAATACAGGTAAGATTTTTTTCCCCAAGCACTACTCAGAATACAGATAGCTTGAGGATACATGAGCTTTGATGTTAAAGCAGTAAGCAATGATTAAATATTCTGCTGTTATTTTATTTATTATTTCTCTTGAACATTAATGATTAAACTGAAAGCTCCAAGAGAGCACGTGTGAAACACAGTCTGGAACATTTTATCCTGATGCATTTATTGTTTCATACTTTATATCTAAAGGGAAAAAAATACAAGGCCTTAGCAGTCAGTGATTAATTGCTAGAATTTTAAGTGATGCCAGCAAGTGGCTTATATTCTGAAGATCTTTAAAAAATAATTACATATGAGACCATGTTTTAAAAGTGTCAACTCCCTTTGTAGAATTGAATTAGTAAAATATGTTTACTATCAGGACAGTTAAGAGGCCTCTGGATCTTGTGAAATTTCTTTCTCTTTGGTTGTGTTTTATGTTAACAGAAATGAGTAAATGAACAGTAAAATACACGTTTTAATCCAAATGCTCTTCTTGAAGAAGAATCACTGGTGTCTCCCTATCTCCGTGAACATGTGTTTCTTCTTACACTTTTCCTGCTCACAGGTAGTTGCTGGAGGAGACGTCAGTGTGGTCACGGGTCATCCGCAGGAACCGGCCAGTTCGGGGCTTTCTTTCCCTGGGCTGACATCAAGCAGTATCTTTCAGGATGACTTAGGGTGAGCTTCTATATTGTGATTGCTATGTCATTTGTCACTTTTGCATTCTCTGTCCCATGTTTCCAGCAATCACCTAGAGGCAAAATAATAGGATATATGAAATGTGAAGTCCAAATATCAAGTACTCGAAACTGTTTAATAATTATGACTTGACTTTAGCTAATCAAAGAGAAGAGAGACCGCGAGAGAGGATAGATATACACGCCACTGCCCTTTTCATGTTTTCAGCTCTGATTTTTGGGGAGGGACATTTTAGTCTTGCTGTCATCCCCTTGTGTGGCATGGAGCTAGTCGAATCCATTCTTTTAGCATTTCCAGCATTGCCTACTCATTTAATATGTGCTCCTTTTGACTGACAAAATTTACAGGGTTGGGCAACAACACTTAAACATAAAAACATTGAGGAATGAGGAGAGAAGAGAGGGGCACGTTCGAATTTTTAAATAATTTGATGCAGCTTTGACATTGCCTATAATCGATTTTGCTCTCTGAGCTTGGGAGGACCGATGTTCCGACTTATTCCATTATCGTCTCCTGAACTTCCGTTCTCTTGCCGTAGATAAACTGGAAAAAGAGTGAGCTCCTCTGTGCAATGAGAACACGCCGCGAATGTGCTCGTTTCAGGGAACTGTAAATGAGTAATAGAATTAGGGTGTTAAGTAGGTTTTCAATAGATTATGTAGATTTAAAAAGACTGAGCGCTGCATGCACTGACCATTTAAGCATCCCAGAATACCCACGGTATACTCACTGTCAGTAACAAAGGGAATTGTGCTGGCTGTGGGTGGATGTCCGAAATCTGTAACAGAGTCACAGATATGTGTGTGGGTTCAACATTCAGGGCCTCTTTGCTCCTCCCCTTTCCTGCAGACCTCCTCAGTGCAAGTCCATCACGCTGGACCGAGGACCAGATGGCCTAGGCTTCAGTATAGTGGGAGGATACGGCAGCCCTCATGGAGACTTACCCATTTATGTTAAAACAGTGTTTGCAAAGGTAAGCTTGTAAATTTCAACCACCCTCTTCTCCCCTGAACATTCATTAATAGTGGTCAGCAGCTGGCTTATTAGTTTATGTCCTGAGGCGATGCCAAATGGTTAACAGTTGATCATTTTCTTTCGAAACTCCCTACAGGAACAGGTCGTTAAATATTTTTTGTCCAATTTGAGGTTAAGTTATGTTTAAAGAAAAGTAGACTCAGGCCGGGCTCGGTGGCTCAGTCTGACCTCCCAGCACTTTGGGAGGCTGAGGCAAGTGGTTTGCCTGAGCCCGCGGGTTCGATACCAGCTGGGGAAACTTGGCAAGACCTCGTCTCTACAATAAATAAAAAAATCAACTGGGCATGGTGGTGCACGCCTGTAGTTCTGGCTCCTTGGAAGGCTGGGGCAGAAGGATCGCCAGAGCCCAGCAGGTCAATGCTGGGGTGGCCGTGAGCGTGCCACTATGCTCTGGCCTGGGCGATGGGTTGAGACTCCAACTCAACAAAATACAGGCTCAAACTGAAACTCCCTGGAAACTCTCGACAATGTGCATTAAAATATTATTAATGAACTTTGGTTACTAAAGCCTGTGTTTTCCCCTTGAAAACAAGTTCCACTTAATCGTCTTTTGAAAATGTAAAATATGTAATACTGCATTACACTGGCATTTCTGTTGCTTTTTTGTTGTTGCAAAATATAAAACAGGTACAGAAAAGTACTTAAAAATGCACAGGCAAACGCATTAATAGGTATTTATTTTACAAGTTTAATTTCATTGACTCAAGTAGAAAAATAATTACTCAAAAAATGAAAAGAGTATTCCTCAGCCCTATCATCTATAATAACTCAACTATTTGCAATCAAGTGATTTGCGTAAAAGATTTGTATATAATTATAATCATATAGTCCCTTGTTCTATCTTAAGGATGATCAGAATAAAAATAGTTTGCAATATCTGTGAAACTATTAAAAGAATTTAAATTTATATATGATTTTTGTTAATTTGGTAAAATATTTTTTCAGCAGCTACACAGTTGGGCAAAATTTCCTTCAGGAAAAAATTCCAAATCTCAATATTTTACAGTATAAAGAAGCAAAACTTAGACAAACCTGTTTAAAGATTTGATATAAGGACTTTAGATGGGTGCTATGGTCATTTAATTTATGGATGTTTTATTTCATTATTTTAAAGAAAAATTATTTTTAGCCATTGTAAAGTGCTGTACCTACAACACAATACTGTAGCCTTAATCTACGAGATTTTTTTTTTAAAATGCTATTGGTATGTTCAAAAATACAAACAGCATTTGCCAGTGAATAGAAAAGTCCTGCAGTCCTTTTCCTCAGCCTAGGAACAATTTATTTAAGGCATGCTAGTTAGAACATATTTTAAGAATTTCATCATTATGGATTCCTCATTAACTTTTCCATATTTTTAATTTTATATTTAATTGCATAATTTTCTTCTATAAGCATGCCTTGGGGGAGGGGGGCTCTTTTTCAAACAGCAATGTCTGTGTTTAATCTTATCCAGGGTCCATAAGGAATATGAAGAATCCATCCACCCCTGGGAAGTAAGAACTCAGCTTGGGCAGCTTTTTCAAACCACAGAAAGAATTAGAATTGGAAGTGGGTTTCACATTCAGGACTTGGGTCTCATCCGGCCTCAGTCAACACACGGGTGGGCTTTATGCTTCCGCAAACCTTGGGGTCTTACAGTCCTCCTGCTCTTGTCCTAGGAAACTGCTTTGGTCCCTACCTCATCCTTTGTCTTCTTTCTGCAGTTCTTCTTTACAGAATGGAAAATCCTGGATTCCATTAAATCATTCCTACTAGGCACTTTCCCAAATATTCTTTATTAATTTGCGTTCCCACCAACTGCTGTGCTGAACAGCCAAAAAACCATCCAACGAATCTATTGACTGCTGAATTCTTTCTCAAATTGGAATCTGAGCGCTAAAGCCATTTAGGAGAAAGGCCTCCTTTGTGCGTGTTCATCACTGCTTAATGGCCTGGAGCACCCGTGGAGCCCCGGGACCAGTGTGTGTACACGCAGAGCAGTTTCCATTCCTGTCGAGATCTTTTTCTGTAGGGTGGCTTGCGGGGCAGCATTTTCTGAAAAGTAAACAAGGCTACTTTGTAATTACAGGGCGCAGCCTCCGAAGATGGGCGTCTAAAGAGGGGCGATCAGATCATTGCTGTCAATGGGCAGAGTCTGGAAGGGGTCACCCATGAAGAAGCTGTTGCCATCCTGAAGCGGACAAAAGGCACGGTCACTTTGATGGTTCTCTCCTGAGTTGGCTGCCAGAATTCAGCCAACCCAACCACTCGCTCACCTCCTCCACATAAAGATAACGGAATGGGTCCTGACTTTGACTCGGCCCTGTACATCAGGGTCTTCAAAACTAAAGGGGGGAGATGGCATTTCAGTTTGTTTTTCTCATCTAGAAATGCTTTTCTTACTGACTACCTAATATCATTTTTTCCCTTCCCCTTGCATTCTGTGAACCTGAACTCAAAGAGAAGGAGTGTTTGCATAGGTAAATCAGGTTTTTATTTGTGAAGATTATCTAACGTTTTATAGTCATGTGGGCAAAAATTACTGTGTGCTAAGATGGTTAGTGAAAAGACAAATAATGTTAAAGCTAACCAAAGAGAAATCGCTTCAGTAGATTAGGGTGAAAAATGAAAATATAAAATAAAGAAGAAAATTTTGGGGAGTTTTATAAAAATGCCTCAATTTGGCAAACTACCTCCTCTCCCCACCACAACGAAAAAAAAATTATTGAAAATCTTAAAAAATACTCTCAGTATTTAAATAATTTGAATGCAGTATTAAGAAAAATTGCATCAGCCCACTTCTATCATACACATACATTTTTCCTGCTAAAATCGGTTTCTATGGTTGAGAAAGTAGCAAAAATATGAAGCAATGTCCCTAAATTTTGTTTAAAAAAATCATGTTCAATGCACATCTCAATGTTCATTTTTATTTTTTGTCCTATTATAAAAGAATATGATGTTGCTTTAGGTAAAATCATGATGCTACCCCATTTTGACTGTGGTTTTTCTAGAAAGCAACCATGCTAACCGTGGAAGAACACAGAAGGGTTCCAGAATCTTTTAGTGCCGGCTTCAACCACTGATTCAACACTAAAAATGTGTTAGTGTGCTGTGCAATTGGTTTTCAGTTAGTGTTCATGTTAATGACAGAGAAAAAAGCAATGTGTTAGTCATTATTTTGGTTGTATGCCATTAGTAAATTGATAGAAAAATTAAGGGGATTAGCATAACTTCATTTCATTGCCTTATATTAACATCTTATAATACAATAGTTTAAGACTAAGGGAAACAGATGGAGCTGTTTATTGAGACAACTGGTGAAGAATTATCATGTGTTCGTTCCCATTTTAGAGCGTGAAACTCCTACATTAGAATATATAAAGTCACTTTAAATATTATCTATCTTTGTAACAGAAGTAGTGTACAGATATTTTATTACAGCATTTTTGTGTACATGCAGAACTCAAGCGAATAAATAAGAAGTTTCAGTGGTGCACAAATAAAGAAGCAGCCGCCGTATCTTCTCATTTGTTCTTTTTGCTGGGGAAAAGCTTTATTCTACTGCTTAAGATTTACAACTTAAAATTGGTTTTTAACCATGTCTAACTGCACATATGGTGTCCATAGTTACAGTTAGAGCAATTTTGGACAACATCATTGTGAAAAGCTCAATATTTTCTTACCTCCACAATTTTCCTGACACTAAAGAGTCATAGTCTCTTCATGGATCAGAGATAGATGGCACTGTAGACGGAGAAGTGTCCTGCCTGTACATATCCTGGGATGCTATAACGCAGTATTACGAGTTGCTCTTTAAGGTAGTCAAGAGCTAAAGTGTATTTGGATGGAAATATTATAGTGAAAATTATTTATGTTAATAAACGTGAAAAGTCCAATTTAAACACTGAGCGAAGGATTGGGGAAATTTGTTCTACTCGTTTTGTACCCGATTAGCTAACTACATATTGCAACAATCCGGGAGATATTCTTCTTAGCCAGTCATTGTTAATTCGGGTGCTTGAGGTAACAAAATTCATTTTACTATCCCAGTGACACATCTGTCTTCTTCGTCGTGACTTAATGGTTCATGAAGGCATGCCGGGATTATTTGTGGTAGGCTACTAGAAGCTGAACTGACCTCTTTTGTGAATTTGAACTAGCAAAGATTTTTATTGGGGACGCTTTATTCCAACCATATGGGAGAAAGTCAACCAACCAAATTAAAGTTTCATAATATATTGAAGTACTTCCAACAAGAACTGCCTCTTGGGTATCTGTACAAACTTAAATCATGTCCCCCTCCCTCCCCCCCCAGGATTCATGTCCACCTGGAATGTCAGAATGTGACCTTTGGAAATAGGGTCTTTGCAGATGTAATTAATTAAGATGGTACTGAGTTATGATATATGCTCTCCTATGACTGGCTTCCTTATAAGAAGGCCTTGTGACAAGGCAGAGACAGGGCAAGAAGGCCACCTGAAGAGACACATCAAGACAGAGGCAAAGAAACAAGCTAAGGAACACCAGAAACTAGAAGAGCCAAGGAAGGATTTTTCCTAGGGCCCTCAGAGGGAGATCGGCCTTGTTGACACCTTGACTTCAGACTTCCGGCCTCCAGACTGTGAGAGAACACATTTCCAGTTTTTTAAGCTTTAGAGTTTGTGGTGTTTTAATATAGTATCTTAAATGTTTTTCTGTCCTGAGCTACTACTGTCTTTGTGCCTGGCTAACAGGAGAGGCTCTACAAATTGCTGTTAATTAGCAAAGACAAAGCACATGGAAAAGAAAAGGGAAGGAAGGAGGAAGAAAGGAAGAGAGGAAGGAAGGAAAGAAGGAAAAGTTTGAGAGGAAAAGAATATAGATATGAGCCGGGCTCGGTGGCTCAGCCTGTAATCCTGCGCGTTTGGGAGACTGAGGTTGAATGGATTGCCTGAGCCCGTGGGTTCGAGACCCGCCTGGGCAGGCGAGACCTCACCTCTACAATAAGTCAAAAAATTAGCCAGGCGTGGTAGCTTGTAGTTCCAGCTACTTGGAAGGCTTGCCGGAGCCCAGCAGGTCGAGGCTGCGGTGGCCGGGAGTGGCCACTGCACTCCAGTCTGGGTGACAGAGTGAGATTCCAACTCAAAAAAAAAAAAAAAAAAAAAGAATATAGATATGTCAGCCTGGAGATAGTTAACACAGACTTGAGCTTCCTAAACTATTCTTTTCTGGAAATATAAGAGTTCTCTGTGGTGGAGGAAGAATGCTTGAGCAAAGAGTTTCAATAAACACTTTAATATTACAGCGTTGATGCCATGTGCAACCCAAGACAGTGGATTGCCTATAATAGGTTCTATAAATATAATCCCTGTTGGACTGAATCAAGCTGGAGAATACCACAGATTTCTGGTGGTGTTCATCACCACTGCAAAAGGACAATAATAGCAGTCATAAAGTGTTTCATTTCAGCACTGACTGATATAAAAGCAGAAGTTGCGATGAGTTATGTACATAGCCTATCAGCAGAACTCATATGTCAGAACGGTGGTGGAACTGCATAAGAAGATTGAAATGCCTGAAAGATAAGGAAGGACAAGGATTTCAGTTTCCATTTTATGAGCCTTGACAAAGCAGATTTTGATAGATATGAAAAAGCAGAGGGAACACTTCCCTGCTCTGAGATACACTTCACTAAGCTGCCTTAGAAATTTGGCCAGCTAATGTACTGTCTGAGAATACGATGGAGCAATTTAGGGCTCCTCTTCAGATCTCAGAGTAAATGGAGAAGTTCAAAGGATATTTTCAGGGAGACGAGTAGATAGGCTTTTTTTTTCCGTCGAGGTGTGGGAACGTCAAAACTATCATCACTTCCTCTCAGCAGCCCTGGTGTGTTGTTTCATGTCAATGACAGATATTCCGGAATGCATTTGATTTGTGCAAAGATTTTCCTCAATTTTGTCTACAAGGAATGAATGTTTAGCTTTGCCCCTTTGATGAGGGAGTGATTTGTAAGGAAGGATTGGCCTCCATGACTCAAGAGAAAAAACATTGTTGGCGTCAAGAAAATTTCTGCATAAAAAGTGTGAAAACTAGGGAAAGCAAACGTTTTTAAAGTGATTTTTGTACGCTTGACATCACAGCTTTTTCCTCAAAATTCAAGTATTCTGTATTGCTCTTTCAATGTCAATTAGAAAAAAATTGTGTTGTTTTTCTCAGGATTTTCAACTGTTGGTCAGGCAGTGAAAGTTCAATAGCAGGTCCTTAAAAGGAATTTTTCAAGCAGGAAGCAAATCTCTGGTGATGATCTCAGAATTATCTCACTGAAGATGTTTCTTGAAGCTTCCAACATTGTGGTACCATCAAAAGACTGCCTCGGGCAGCTTTTAGGAGAAAGCAGCAACTTGTGCCTTCACGTGGGTTGTGTCATTTGTGAATATTTTGTAATACTTTCTCCCCTCCCTTCTTACATGCATATTTTCAGGAAAAAACAGATATCCTTGGATAACATGCTTTTCCTTCTTACTTCTTTTCTTATTGATGTCCCAGAAATTATGGTTTGTCACCTGAGTCTACCTTGAAATATTTGACATTCAAGTTCCACTCCCCTGAACTTCATTCATCTAAACATATTTTATTTCAGTTAGTAAAAATTGTGACTATACCTTGTCTTGGAAAATTAAAGGAGATAACTGTATGGAAAGTATTAATACTATGCACAGAGTAAGCTATCAAGAAATAGTAGGAGTAATTGCACTTATATTTTCCTGGAAGATAGAGGTATATAAACTCAGTACTTTCTGTAAATAGCCTTCAATTTGTGTGTGTGTGTGTGTGTGTGTGTGTGTGTGTGTGTGTGTGTGTGTGTACTTATGTCTTTTTCTTCTAAAGTTGGATGCAAATACTTATACCAAACTTGCCAAAATTTCAGTTGTTTTACATACAATGTTCATATTTCCCATATCTTCACTTAACTATACTATTAATGACTATTTTCCTTTAAAATGGACTAATTTTTTTTTAGCTTAAATGTGCTTAAAAGAAATTGTATGTCATTATTTTAAATGGAAAACCAGTATTATTTGCCATAAATACAAAATAACTTTGAGTAAAAGCTCATACAACAAAAGCACATAAATTCTACTAAGAATCTATTGTCTACCGTGGGTCAAATCTTGAGACCCGCCTTCTAGTGAGAAAGGGAAAATTAAAATATTTGAATGGTAACAGTAACTCAATAGAGACTCTTTTCTGATCTTAAAGGAACTGAAAATATGTTTTCATACCTTTCTTATTACGTGATTCAATATTTGCTAGTTTCACCTAAAATGATTAATTATTATTTTTTTTTTTTTGAGGCAGGGTCTCACTCTGTTGCCCAGGCTGGAGTGCAGAGGCACGATCACAGCTCACCACAGCCTCAAATTCCTGGGCTCAAACAACCCTCCTGCATCTGCCTCCTGAGTCACTGTGACTACAGGCACGTGCCACCCCACCTGCGTCATTTATTTTTGCTTTTTTGTAGAGACGGGGTCTCACTATGGTGTCCAGTTGGGTCTCAGACTACTGGGTTCAAGTGATTTTCCTGCCTCAACCTCCCAAAGTGCTCGAATTACAAGTATAAGCCATGGCACCTGGCCTAAAATTGTGATCTTATAATGCGCACTGTCTTTGAACAAAAATTCTATTATGCCAAAATAAAGGCCTCTGTTTTTAAGGACTTCTTTTTAAAGAGGTGAATAACAGCCTGTCAACTCTTGTTTTTAAGAAGATTCCTAGCCGGGGACAGTGGCTCAAGCCTGTAATCCCAGCACTTTGGGAGGCTGAGGTGAGTGGATTGCCTGAGCCCAAGGGATCAAGACTAGCCTAGGGGGAAAAAAAAAATTCTTAGCTAGGGAGGTTGCTTAAGATTTTGTTTATAATATAAGTCTTCTACTAAAATCAGAATTGAGTCATTGTGTCCAGTGCTTTAGTTTTGGCAATCTGAGTTTGAAATAAAGGACAAATGACACAAATTAATGGAGTAAAATTAATGTTGTGGTAATATTAAATAAAGCTAATGCCTTTTGCACCTGGAGGGCCATGCAGATGGCAGGCATACTTAATTATGCACCCTGCTGCCTTTAAGTATACTGCTAAAAATCTCTCGACTGTGTATAAAATATTTTCATTCAGTGGCTCCAGAAAAGTTTGAGTTAGGCGACACAATACACAAAAAACAGAGCCTAACATACTTATTTTTAAGGAGGAAAACTACAATATTTATGTAATGTAAATGAAATAATTAACTATTTACCTGATTTTTAAAGCAGGTTATTATCACAATTGGGTTTGTCCCTTTTGTAAATATTAAAATATGTCTGTCAGTCCCATTTAAAAAAAGATTATTCTCAAACCTGCAAGAAAGTACTTAAATATAACTTCACATCTTTATGCACTACACGACGAGTTAAAAAGTAGAATTCTAAATAAATGAATTTGATTTCTCCAAGTATAAATTGGATTGGTTATTGCTCAGATAGCTATACACTTGTTCAATTCTTCCAAGTAACTTCTGTAGAAAATATTTTGCTGTAATTTAGTGTATAGATAATAGGTTTTGCCACAGATATTTCAGAAATGCAACTGAGCTTTTAAAAACCGTCAGTTCTCTTCATTTAAGAAATGTATTCCCATGAACATCACTTTGGTACATTTGAACACCTATGCAATTAAAAATATAACCACCAACTTCTGCTTTTAGCTTCAGAATGGTTTTTTAAACTCCTTTGTACAATATTTGTTACACGAACCTATTATTTTTCTTCTAGTAATTAGACATATGTGTTCCCTACATTTTAAAAATAAAGAACAAGTAAAATATATGTATTTTTTTAACACATTGTTTCATCAAAATAGGAGCTCTGGTGTCAGGTGTTTATAATAAAGGG